CTGGTCAAATTTAAACTTTTGAACCTGCAGAAAATACAGAAGATAGAAGATTTTAAGATTTTGCGCAACTGGAGATGTGGATGTAAAGACTCTACTTTTATGTCTTTATAGTAAAAAAATGAAGCTCCAGTCAGCAATTGGTTAGCTTAGCTTAGCTGACCTAGGTCACATGACATTTAACATAGTTTGGTTAGATTTAGACAACAAAACTTCTTGGTTAGGTTTACGTAAAGATTGCGGTTTGGGTTAAAGTAAGTCACAAGTCATCTCCAAAATGTTATTTAACTTAAAACATGTGAACTTTGACTTTCTTTCACACAGGACTCAAACCTTGGTCTCCTGAGCGAAAGTCCTTATTTACTTGACACATCCATCCACACCATCACCCTCCTTACATGGACTTTGTTGGTTGGTTGGGGAGCTAACAAATACTTTCAGTATGTAACACCAACCTTGAGACCTCAAAAATAGGGAGGATTTCAAATCCAAAGCGGGAGGTCTGAGGGTCCTCCCCCTCAGAATTTCAGAGACTTTGCTTCCTGCATTCTGGTGACTTTTAAAGAATGAAAATAATAAACACACAACAGTAAGTAACAGCATTTTTATGTTAGGCCTACCTTTTTAAATTGTACTTTATATTCTCAGGAAATAATGCAGAATAATTCGCCTCTCTGGCGTGAACTTCTCTCCAGGAGGTCTTTAATTAGCTTAAGTATTTCTTTCTCTTAGTACTCTGCATACCTCTATCCATCTCTCACTAGCTGAAGAGCATGAGAAGTGTTTAGCTGCATTATTATCCGGATGGAAACAGTAGACTTTTAGAGTAATTGGGATTATACACGTTGTATAGTTCTAGAAACAGGTAACAAATATGGGAAAAGTGTGCAAACGTGTCATAAATCGGGAGAAATACGGAAGAATTGTGATTCCGTTGGGAAACTGCGAGAGGGTAATGAAAAAGGGGAGTCTCCCGGGAAACTTGCGAGGGTTGTAAATCATGCACCACACACTGTTCTTTTTACATTTTTGTGTACGGATTAAACATTCAAGATAAAAGATATTCATTGGTGAACTTCAGGCGAATTATGTACACGGATTGGATTTGGCTAGACATTTATCCTTTCAGTCCTTATGCTAAGTTAAGCTAATCACCATCTGGTTCCAGCCAAGAAATATCCCTTTCATCTTTCTTACAATTTAGTTTTTGCATTGATTATAAAGTTCAGTGTTATAACATATGAGCTTTGTGGTGTTGCCTTTGAACAGAGCCAGGCTAGCTATCTGTTTCCAGTATTTACGCTAGTTAGCTTACCAGCTGTAGCCTCCAACAAGAGAGGTATCTTCTCATCTAACTCCCAGCAAGAAAGCATTTCCCAAAGTGCTGAACTACTCCTTTAAAACTCTTCTTGGGCTGAACACCAGAAATAGGAACTGGAAAAGACAGCAATATGAGTGAGACTGACTCATGATGAGACTCTTACGGCTGTCAATTACTTCACAATCCAAAATCATCATCTTCCTGTAAAAGTTTTATTTGTCTCTGGCTTGTCTCCAGTGATTGTACACAGACCCAACCTTCGCCCAATGCAAGAATTTCAGAGGAATGTGACTGTGGTCAAAACGTGGCAAAACTGTGCGTTTTCAACTCTGAGAAGAAGAAAGAGCCAACAAAAAAAGCTTTTTTTTTCTCCCCCCCCCCCCCCCCCCGTTTTCTAAAAAAAGACAAAGGCTCAAGAAATTCCTCTCACACACACTGACATTTACATTTCTTCAGGGGGTAGAATACAACCAGAGCTGTATTGTTTCAATGAATGTATTAATTTCACCCAAATGGATTGGAACATGATGGTGGTATGGGGATGGTGTGCGGTGATGGAAACTATGAGCGGTCCCGGAGGGGGTGGGGGGTTTGCTGAATCTCCAGAAGAAAATGTGTAATCTGAAGGAGACATGACATCACTCTAACTCAACAAGACTAAATGGCTTGTTAACATGTCTCAAAAAAAGACAGAACATATTAAGTTTTCATTCCCAAGATATGAAACAGTATTTTGTGCATCCGAACAGATTCAAGAAACACTAAGGCTCTGAAGCCAGGAATTGTTTCCTCAAAGGTCTCCTTGTTCTTCTTCTCATAAATCCCACTTGAAAAAGGGGGCTGCAGCACTTATTCACAGTATCAGTTACTCACTTTGGACCCTGTTCAGGCCTCCCAACTTCAACATCAACTATTTCCTCACTCTAAAGAAAGAACATCCTTTCTGATGTGGGGGGTCAAATATCTGGCTTGAAAATATGCAATTAAGATGATTGTGCTTTTAATAAGGTTTGTTATCTGGCAAAGAAGGCACCCATTATAAAAGGCATATAATGTCTTTATTGTTAATAAATAATTTACTAGATTAATAGTCATTAGTAAAAACAATTTGGGGTTGCCAGGTTGCCAAAAGTCCCGTTTTCAGGTTTATCCTTTCCATTTGGTAAGTTTGGTAATGTCAATACATGCTCAAGATTCTCTGTTTCTAATGAGTGATGAAGTCTGCTGTAATTAATGTTATTAACTCATTAATAAATGCTTTTAGTCCAGAGTCTCTGCAGCACTTTTCTAGTTCTTCTCATTAATGGCATTTAAGTGAACTTTAAAGCTTTAATAAATGATTTATTAACCATTAAAAAGCCATAATTTACAACGTATAAATCTTTGGGAACCTTCATTAGATGGTGCCACCGTTAATTTCTGAGCCTCCCTGTGTTTAACAATAAAAAGGAAAAATATATTCAAAATGCATTTGATGCTTATATGCATCGTTTTTCGCCAGGTGGAGACAGGTGGAGATCTGTGCATGCCTCAGCAGACATCAATGCTTCAAGAGATTATACCAATACAAACTCACAATAACACACTTTAAATTCACTCATAATCTACTTTTTCACATTACAAAGCTGTAAATTGTACCTGTCGTCCTTAATTGTTAACGTACCTCTCTTTGCGCAGCAGCCTCTGGAGATGCTCACAGGAGACTCCTCTGCAGGATCTGCGCTGTTTGTCCGCTTGAGCTGCTGTGGTGTGTAAAATGAATGTAATTAAATCCTCTGTGAACTCCTACGAGCTGAACCCTGACGGGTTTCCACTGACTGAAGCATCTGTGTCTGGTGCGTAAAACCAAACCATTCCTTCAAACACCGCCCCTTTCTCCGTCCGTCTGTCTCTCCGCTCCCTCTGTCTGTCACCTTGTGGCGAGTTCAAGCTGAAAATAGGTAGTCTCAGTGTGTTTTTTGGATGTAACTGAATATTTTAAATGCATAGTAGATGTTTGATGTAACCTCCACCTTATAAGTGGAAATTCCCTATAATGATCCTATATAAACTTATAATGAAATAGAAGCTATTTAATGTGTTTTATAGCATTTTAATCTCACATGATATCACAACAAACAAGTTCATAATTAATATATAAGATAATTTTTGCTAATATTTATACATCATTTTAAATTGTTTTCTTCATAGTAACACTTTAACCCCAAATTTAGTATTTATAAGGAGTACACATGGCATATAACGCACTATAGTGTAATGTGATTGTAAGCAGACATAAGGACAATTTTAAGTGTTCAAAAGTGCATTTTTCAAAACGTTTACACACAAGCTCAACATACAGTCTATGGTGTTAAAGCATTTAATTTTCTATACACATAGGCTATGCAAATCATCGTTTGTTATAATCAGTCCATCGCAGGGCAAAGTCCACTATATTGGCATAATTTTTCTGCACACCTCACACGGATGAGGATGCTGAGCGCCAGCTTAATACTGCGCACTTTCTGCGTTGTCTTTCACTCAGTTCTCAGAGTTTTCTCGGCTACACCAAATGTTACGTGGTCGGTTGCAAACTGCAGGATCCCGGAGAGCAAGATATAATTTTCTCTCTCATTGACCTCCATTTTCCACAGCAGTGAGCAGGAGGTCTGTGGACGATTAGAGGCTTCAGCTGTGGCTCCATCCTGCCACTGTCCATTAAGTCAGGATGTACACTACATGTGTAAAAGATGGGATGGCATCTTAAAGCTTATATAGGACCGTTGAATGAGTTGCTAGGTCTAAACAATAAATTAAATCATTTTGAATTATTGCCCAAGCAAGATGAGTGAGGGTTGACAATTGTACTTACATGTAAATATGCTGCCATCTGCTGTTCAAGCCTAGTAGTAACAACGGTTCAAATGTGGGTGGATGAACATTAGTTTAAAAAAAATAAAACTAAATGTCTGAAAAAATACTTTAACTCTCACAATCTTTTATAATGTAATGTACTATGGAAGCCCAGTCCTGCCTAGTTTATTGTTTAATGTTTTTAAATAATTATGATCGATCTCATACTTCTGAGATAATGTCTTAATGTTATGGCTTAGACAAAGTTGTAGTAATAGATTTTATTTCATAATTATGAGGGGAGAAAAACATTTCATGTAGGCTTGATATTTAACTGTATCTCAAATTTATGAGATACTTAGTCATGAGAAAAAATTAGGTGATAGGTTACATACTATGTCATGCTTAAAATACCTTATAATTATTACCCACTGTCATAGTTATGGAATTTTCTCAAATCTTGACTTTGTATCTCATAATTATGAGACGCTTTCTCAAAAACTTGAATTATGAGAAACTGATGGAAAACGTTAGGTGGGGGATTTTTAACTTTATATGAAACTCTAATAAGCGACATGTGACGACTATGCCACACTTTATAATTACGAAATAAATATGTCATGATTATGAGAACACAAAACAAAATGAGTTGGTGGATATTAAACTAATTTTGTTTGTCTTAACTAAAAATGGGGAGGAAAAGTTTAATATTATATTGTAAAATGATGATAAACTGTGACATCTAAATAACTTTCACAAAATTAGATGGTAATGAGGACAAAACTGTTGATTTTTTTCCCTCAAAGTGGCAGAAATGTGCTTCCATATGAAAGACACAGTTAGACTTTACTCAAAAATATGAAACACATTTTATTAAAGAATTGTGTGTACAGCAATAAAAAGAAATCCACAAGGTTTCTAAATTATTATTCAAGTCAGAATCTCTGAGAAGTAAATTTGGTCATAATGTTCATTAAGCTACAAAAGGTCAATTGTCAGTAGGTGCGGCTGGTTGGCCGAGTGAAAAGTATCATCAGTTATTTCTACACTGCATCAAGACAAACATGTTGTTCAACCAAGGCTCTAATGGTGTAACTGGCACAGTTCTGGTCTGTGGAGATCCTTAGCAGAGCACCAGTCGCTAGTCGCATGAGTCATTATCAACAGAAAACACTGTAACACAAACACTGTGCTTTTCTTTTTCACACTGAGGATTAAATCCACTTACAGCACTCAATATTTCAAGGTAAAACAAGCAGGAACATGAAGTTGGTACTGTTGTAGAGTGTAAAGTGTGGTTCCTGGAAAATACAGTCGTAGCTTGAGTCAATGGAGCTTTTACAGTGTGCTCAGTTTGACGACAAGTATTTAACTGGATCAGAAGTCTGTTTTACTAATACACAGAAGTAACTGGCCACAGAGGCGAACACAGCCGACAGAATTAATTGACATTTAAATATTGAAAAAATGTGCAGAAAGTAGGAACCGCTGTTGAGTTTCTTTTGGCATATGTCACCTGTAATACTGGACAGATATTTTTCTAAGAACACATATCTTCTCCTCTTCGCAAACCAGGAAAATCAGATTTAGTCTGCTGGTTTCAAATCTCTGCAGGAAGTCCGGAGCTACATTTTCATCATTCAGAATTGAGTTCATCAGCTGCAGCTCCTCTAACTGATTCACAGTCAGGCACACACACGGTAAGGTAGCTTGTGCTCGACAGGAGGCACGTGTGCTTTCATATTATTTCTCCACATCGTACCGGCCTCGCTGCACTTCAAGGAAAAGAATTACACTTGTCTCGTCTTCACCATTTAAACAGCGCTTCCGTTCCGCGCGGCATGCTGCAGGCCTTTCATGTTGTTGCTGCACGAGCTGACTTGTTGTGGTGGGGCACCAACTTCAAATACTTCATGGATGGCTTTTCGGAAACAATGGAAGTTGTACTCTATCAGACCTGCAAAGACAACAAATAAGTCATTTCATTTCAAAGTGACAGAACATTTGAAATGTAAAATGCAGTGTCCAAAACTCTAGAATCACTGAATCTAAATGTGAAGGCGCAGTTTGGGTGAGAAAAACACACGCCTCCACACTAGCATTTTCATCTGATCTCCATCCACACTAGAACGGGAAAAACAATAATAGGATCACTTGGGACATTTTGGGAAAATACGCTAATTTGCTTTCTTGCTGAGAATTAGATGAGAAGATACTACTCTTTTGTCTATATGTTAAATATGAAGCTACAGCCACCAGCAGGTTAGCTTATCGCAGCTTTTTGTTCATACTGTAATATTTTTACATTGGTGTATTCTGTTGCATGTCTGTGCATCCTGGGAGAAGGATCCCTCCTTATCCGAATCGAGGGTGTAAAGACAGAGGGTGATTGTAAAACACCCCGTGGCAAACTATGATATAAAAACATATATTAATAAAACTGGCTTGACATAAAGTCTGGAAACAGCCCGCCTGGCTCTGACCAAAAGTGAGAAAATCTGCCTTCCGGCACCTCTAAAGCTCACTAATTAACACATTACATCTTGTTTGTTGAATCAGAACAAAAACTGAGGTGTAAAAACAACATGTTGTGGATACAGGTTTTTTTTCTTGGTTGGTTGCTGCCAATTTCACAGAATGTACAGAGGTATTGTACTTGTACTTAAGTACCACTCCTCCAATGCAAAATAAACATACTCACAGGTATATAACAACATTATGTTATCAGCTATATTGACACTTTATATGAGAGACCACAATGAAAGATTAACAAAACAGAAAGTTGTCTTCTTAATTTTACTGGCCACAGCTAGTCATTGTTTTCACCGTTAACACCAAAACATCTGGTCAGCAATTAAAGGATTTCAAGCAGAGGAAGTCTGGAGGTGGACAACAAGCTGTATAGTATGTACAGAAAGCCAGAGAGAAAAAGATGCGTTTTTAAAAATATAGCCAGCTTAGAATTGATGAAGCTGTAGGATCAAACCTCATTTTTAACTTGAGACACTTTACAGTCGGTTACTTCACACTTAAATCAAACATTTAGGACATCCCATATAATCAAATCACTTCTCTAATAATGCCACTGTAACTGTATATAATCTAAAACTACACACCTTTCCTTTCAAAGCCCTCTTCTCTGAGGATGCAGACGAGAGCGAGGAACTTTGTGACCTCTTTCAAATAAAGCACTGTAGTGTTGTTGAGCTTGATGATAGCCAAAGACTCCTTGTCATAGGCACAACCACTGCCATCCTCCATTAGCCTGCCAAGAAGTAGAAGACAGAAACACATGTTTAAACTTAAAAGGGATACGATCATTGCCAACACTTAAAACACATACGATATAATTCTTCTCACCCGTAAATGCAGGAGACGTCGATGACAACATCTATCATATCGCAGCAGAGTTCGTAGGACTGCATGTCCACAGGAGAGCTGTCTGTGGCGATGTAAATCTTGCTTACAACATCAAACAGGAAGGCTTTCTCGATCCCCGAATGCTGCAACACATGAAAGACGTTCATAAGAGAAGGTACAAACAGGACACACTGTAGTTAAACAAAGTGAAAGTAACAAAAATTAAACAACGTACAGATATGAAAATGTTCAAAAGATTCTCCAGCGTTGGTAACTGAGGAATGAGCTTCTGGACGACTTTACTGAAGGCCTCGAAAATGGAGTGGTCGTAGATACTGGTCAAGTAGAAGCTGGGGGGGGGGGGACAGTAGGAGACAAAAATACAGCGTCAGCAAACAAGTTTGGGCAAAAGCTTGAAGTCATGGCTGTTTACTATGAGGACGAAACAATAAACCGATCCAACCGTTTCACAGTGATTTAGTGAGAAACTGCTCCATTTATTAGATTTATGAGTTAGATATACTGAGTTACGTTTTATAGCTGCATTAACTTTTTCGACCACCTGAGGGAAGTAGGACAAAAAAACAATGACATATGGCAAACATGTTTGCAAGCACGAAAGCTTGTGGCTGACCCCTCTCACCCTGGAACACAAACTGTTTCAGACACTTGCCTCGGGCAGGAGTTGCAGCCCATCAGGACCAAAGCTCTCACGGAATAAGACCAGTTTCTTCCTGTTAGCCGCTGGCCTCATTATAAAGGCAGGGCAACCCTACTGACACAAACTCTCCTCCCATAGACACCGTCTCAATGCTTTACATTCACGCACATCTTTTGGACTATTATCTCATATCTATATTTGAACTTTCCTGCACAAACTGTACAGCTATTTCATTATAAAAACAGATATATTGTACATATTTTTTTCATATATTTATTGTCTAGCTTTCTATTTTATCAATATAATTCTTGAATGTTGTTTATTTGTTTTTATCTTTTATTTTATTACTATGAACGCACCCAAAGCATATTCTGAAGAACTGCTTATTTACACATCAAATATGACAAACTGACCAATCTTGATTCCTATATTCACTCTCATTTTTTGGCTATTTCTTCCCCCTAAACACTGATGTTTGGAGTCACCAGTCGAGAAGCCCTCGAGCCGACTTGCATTTTGTCAGTCGAATCACTGCACTTTTTTGTAGCTACATCATTCTACACATAGCAATGCAGGAGCAACGGCATGTCAGGCTGTAACCTTTAACAAACAGTCTTTTCTCAAAATTTCCTAACCACAAAATTAACTGTGATGGAAACTGAGAGCAGTGGGACTCGTTTCTGTTCGCTGCTGTGACGCTCTCAGCTCCAGTGCTGAATGCAGTGAAGTCAGCAAAACTCACTTTTTACTTCTCTGACTGTGTGGAAGTCTGATGTTTTCACATCACAGATGACAACAAAAGGTACTAAAATGCAAGCTTTACATGTGAAACATGAGACAATAATAATGTTTGTAAAAAATTAAAAATATCAAAAACCACGAGCACATGGAAAATTTAAATATTGAAGAATTAATTATTTGATGTTTTAGCTGCTAAATGCTCAACTAAGTTGTTAGTTTCAACTAACTTTCCCCCTGAAAATAGCGGGCTGCTGTTGCTGGAAACAAGGTTGATAAGAGTGTAAATGCAAGCCAAGAAATCACAACAATATGATAAAAGAAGATAATATGCTCTGTAGAGCTGAGAGAAACTGTGGAGTTGGGTGTTGGCTGCTCTCTGTGGGTTTCTCTGGTGAGTGCAACTCTAAACAGAGCGCTCACTTTCTGGTCTTTCAGCTAAGATTCAATTTGAAAGTGCTGACATTTAAACACGAGATTTAATTTTTGTTCAGTTGTTTGGTAGCAACATCCCTTACATACAACTTCCATTCTGTTAGACTACAAGGGTAAATACAAACATGGTTTCTTGGTGTGATCTGCAGCTACATATTGCTCTTAGTAACGATCTCAGTATCTAACCTGTGCAGACATGTCAGACCCTCACCTGAGGTGAAGCTTCTCCAGGCTGGCGTCTGCCAGGTCATCGTTGGCCCTCTGATGAACATCTCTTTGTGTTTCTATTTTGTGGTCATCTGACAGACCGTCTACCTTATGGATGAACACCTCAAAATTAATGTCTGGATTCACTTTGTAGGCTCTAGACACGGTGAGATGTAGCCGCCCAAGAGCCTCGACGTAGTCATCCTGACAACAGGAGAGACAAATGTTAATGGTGTTTCAATTAGCTCACACAGGAAGCCTTTAAACCTACAATGTACACTTCTGTTTAAACTAATGTTATCCTACCTGAGCATCAATGACAAAGATCAAAGCGCCGGTTCCCTTGAAGATCATCTCGCTGTCAAACGTTGGGTCGAAGAAGTCCACCTGGCCAGGAAAGTCCCAGATCTGGAAGTTGACAAAGGAGCTGCTGGAGATGTCGTCCTTGTAGATTTTGTTGGTGCTCTCGAGGAACAGCGTCTCATTGGGTGACATCTTGTGAAATACAACCTGGTCAGAGGTGCATAAGGATTATTTTTACTTTTAGTGTCTTCTCTGATTCACTCTTTATTCTGTTAGTATACATTTTACCTAAAACCTTTTAACTGATCACATTTAATATTTACTTATAATATTACATGCATTGTTCTCTATTTACTTAATAATGTAATTCTGTTTCTCTATATTGTATAATTGTACTACTGCTACTTCTGTCTAATGTGCGTGCGTGTGTGTATACATACATATATACAGTACAGTGCAAAAGGTTTAGACACAGTACTGGGACGCGGTTTTGAAGGCAAAGGGTAGTCACACCATCTTTTCATCAGCTTTAGAGTGTTTTTTCTTCTGTTCACTCACTGTGCAGTTTGTTTATTGAGAAATATTACATTATATTATTATTTACATGTCTATTTTTGAAAGCATTCTTACTTGAACAGCATTTTTCCACTAATAAAACATTTGCACGGTACACTATACACTATTTCAATGTATGTCCATCCGGGATAATCAATCCCTCCAATTTTGATGTTCCTGAAGTGTCTCCCATTCCCCCCTGTTAATTAAAGGGCATCTTGTGGAGTTTGTGCATATCTGAATCAATGTTAAAAAAGGGACATAGAGTGTCTATATTGTACAGACAATTTCAAAATACGTTTTCCAGAAAATCTACTACATCACAATATAAAATGACTTGAAGAACGTATATGTTATAAAGCCAGACTGATTATTGAGGCTGATACAGATGTTTACATGCAAGAGTTTAAAATAGTGATATATTGATTGGTCAAAGGTTATATCATATCTGTCTCTGTCTCTCTGGTTAACAAAATGCTTGCTATTTATCAGCCAACGTCACAATTACAGCCAGTTTATATTAAGGTACACAAAGCTAAAACTAATGCAGTCAAATGCAACAGTCCTAGAAATTAGTTTTAGGCTTACATTGTATATTTATACATGTCCCAGTCGTGTAACTTAAAGTGTGTTTATGGTTACCTTCTGAATAGATGACTTGCCACTCCGCCTCAGTCCCATCAGCAGTATCCTCGGTTTGTCAGCTGTTGTGGAGCTCTCCTCCATGTCTGGCTCCTCCACCCCGTAGCCAAAACTTTTGGGAAACGACCCCACAACATCGTAGCTCCCCGTTAATGCTGACTCCTCATACTGGATAGACATCCCGTACTTTACTACCTGGCCTGCTCTCTCTTCGGCTACGCTCTCCTCACGAAACAACTCGTCCAGGAATGTTGTCGATTATTATCACAACGACCTAGCATGGCAAGCTAATATAAGCTAGCAGCTGGAGCGTGGTGTTAATATGTTAAAATGCCACGTCAGGCCGGAACTTGTCCACATGGGGTTTAGAATAAATGTTACAAAGAGGTCGGCTAATCAGAATATGGGCATATATTTCAACACATCAGACTAGAACAGAGGCAGAGTTACTAAAAAAAGCTAGTCACAAGTTACATATTTCCGCCCCCTTAGCTACTAGTCCCGCCCCCTTACATTTGATTGGCTGTTCGCTCCAAACATAGTCATGTGACAGCCAGTTCAACGAGCACAAGCAGGAAGGATACATAAACGGTGAGTACGTTTGGGGCATTAGTAATGCTTATTACACTTACGATATCTTTTTTTTTAAATGTTGAGCTGATTTTAACCTTCTTCATAACATAAAACAGCTACTACATATTTCAAAATGTATTTAGTAAGTGATTTATTTGTTGTAAATCTTAGATTAGTTAGCATGTTCGAGCTAAGTTAACCGGGATTCATTGCCTCATTTAAAGTATCTTTATCTTGTATTAGTACTGTTCTGGGCCGTGTTGTTTTGCTGATATGTCTGAGACAGTCTCTGTGGAGTTATATTGAACTGAAACTATTGCAAATAACAGGAAATGCACACACCTTTCTGTTTTTCACATGCCTAACAGCAACACCTCTCACTGGTCTAAACATTTTTGTTGTTAGTTCATATATATATATATATATATATATATATATATATATATATATATATATATATATATATATAATTGGATAACACAGGAACAATAAAAGCAAAAGGTTTGACAAAAAACTTACATATAACAGCTACACAGCAAACCCATTTTTATAAATTGAATGCTTTCTAAAAAGTATACAGCATTAAACTAACAGCAGCACAAATAATGTACACAGAGACAGGCGTTCATTACTCTGGTTATTTGCCCACGTCTTGCAGAGTTATGTCTTGTTGAATACTACAAAGGGAAAATGTAATTATGTTTTATAAATGCACACATAAAATGCACACTGATCCCCTATGTATTTGTTTCAGGGTCCAGAATGACAGCAGCCCTCCTGTGTTTCCTCCTCGCTGGTCCAGTGCTGCTGGTTGCTGGCAGCCCAGTTTATAAGTCCAACAATGGGACCGTACCACTGGTGCTGTGGCATGGGATGGGTGAGTGACTGTGCTGCCCATTCTCATACTGAGGGGCTAAAAACATTACATTGATCTCTAGGGAGTTGTCAAATTATAAATTATGAGCTTTTTGAGGAATAATTTGTTCCTAGAGTCATTTAACCCTTCAGCATTCAGTTCTCACCTTTTATTTCCCCTTAAGTAGCTTTAACGTTGAAAATCATATTCAACTCAGTCTGACTCCTTAGTGCTGGCAAGGGTTTTTTGGATATTAAAGGTTAGCATTATGTTTTCTGCACAATACAATGTACATGGGGTCGGGTGTCTCCTTTGTGTTACAAACTTAAACTAAAGACAAAACCTGCTCCTCACACAGCCACATTTCAGAACAGAAAGGGAAAGGTAACCTGCATGAAAGCATGATGATACATTATGCATCCAACGATGTTATTACCTGCATTTTAGCAAAAGTGAAAGCAAAAAAACACACAAACTTGTACATTTACACTGACCATAGCACTGTTGAAATACAAATCTTACCTGACCTGTAATGTAAGAGAGGTGCAGTGTGCAGCCTCAGGGGTATACTGGTTTCATACCAGCTGGGAAAATACAGTCAAGGGAAGTGAAAATACAAAAACATTTTCTCTTCTCCTTCAGCGACAAGTGCTCAGGTGCTTATAAAAGGTGTTGTGACTCTGCTTGAAGTTTTAACAGCAGAAGACTGTGCACTGACTTATATAACTTATAACAGATTAGGGTCCGACCGATTAATTGGTGTGCCGATGTTATTGGCTGATAGGAGTTAATTGCAGATAAATCGGTATCAGTATATAATAATAATAATAATTTAATATATTCTATTCTTTGTATGGTATTTGACATTGTACATTGTGTCAAGTTTAGCTAAATAGTTTAAAGTTTAAATGATAATAAAGTGACTGTTTGTGTCCACAAGGTGACAACTGTTGTAACCCACTCAGCATGGGGGCAATAAAGAAGATGATTGAGGAGGAGATCTCTGGCATTTATGTGGTCTCGCTGATGATTGGAAAGAATGCTATTCAGGTATGTCATTACAGGTCAATATAACGGGCAAAAGGTGAAAGTTTTACTCTTCAGTCCACAAGTTATCAAACAGGCAACTCGGGTAATGACTTTAATCAATATCAAAGTCCAAGGTCCAACTTAAAACTTCCGAGGGGAGACAAGTTATTTAGAACTCAACAAATTTCCAAAAAGTCCTCAACATAAAGTGTCAGCTTTCCTTTTCTAAATGTGTCTTCTTCCCCCTGAATCCATTTTTAGAAATTAAGATACTTTTCTGTACATGTCCTCTTCAAAGTCTGTTTGTCCAAGCTCCTTACAGCCACATGCTCTCTGTCCTAATGCTTCATTTGTTCTGCCTCTCCTCACGTTCCCAAGTCCTGTTTTAATAAGTTGGCTTAAGCACTTACACTTGTTTCAGTGGTAGGCATTCTGGGAGATGTAGTGTCTGTAACAGTGGCCAGTTTGTGATGAGGCAGCCAATATAGGAATACAGCACCCCTATACATGTCCCCTGGTGATGCCACTGAACTTTCACACTGTAAAACCTTTTTAAAAAACCCTCATGAGAAAACTGTTAACTTTATCTCTAGTGTGTTAATTAATAAAGTTGCTAGAGAAAATCTGCACTCCCATTTTCTGCAATGTGTTTTGTAATATAAAATGGCAGTTGCATCCATATGACATTGTTGAGCAGTATTTCTCTTGCTAAGAAGTAGGTATTTTAGCTTTAGCAAGTTCAGTAACTCCAAACTTAAAGCTGGGGAAGGCAACGTTGGAGAAACTAGCCAGAGACAGCTAGATTGTAAAGTGTTCGACTAAAAAAATCCCGCCCCCTCCATTCAGGACCTCTTTCCTCTTGCAAAAACACAATGCATGTGAAAAAATATGTTTAGCCAAGAATGTCCCATGTGAACCAAGCTTCACAGCAGGTTTGATTGATACATCCACATGACGTGGAATGATTCATATTCTGTGGTATTTGCATTGCTAGTGGCTCAAGTTGCATCAGAAAAATTGCTCCCTTACAACTTCACTATGTCACTTTTACAGTGTTAATATTCATAGCAAACCAGCGTGACTCTGCTTTGATCCGTCGTAACATCACGACTTTCTCTCTCAGCTCTTCTCCTTGTGGACAGTGCTCGTGTTCTTCTTTTAATCTGTCTGTCATGCTTTGAACTTTTTCATGTTTCTCCTCCTGCAGGACACAGAAAACGGGTTTTTCATGGATGTGAATGAGCAGGTTTCCATGGTGTGCAGTCAGCTGGCTCAGGACCCAAAGTTGAAAGAAGGATACAATGCTATGGGCTTCTCACAGGGAGCACAGTTTCTGTATGTAACTATTGTTCTGGACACTGAATGGTCTTGTTCTGTGAATGTGGTAGAAATTGGACAAATTTTGTGTTTGCGTAGTTTCCCTTCTTGCCTGAGTATCCAGCAGAGTGAATGAAAGACTTAGAGAATAGGATGATTTCAGTCCTTATCATGCAGCCTCTGTTTGAGCATGTTTTCTTTTAAAGTTTTTGTATCCTGATAAGAATGAGGAAACTCACATTGACTCTTAACTCCTGGTTCCTCTCCTTACAGGAGAGCTGTGGCTCAGCGCTGTCCCTCTCCACCAATGAAAAACCTGATCTCTGTTGGTGGCCAGCACCAAGGTAAGATCACTATGAAAAACCAAAACACCAGTCCCGCTCACTTCCCTTGGCAAAGCTAGCACTAAAACATTTCTGTACTAATGATACAAAGGTGTACTTGCAATAGTTTAGGGGTGTGTGTGTGTGTGTGTGTGTGTGTGTGTGTGTGTGTGTGTGTGTGTGTGTGTGTGTGTGTGTGTGTGTGTGTGTGTGTGTGTGTGTGTGTGTGTGTGTGTGTGTGTGTGATCTATATCTTATTCTGTAGTTAATTTCTCCGCATACACCAAAATAGTCCCCAACAAATGTACTCATTACTCTTGTTTGATTAACATTTGCTAAAAACTATATTGTCCAGCTCTTTTAGGAAATTACTTTGCCCTTTTAAAAAATGAAACTATATATTTGTGGCCAGTTTTTAAAGATTTACATCCTCTGTAAGAACAAATGGTGTTGAGTGCCATAGACAGAAAGTACTGCCATTCAGTATTGAGAGTTTGCATGGTTGGTTTTAGTCTTTTGATGGGATTTGTTGACAATAAGAAATATTTTTAATGACTGGTGCTGGGTATTAATTATCTATACAGAAAGATTGAAAAACTGATGTGCCGGCCATTGTCAAAACCATACAAGTGGTATCTCTACGTTTTTATGTATAGCTCCTCCATCAGTTTTTAAAAAGGTCTGGAATACAGTATGACTTTGAATCATCAGCATCGCAAACTCTGTCTTGACATGATACAACAAGAAGAAGGGCGTCTTCAACCGGTGTTTTTTAATCCTCAGGAGTGTACGGGCTGCCCAGGTGTCCCGGAGAGAGCTCCCACATCTGTGACATGATACGCAAAGCTCTGAACAGCGGCGCTTACACTGACTTGGTCCAAAAACAGTAAGTTGTCTTTTACTCCCTCTGATTGATGTAGTGGTGCCGATGTGTTCAGCAGCCTTGATGTTGTGTGGCTTTCATCACCACTGCGCAGACTATGATTCTGTTTTAACTGATCTGTAGCACTGACTGGATGTTGTGTTATCAGCCTGGTGCAGGCCCAGTACTGGCACGACCCCTTAAATGATGACCTGTACAAGACACACAGCCTCTTCCTGGCTGACATCAACCAGGAGAGGGTCAGTATGCAGACCAGACATGAGAGAAAAGCAAAGTTTGCATGAATCCAAATTTCGCTAGAATTAGTTTAGGAGAGCAGTCATGCGAGCGTGTTCGCTTTCTGCTACTGTGGGAAAATAATATGATTATTCTTGTTGTAAAAAGTCACTTTGGTTGACTGGACTGTTTGAACACTTAGCTTGCAGAAAACTGCTGCAGCAGATCGGATCCAAGACTCATTTATTAACAACTCAATAAGCATTTATTAATGAATAAACATTTGTAACAGCGTTGATACCAAATAGAAAAACATGGCTACCCATACTTGGTTATTAGCAGCTTATAACCAATGCATAAAGTGTGATTGAAGGATTTAACAATAAATCATTAGTTACAACTTTATAAACTCTTATAAAGGGTGAGTTATTATATAAAGTGATATTGATTTATTTTGTCAAACTAATTTAATAATTGATTTAGGTATATAGAATGTACACAAGGCATAGGAAGAGTAAATATTACATTCATTTATTTATTCATGCAGGTTGATAAGATGGACAAAGTCCTTGTAAACGTTTCTGCACATTTATATATTTATGTTTCTACAGTCTGATTCAAGTTGTCCATAATCAGCCTTCTCACTGTGTTTTGTGATATAAAATGTTCTGCTTTAAAGGCGGTAAATGAGACTTATAAGAAGAATCTTCAGTTGCTGGACAAGTTCGTCATGGTCAAGTTCCTGCAGGACACTGTAGTGGATCCTGTTGACACAGAGGTAACATACTGAACACAGACTCGACATTACATAACCGCTGTATATATAAACTGTAATCATCACAAACCATCTTGTCCTGATTCTTGCTGTAGTGGTTCGGCTTCCTGAAAACCGGCCAGGCCAAGGAGACTGAAACTCTCCAGGAGAGCGTTCTCTACAAAGAGGTAACCGTGTTGTAGTGTGAGGGTTGTTTCTTTAACCTGTGGAAACCGAGTAAACTTTTAAATGTCTGAGAAAATAAACCTGATGATGGCATTATGGGATCCAGCGTCTTTGGAGTTTGGTCCGTACTAAGGATATAAATCATAACGTCGACCTGTGCTGCAGTCATTTGGACCTTCTTTTTTTCCCCCCTCTCTCTCAACTTGGAAATGTGGTAATAAATTGTCTTGGATTTAGAAATAATTCAGTCTTACTTTGTTTATTTTTTAATAGTTTGGAGGTCCTTTTGCACCTTTTTTTTAAGTTGCCTGTACATTTCATCCTCACTCATTTAAAAAGGTCTTATTGCTAATTAAATTATTCAGACACTGGTGTAGTATCCTACACCAAAGGTGACCTTTTAGACGGTTACATTTCTGAAAAATAAGTTGTGTCCCCACATGCAGGATCGTCTGGGCCTGGCAGCAATGGAGAAGGCTGGAAAGCTGGCATTTCTGGAAAGTGAGGGAGACCACCTTCAGTTCACCAGAGAGTGGTTCAACAAAAACCTGCTGCCTTATTTACACTAGACACCAGTCATCATGCAATATAAGAGTAAAGACAGGCTTATTAACCAGAGCTGGTGCAGAAATCACATGATTCATTCCTTTTGCACTGATCATTTGTAGCATGTTGATACTGTTTTATGCCTTGTTATTTTAGCATCTAATGTATGTGAGTCTACTGCTGTATTACTATTTCCAATGTGAGCTGTTCTGATGAGGTCAAAATGTTTTTAGAAATGTTGGATTGAGATTTTAACAGCCTGATGTAAATCATTCAACCGGATCTGTACATATGACACATACGTTTAATCCAATAAAGACAAAAATCAAAAGACACATTTTATTGCAAGATTTTTTAATGATCCAGTACTAATGAGCAGAATTCTGATTTTGGACCCCCCAAAAAAAACAAGAGGTAAAAGAAAGAGACAATATAAACAAAAATTCAGCAAAGAGCTTCACAGCTTCAAGAGCCGAAGGTAACCAAAGAGTGCAGACATGGCTGGGAGCGAGTGGAGAGACGTCGATGGTCAGGCTAATAAGATAATATCTATACAGATGATTACAGCAGATATTTCCAATCTAGAGACTAAGGTGGAGGTGAAGTATTTAACGTCAATCAATGATTATGTCTTAAGTCTCTTCCACTTTGTATCAACATCTCTTTGCTCTTTATCACAAACTTTTCCTTACATGCCTCTTTATATGGAATGTTTTTTTTTTTAATACTCGGGAATGTCCTATGTGTGGGTTTAAGGGAAAGCACATGGAATGATAATTTTCCTGCTATTGAAATTATTCCAACATCTAGATGGAGTCTATGATGTGAAACAGACAGTGGTTAACGCATCTTGTTTTTACTCCTGTTTGAGCTCTGAGAGTGCCGACATTTTGTTTTTTATATTATTATCCACTATGAATGTTAATATTGTTACGGCCACAGCAGCGGAGGTGATATGGATGCCATTATCCTCTATAAAAAAAGGGCTGTGTTCGACAGGTGCTTCACCAGTGAATTGCATATAATGGAACAGAAACCTATCAGGCCGCATCTTTAAAAAAAAAAAAATCACCAGCCCCTCCAGACCAGGAAGCGGAGAAAGAAAAGAGTAATAGCCTGAAGCATCCTGATAGAGCGTGATCGGCTGCAGTACTTTTGTTGCAGAGGAATCAATCTCCCTGTTCCCATATTGGCTATTCTACATGTTAAATTTAGCTTTAGCATTAAAAAAAAATACATCATACAGAGCATCCCAGCTATTGGCAAAACTCATGAATGTGCTCACTGGTTCACAGGGAAAACCAATTTTGAACGACAAGCTGCTCCCTGCTGATTGGCTGGAGGATTTGCTCCAGATAAAGTGAGCAGTCCTCTCATTGGCTCATGGAAGGGACAGCTTAAGCTGTGATTGGCTGGTAAAAAGGAAGATGGGCGGGAGGTATAACTCATGAGGTCCAAATCTCAGTCTACAGTGTGAGAGTTAGCTGGTGGGGTGGTCGATCAGACAGGAAGGCATTTGCAAAAAAGGGTGGGGATGGTGTCAAGGAGGGGCGGCCATTTCTTATGCTGCCCGTCTATCCAGCGATCTCTGTTGCTGTGGTAACGAGCTTCTTGCCGTCCCAGACGGTCTTGAACTGCTCAGGAACAGGGAGCTCCGTCTAAGAGAGGGCATAAGACAGAAAACGTGTTGAAATGTATATTTCACATGCTTGTGATAAATAACAAAGGCTAAGTCTGGTAATATTCTGTCTTTCTTAATGATAAAAGACCAAAACCAACAATGTGTTAATCCGTCTTTCAATACTGACTTATCCTGTTTTACATTACATACAACCTTTACATCCCACCTAAGCTGAATCCCACTAGGATGGACTCCATCAGGAAAAAGGAAGCAAGACTGGCAAAAACAGCTGAGCTAAAAGGAGATGCATCTAACATGGGGAGTATCCCAGCATGTAGCACAAGACCGGTCTAGATGGTGGCAGATCATCGAAGCCTTATATCCCACCAGGGGCGAAGGGATTAAAAATAAAAAAGCTAAACTTAAATCTTTAAAAACATCTCACAAATTTTGATTTAATAAAAAAAGGCAAATTCTCTAAAACTGCTGGCAAATGTCACAACAAAATAATGCATTCACTGGGGGACATTTAGTGTGGGATTTGTTTTGACAGTAATAAAGATATAAAATATCACCAGATATTCCTTTAATTAATCTTTGAAATGTCCCTCCTGAAAAGATACTCACAAATTCTCCGTCATTGTTGGGTACCAGGATGTTCATCTCTGAGCTCTTGGCACTGACGATCTCGCAGCTCAGAGAGTCTTTGCTCAGGTAGATGTGGCAACCGTCCGTCTTGTTGATGGAGATAGTGGGGACCTTACCAATCACCTAAATACAAAAAAAGACAAGAGAATTTACCTCCCTACAATACATGTAATGGCTGCCCACTGGAAAAAGTTGCATTTATATCTGCTGTATCTAAATGGGAACCACATTTCTCTGCCCTCTGTTCTGATCAGCTATCAAGGTTTCCTTAAGCAAATTACAACAGTGAAGCTGCTCCGTTGCCAAAAACTGAGCAGCTTGCATTGTGTAACTACATGAATATAAATCAGCATAAAAAACAAAAACAACTAGAGGGGGAGACGAGAGCAGAAATCACTGGGTGCATTTTGCATTTCATGATATCAAACAGCACACTGAGTGGTGTGCCACAGATCATTCCTTGTGTCTGTTTTAGTCTCTTTAAAACAGCATTTTGTTCTTAAACTGCATGTACATACCTGGACCTTGACATCCTTGCAGTTGATGATCTCTACGATGCCCACGACATCATCAAACACCAGGCCCGTTTTCTTACAGTTGTCTGAGAGAAACAAAGTACACGTCATGTAACTGTAAGAGTCGATCTATGTTAAACCTCTCTCTGTTGCTGTACATGTAAATCATGTCTGTCTGTCCAGTGTTATGAAAATAGCTCAAGTACTTAACTGCTTCTACGAGCTGTGTATCAAAACCACTGCTGCTGCTCTAACTGAGGCCCTAACACAATAACTAACTTCCTATTTTCAGAACACCGGTATGCATCTGTCCCTTTCACCTCACCTAGTATCTTTGTCTCATGTCTCGCCTTTCAACACTGCCCCAGTTTGTTTGTTTATTTTTTTTTTTCTTACCTACAGTGATGGAGTTGATTTTTCCCTTAACCTGCACGGTGCTCTTGTTACACTTGAAAGCATAGACCACTTGTTTCAGCTCAGTGTTGTCGATCACCAGGTCCTGCACTCCCTCTTGGTTCTCCTGCAGAGGACAAGAAACAAAAAAGTGTGAACAAGGAAAAGAGCTGAGGAGCAAGAGTTGAGGAGACAATTAGATTAAAGCAGGATGGAACAGTGAAGTTACTATAAAAAGGTTAGCTATAAAAATTAAAAAATTATAACAAGTAATTCTCAGGTAACATTTTAGAGAGAATGAACCAACAACTTACCACTTTCCACTTCTTCCCCTCCAGCTCCAACACAGGGGGCAGCGTGCGGGTCGGGGTGGCAGATGCAGCAGGTCGGGCAGTGGGAGAAGCGAAAGGTTTTGGTCCGCTACGTACTGGAGCACCCTGAGACCTCAGGGCAGGATTCTTATGGGTCTTCTGGTCGTCGCCCACATGCTTCAGGCCTGGAGAGGTCAAGGAAAAAGGAAAATTCATATTTTTAATAACCTGAACATAGTGAAGCCTCTTTTGAAACTAACTCCACATACTTAAAATAAATAATTCATATACTATATCGGTTACTCTGTATGCAATCACGCCACCTCTAGAGTAAGTTTGCTTCATGTTCTGTCAACGGAAGGATGCAATTAGACACTGGGGTGGCACAGACTGACGCGAGCACATGTCCGCCTGAGTTAAAAATGTCTCCACAAAAAAATGTTGGTGTGGCTTTGTGAATAAACTTTGAAAAATATGTATAGGAGGAGAGACTAGAGGGAGTCCCTGGTGAGTTCAGAGTCAGAGCTGAACACAAACACACAGGGGAGGAAGGGTGAGTGAGTCGTTTGTTGCACTTCGCAACCCTCACCACTAGATGCCAGTAAAACTTACACAATTAACCTTTACACATAGCAACAATTCATCTGTGAAAGCACTTTTATATCCCAAGTCAAAACTTCGACCATAACAGACAAAAAGTATAAAAATGATCAGCGGTTCCTCCAACGCTGGGCACTGATATTACCCACCCTTGGTGATGTCGGCTCCCTTGTTGAGGGAGGCGAACAAAGCGTTGCGACTGTCGGCACCAGAATCGCCGCCGCCGCCGCTGACGTCCATTGGCGGAGGAGGAGGTCCAGGGGGAGGTGGGGGAGGACATCCACCAGCAGGAGCACTGGGGGGAGCTGCAGAGGCTGAAGCTATGGGACCCTGAGGTTGACAGAACATTTGAAATGCTGTAAGTGACGCCATCTAATGTCACAGAATATGATTCAATTGACCTTTTTACATTTGCGCAATTTACAGATACCATAATCCGATAGATATCAGTGTTTTCACTGAGGACAGATGACGAGGGTAATAACAGAAAACTGCTCTGTCCATTAAAGCAAGAAGAGGACCCATTTTTTATCAAAACTACTGAAAGTAAAACATTAAAAAAAATGAAATAAGCATATGGTTAAATATGACTTAAAAATACTGATGCGGCTGCTGATGTCTGCTGTACAGAGTCAGAGTTTAGAAACACACCTTCTGAGACATGCTTTGGAGCGATTATGCAAGTAATAAAATTTTCTCATTGGCCAAACACCAATTTTATCCCCTTCACATTCATCAGGCGTGCAGACAAATGATAAGAATAAAAGCTGGCTTTGATTTTGTTTGCAATCGCTTTCCATCATCATTGCCTGCATTTATCAACATGGTACAAAATTTCCCATCTTAGAGGATTTCTGTGTCGTAGCTCGTCTACCAGTTTCTGTTTGGTTTTATTTCATCTCTAATCTCATTTTTGTCAATTCCACATTTTAATTGCTACTGGAAGAGCACATCACTAAAAGACTGAACTGTCTGGCAGATGTAAAGTAAATCCTTGTCTGCAACTGGCTCAACATACATGAGATTAATCTTTTGATTGCTTGAGTGTTGCTATTAAAGGCGACTAACACTTCACTCCAAGTAAGAATAAGTTGCTTTATTAATGTGGGTTTATTCTTCATTCTCAGTGAATAACTTTTCCACTTGAACGTTGGCTATTTAGAGGATTTTATAATTCTTACACTCTTGTTCCAGGTGAGTCCGGTGGTGTGGTGCTTTTTGATGTACTCTTGCAGCTCAGTCCAGATGGAGACATAGGCCTTCACCCAGTCTGCATGTGACTTGTCCCTGTGAGGAAGAGATGGAAACAGAATTGTTCATTGATCTTCTTTTCACTGGTCTCTGCATCCTACAGGAAAACAGACCCTCCACACACCAAAAAGAACCAGAGATTTACTACTTAACATAAAACATGTAACTTTTTCTAACCCACATTTATCACTGATCCCAGATTTCACACTGTCTGAACTGACCGTTTTGATCCTGTCTTGTATTTTTACACAACATAACGGTTTTGCATTCAACTCCGCAAAGAGCTCACAGACAAATTTGAATGAGAAAGAAATTGAAAAAGCTGTTTCTGCTCAACAACCAGCACGAACAGGCTGATTATTTTCTGACTTCTAACTTGACTGTAACTGAAGTCTGCTCATAAACTACAAAAGCTTTGATTTCAGGTCTAGTTACAGGAAGTCTAGCACTAGCACACGTCAGCGTGTCGTGTGGCAGTGCTGACTCAGTAAAACTGAACTTAAAAAAGAACCTAGAGGAAGGAAAGATGGAAGCCAGATGGTCTGAGCAAACTGCTTGGCTGCATATAAAGGTTCATCTGATTATTTTAGTAATCACCGCCTTTCAAAAAGCAAATGACGCAAAAAACAACAAAAATAACAAAAATAAATGGAGTGTGTGGACCACTTCACTGCTGCAGACAAAGTAGGAAACAATATAATGAAGCTTACTTTTCCTTGAACTCCTTAAGCACACGGTTGGTGTAGAACATGGCGGCATCCTGCATCTCTTTAACGTAGGGGCATGGCTTTGGAGCCTGGGACACAAAGAGTTAGAGTTAAAGGAGTATGGAGCTAGAGCCGGGGAGGTGATTAGCTTAGCTAGGAATAAAGACTGGAGAGAGCCAGGCAAGCTTTTGTCCCCGCTTACAAAGTCCAAATATGGGGATGGGGATGGCGCAGTTGGTAAGACACATGCCTTTGGTGTGAGAGACCCGGGTTCAATTCCTCACGGTGACACATCCACCAATGTGTACCTGACTGTCTCCAGTCTTTGCACTTAAGTTATTGTCTGAATTAAGGTTCAAGTCTTTATGCTAAGCTCTAGCTTCCTAGTTAGTGTGCAAACATGTGGTATCTAAACTCTCACAAAACACATATTTCCCAAAATGTAGGACTATTCCTATAAATATTACACAATAACATAACTACTTCCTTTATTTTTAAACAGAAACCCTTGACTTATATATAGACATATACTGCTTTTTATATCCACATTGATGCTGGACCTACAAATATTTTTTCCTCAATTGCCTGCATGTACATAAGTTTTATTTATTTTTTTTTACACTTTTGTTGCCCTAGTTTTAACTGCATGTTGTTTTATATCTTCCTGTAAACTGCTCTTGAAATTATGAGTAAACAGAGTTGCGCACTACAGTAACAAAGTGATGAAAGTAATACATTCAGTTCAGAGGCTAAGAGATCTGAACATGCTGGAGTAGGTGTACAAAGAATGGATGCATCCATTATGTGTATTTCAAAACCTGATGTATTATTCATAGAATTTAAACAACAAACAAAGAGTTAACCATCTAAATTGTAACAGTGAAGCTCTGAAGCTAGTGGCCTTGTGTCTGCCAAGAAACTGTTGTTCACCAGACAGCGATGACAGAATCAAAGAGTGGCTTGTTTCCGGCCATTACACAGCCATTTATCTGCCCACACATGCAGAGTCAGTCTCAGTAACACACAAACAACAGTCCCAAAAAGCCTCACTTCTGACAGTTAACCACTCCCAGTCTCACCATAGCGACCCATCCGAGGGCTGGCACGCTCTCGCTCACGGCAGAGAGGTGGTTGAAAAACGGCGAGCTGCGGTTCTGCTCGCGAAACGTCTGCACCTGCTGGATCGCTTTGGACACCGGCTGCAGGAGAGTCGTCAAAACTGCCTGAACAGGAAAGAGATGACAAAGTTTCACAGTTATTAAAACTCATATGGTAGATTAAGTTCAAGTTTTTCCCCCTTTGATATAGTGACTTTGTGTACACCAACATTTTCTTGTTAAATGTAAATGCTTTGTATTTGCAACCAGGGGGAGCCAGGGATTAAACCGCCGACCTTCCAATTAACGGCCAACCCGCTCTACCTCCTGAGCCACAGCCACCATGTTACAAATGAAGTCATTTTTTTCCTTCCAAATCTAAATGTCTTCCATTTTCAGCAGACATGCCTTTGTCTAAAGCTGGATTTATAGTTGTAATGCAAAGCCATTTAGTAGAAAAATGCAACTAGCAGCTTTAGAGATACGAGGGGACCGCAAGAACTGGGGTGCTTGTATTTTCTGAAGTTGGACAAAGACTCTTTTCAGAAATATATCTAGCAAAGCCATTTCTCCTTATCTGATAGCCATGATCCCCATTTGCAGTGACAGAAAGACCACCATTAATCAGCAGTAAGTAATGAAAAAATGCAAAATGTACCTGTCTGTGAGTACATGGCCCACTGATGCTTAATATTATGAAGCAGTGCATAGTGCAGAACATGAAGTCCAATAAATACTACAATCCACTTCCCCCGAATTCAAATATAGTTTTGATTCAAAAGCTTGTTTGACCAGAACACATTTACGTGTCAACAACAGCACTTCAACCATACTGTACATGAAGCCGGCAACTGTTTATCCTTTGACAGTTATGTCTCTAGTGACCGAGTCATTTGCATCTACGTGTACATTCATTTCAGGTAAAACCAAAAATATTTCAAACAAATAAGCCTGCGTTTAAAAAAAAAAAAAAATTAATTTTTAATATATTATGTAGGGAGGAAACAAAGAGAAACGACGCCATGATAGAGAACCTGTACAGGAGAGTGAAGGCATGTAGGACATAATGAATTATACAAATTGAATGATCAATGCCGTTCAGTTAACTGAGACTTTAAACTCACATCAGAGGGCTTCTGGGAGGAGGAGGCTGTTATGAGGAGTTTTCTCTCGCAGGAGAAAGCCTGCTTCATCATTTCTGCCTGGAACAGAAGAGAGGGAATTTAGTTCAACATATCTTAACAGAACGGGCATCCTGGTGTTTTTGTATGCTTTTGCCCTCTTAAATTCAGTAACAATTACATATCTAACAAAACAAGCGAACGACAAACATGCACACTACACTTGTTATTTTAGTCTTCAGTCTGGTCAAGTTTGTTCATTTTTATCATAAAATTTTGTGTGCCATTTGGAGTAAATATATAAAAACACAGAGCCTGACTGATCCTTTTGGTGGTGTCTCAGAGTGAGATAACTGACTGTTGTTCACTGGCACATTTTATACAATTTATTATTACACTGTAACTTACATGTTTCTGGACATCACCCCCGATCTGCTGGCTGAGGGAGAAGTACTGGGCCACGGGACCGCTGACGATCACGTCAAAGGCTTCGACATACGCCGAGACAGCTGCAGGGAAGAAAACACAAGGCATAAAAATGCATTTTGTTTTTAAAAGACCATGTTATAGAAAATTAGTTAGGGCATAAAGATTTTATATTAAATCTGTAATATTTAGTATATAGATGAATGCAGTATAAATCCAATAAAGCACTATGAGGGAATTAAATGAAATTTTCATTGACTGATAGGAGTGAGCTACTCACTAACTGATGTCAACATCCTAAAGAGTTTACACTTCACAGCAAAGACTGTTGACATCCAAACTACATTATTTGTGTGCAGCAGTCTTGTTTAACTCCTTGATGAGGAAGGATAGTCAAATATCTTTATTGGTAATGTTGCTGAAGAAAAGATCAAACTCAAAACTTTATTGCTAAAGGAGGTCAGGGGATAAGGGATTTGTCATCTTTGTTTGTCTGAGGAGAGGCTGTACTGAGCGGCTGTGGCAGAACAGATGTGCTGTGACTTGCGATAACACGTTTACCTGATCTACTCTGACTAATGCACAATTTAAGTAATCCCACTCAGAGACACCATTCTTGATAAACCCATATATCCAATAATTCCATAATGATGATACTTGATGATCATTTACCTCCCCCAGCAGAATCTCCAGCGTTGCCTCCAGAGCCTGACATGGACTCCAGGCGACCCACCGCCACCTCCAGCCGCTGCACCAAACTCGCCAACTCAGCCATACCTGGGAGACAAGGAGAAAGCCGTGGAGGAGGGAACAATGGAGACGAAAAGCATGAGCTTGAGGGTTTACTGGTTCCTGGTTACATTATACTTCCCTGTTGTTGCTGCAATGGCAGCACTGTTACGTGCAACTCTACAAGCAGGGAGTTCTTCATTTCAAAAGCTCTTAATTGGTGCAACTGGCTACATACAAAGACAATGACTCAATGAAAATATAGCATTAGATTAAAGCTTAACTCAAAATGTTTAACACAAAATACAGACCTACAGAACTTCACATCCAGTTTCCTGTCTTCCTTATTTTTCTACCTTAGGAAAAATCCTCATATTCTCCACTATATTATTATATAATCCTTATCAGCTCTTTTCAACTTCCTGTGTTGTAATTTGTCGGGAGGTCGGCTGTTCTTATTCAGCGAGGAGGCACAGTGGTGCTTTCTTTTCTTGTAGTCTTCTAATTGGGGACTGAATTACTTCTGGGACACAAGGGGAAGGCAATTACTGCAATTAAAAATATGCTACTTTGTTGTGGCATAACAAAACAGCAGTGCTCTGGATCCACGGCACATTTTTACTTTGTCCTACAAGGCTTCGTAGAAGCATGTGTAACTGCCTGCAATTAGATGTCAAGCCTGGTGTCTTTATGTCAAGTCCCAGATGAACGAAAAGCATCAAATTCTCACATTTGAGAAGCCAGAAACCAGGGAATGTTCGGCATTTTTGCTTAAACCTATCGATCATGTATTCAATTAATCGTTGTAGCACTGACACACATTGTGACCATGATTTTATTACAGTTGTTCCCAACCCTTATGGCTTGCGACCTATTAAAAATGACCATTTGTGTCAACTTCTGACCCTTCGTCAGCACGAGAATGCCTTTTTTGGCCTTGTAATGAACATCAATTAATTCTACCTTTACACAGGCTGAGTAACAAAAAAGAAGTGTTTGTAAGCGGGTCAAGACTTGCTGAGTAAAAAGGTATGTAGATCATTAGCAGTTACTGCAGACTCTCCGCAGAGTGCAGACCTGCCCTGTTATCCCAACTATGTCGATTTCAGATGCTCGTATGTTTCAGTTTCAAACTTTAAAGGACAGCAGCTACAGTCTAAACATAGTCTCTGTCTGTGAGATTCTCCTAACGTAACCCCTTTAAGTACAAGATTAACTAACTTGAATCCCAGTCTAGCATAAGCTTGCACTTACGGACACACACACCTAATGAGAAAGGCTAACATAACATAAGACCGCTGTAACCCGACACTGCCTTCATTTGTGTGACGTCTCCAGTCTCAGGTACTTACACCTGGCTGACGGTGAATGGAGTGACACAGGCCACTCTCTCTAATGAGTCCAGGCAAGATAAACCTGCTGCCACTGTCTCGCTTTCACTACAGAGGGACTGAACTAAATCTTCAGATATCTAATGACAGAAAGAGCGTTTAACATTTTTGGCTGTGATAGATGAAGCTAGACGCAGTAACTTTTGGTATTAAAAGGTCGGGTCAAATTCATAATCTTGTTGTTTATACCTCTAACAGACAGTTTCTAAATTGTAAATCACATAGTTTGACAATGTGACCATTTTACATTCAGGCAAAGTTCTTGTGCATCTTCTTGTGTTTAGACAACACTTGTGAGACGTTAAGACATCTTTTGTGAAAAAAAAAAAGAAGTTTCTCTGTCAAAGTAGGTTCTCAAAAAATATACCAATACTAGAAATTCAATATCTGGTCAAATTCATATTCATTCATCTTGTTTATTTCTTAATAGCTCCAGATTTCAACCCTAATTTTACAAATGTATTTAATTGCACCCAAGTACTGTAAAAAAAGAAAAAGTACTGTTATCAAATCTCATATTATATTGGGACTAGTATCAAAACAGGGGCTGACGGATGACATTTTGTTCCCGCACTAAATGTTTAAGTCTTAAACCTTAAGGCTATGCATTGCTTACTCAAAAGTTGCTAGAAGAGCATCATGACTCCAACTTGCGAGTGAGGCCAATATTAATCATGTTGTTAGCAGGATAATGGTGCCTAAAAGCAGGGTGATATTTTGTGTCAGCCTTAGGGCTATTAAGTGCAACTGTTAAGTCATTTCAACAGGAGATTGTCAGCAGCATTAAATTACTATAAACCCATACAGTTGACTGGAGCTACTGCATGAGAGGTTGCGATAACCTTGTCACATTTAGAAACAAGACAAAACATTGGTACTATTCTTAAATGGTAGTCCAATTTAAAAAAATGCATCAACTTCCCTTTTTCTGAGATAGTTGGTGGTAAAATAAAATTAGATCATAGCAGAATACACATCCCTACTACCCTTGACCTAAATGCCTACATGTTCAGGGCCAAAGTAGTGTTTACGGTGTACCTGCAGATACCAGAGTTCAACTTTTACATTTCCTGGTCTCAGCTGAGAGATGACTCACCAGGAACACAGGAAGGGAGTGGCCCCTAAAAAGGTGTATGTGGAAGTAATAGACCAAAAAACAAGCACCTAAATGTGTGAGAATACTGTAGATGACAAAGTGTACCGTTTATAACACTAACAAGCTCTCAGTTTAGATTCTGGAGAACATTTGCTGAAGTGCGCTAAAGTAAAGTGACCACATATGTTCAAGCCAAGTGCTGACCATCAAGGAAACTCCACTCTCTAGGAAGTAAAAACAACTTTCCAGAGACGTGAGGGCAGCCACGACTCAAGCCAGGGAATCATGCCTTTCATAACACAACATTTTCCTTAGATTTAAGCACCATAAAAAGGCAAGACGGCCAAAACTAGAGTTGACTGCAATTTAAGAGGAGGAGGAGTAACCCGAGTCTACAGCAGCCTTTTTTTACTAGAATTTAAGAAAATGGATAAGTGTGCATAAGCTTGGACCCTTATAGTTAAAGTACACGTCTGGTTATCCCATAAAAAGAACAAAACTATTGATACAGAAGTATTGTCTGCATATCCAGAGCCTGATATCTTTCCTCTGTGCTATAGAGCTCCAAAAACTATTAAAAACATATCAATGAGCCCCACCATCACACTGGGTGACATGTTCTTTTATAACAATGAACGCCGGCACGGTAGTTTATTTTCAGTCAATCCCACATTCATCATATTGTAGCTGTTATCACAGCTGATAACCCAATAAATGCCCCAGTTAGTCCTGCTGGGAGTAATGGTAGCTAAACATTACAGTGCTTAGCTGTTATATATTATTAAAATTAAAGTATACAGGGTGGCCTGGTACCACACCTGCCTGTACCATTAAGACACACTATCTCCCATCTTTACTGTCTCTCTTCAGCGGTCACTATAAAATAAAGGCTAAAATGTCCCAACACTACACATTTGCAACTTGTTTTGCACCACAGACAAGGTAGGGAAGTCAGAAAGTATTAAACACAGACTAGGGCATTGTTGGTTTTGGTCTTTTCATGGGATTTGTTGCCAATAAGGAAAATATCACCAGCTAAATGTCACACTAAGAACATTAAACAGTGATGAAGGCCACAAGATCAACTTGTTTTACAAAAGTATTAATACATCAGTGAAGTAAAGATCTGTGTAATTTGTTTTGCAGAAGGGAGCGTGCTACGTTTTGCCTTTTAACATCAAGAGCCCCTGATCAACAGAAAGATGCATTTACACCTGGATTACATTCACTTCCTCTTCATTACAGATCCTGCTGGACTTCCTCCAATATGCAAAACCCCGCCAACTGTATTCATAAACCTACTTTTGTGGAAATATGACAAGCACATTCTGCATAGAGCAGCATCAGCATGCAGGGGCAATGAAGTAGGTTAGGCCTGTGTGGGGGTTTGTGCCTTTCCAGCCTGGGGACGTTGAGACATAAAGAAGGGAGCGTCCAACTCGGTGTATGTGCAGCCTTTTCTTTCTATTTGCACTGTATTAAAACACCCCACACACCTTCTCGGCTTTGTCGCAGAGACAGAAGTAGGCCAGAGCAAAGGGCGGTGAGATCTAACCTTCCTAGACAGTCTTACTTCGGTGGGCTCAAGCCTCCTACAAATCAAGCTCAAGCCGCTGATGTTAATGCGATCACTGGGGCTTCAGTCAGACGGCCGAGGGTGCTAGCTAGGCTACAGCTAGCTAGCAGAACCCGGTGGGTGTCGTGCGGAATTCTGTGTCCCCAGAAAGTCTCCCCTCCAAGCCCATAAACTGTTACCTATAAAAATAATATTTCACATGAGGGGCGAGGAGATACTTTTAACAGCTGTGACTTGTCCCCAAGTCAACACATGTTGTCCCTAAATAACGTCAGCTTGTTCTAGACTGTTGCTTCACCGATGAGGAAACAAGTCTGCCGGGGATACGAAATGTGTCAAAACACCATCGCAACAATGAGAACGCTGGCTAATGTAACTCCTGTCAAACTGTTTCACAAAAGCAACATTAGTGTGTACAGTATTAGCTGGTGTATGCCACCCCCTCCCTTCTCCTCCCTGTTGAGTGTCTGCTGTCTGTTTCGGTATTTCCTGGATTTTCTCTCCCTTTCTCTCTCTCTCTTACACCCCTCCCTGTGTTAGCTAATGTTGCCCTAGTCTGCAGGGGGAAAAAGAAAGAAGTTTGCACATTTCAGCGAGCTCACGTCTCTCTTACCACAGAAAGAAGAAGTCTAAGTAAGCAAGGATAAAAACATTTTTTAAAGATCTGGGTCTGGTTATCGGAGAGGCGTCAGCTTTTAGCAGCCGCGGTTAGCCGGGTGTGTTAGCATCACACCGATTTCAATAAATCATTTCTGAATGATTCGATGTCGCGGCAAAGGAGACGCGTTAACGGACGTGTTGTCGTCTCTTTCGCTTGCTTTTTACGCTACAGCGAAACCGTTAAATGCGCTAATGTCAACAGTTGCATGTCGCTTACCTGCTAAACTGGTCAAGCAGTGATTTGGTTTTTTTGTATCGCTGTCAATTCCGCCGTGGGAGTGTGCAGTGTGCAGGCTCACAAGACAGACTCGCTTCGTCTTTTTTTTTTCTTCCTGGATGTCAGTGAATTTACCCAGCTGTCACCGCGCCGCGTTTCCGCCCTTGTTCGCGCAACTAATTCCTTTCCCATATAAGGAGTGTGAGAGGCAAGAGGGCAGCGCAAATAATGAGAGGAAAGATGAAACAACCGCTTTCCTTCCTCTATACAGAGGCTATGCGGCGGAGATATGTCATCGTGACATTAATTTCCCTTTAAAGAACATACCAATGCCTTTTAGAAGAACAGTCACATGTCACACGTTCTGAATATTATGTATCTGCAGGCTAGTGCAGTTTGCACAGGAGCACCCCTAGACTGTATGGGAGCATCTCAGTGTTGTGTCTTGTGCTCTTTCGTGCTTGAACATGTTTGCAGGGTTGTCCTTGCCTCTAAGAATTCAGTAAATATGTCCCAGCTGAAGGTTTTTCTCCAAGGGTGCATTAGACTATTCTCAGTAAACTGGAGTTTCAGTCACTGCATTTATTTAAAACATGAATCTTATGTTCTAAAGCTGTCACACATGCAGGTGACAGTGCCAATCCGCAAGCAAGCAAGATTAATGGCGCTTTCCAATGCCCAAAAGTATTATCATGTTCAAGTAAACTGTCAGTAAGTTTGACTAATAATCAAATAATCTATTTATTTGTAAAATGTCAGAAAAAACGTGCCCATAACAATTCAAGAGCCCAAACTGACATTTTCAAAATGCTTTTCTCCAACAAACTACAACCCAAAGATAATTTAAAACTATATCAAAACAGAGAAAAGCAGCAAGTCTTCAGTTTTAGAAGCACGAAAATAGTGAATGTTTAGCATTTTTCCTTTAAAAAAGGACTTTTTGTGACAAATTGTAGACAATTATTTCTCTTTTGTTCGACTGTCTATAAGCCAAAGTGAAATTAGACCTTGTTGGAAAGTCGAAATAAATAAAATCAGCATAAAAGTAAATATTTTCTACGCTGTCATCATGGGGTGAAATTACATAACTAAAGTGGCCTTCTTCCATCATCAGTTGTTATGGACACCATCATCTCACACATTGTGTTAATGGAGCAGCAAAGGACAACCATCGAGGTTAATGGGCTCATAAAAGTCAATGAGATTGTGAGGGAGACGTATGAATGTGAGCATGGGTTAATGTTTCATCTGAGGAGGGAGAGTCTTTGGTACAGTACTTTCAAAATACTGTAAAGACAGCTCTCACAGATAAAATTAATGCCCTTACAGTACAAGGATGCATTTGGCATGAAATATTGAAAATGGAGCACATGCATTAAGGCACAATAAGAAACAATGCATCACACTCCAGTGAAACCTAGTGAGAAAGAAATGCTCGTCCATGATAACTATTATCAACAGTTTTGGCCCAAAAAAATTCCTTTGGCCAAAATAAAAATTAAGTCCTCAGCTAATCTTGCATGCGTTACCCCATTTCAGGCTTCTACTATAACTTCATAATCTACTGTTCTTGAGTATATCAAGCGTCACAGGTCTGTAAAAAGGACTTTGATGAAGTCCCATGGCTTAAAATTCACAGTGTCACATCACATGGTCCTTTTCGTTTGACTCTGCATGTTGGGACAAAGTGTGAGTAAGGACGGGAAATAGGAGGAAAAGGGGAAAGAAAAGTCCAGTTTTTGCCACAAGCTTTCATCAACCGAAGCAAGCACACATCTCTCAGAAAACTCAAGAACTGAAACATTTTTATTTTTTATGTTACAGATTATCCAGTTGCATCAGGCCTGGCCACACAGAAGGAAATAAAAGGTAATCCTTCACTAAAACATCTTTTAAAACATCTTAAATTAAAACTCCCTTCAATTAACAGTTTCTCCATATTTTCTGTCTGCCTTCACAGTGGACTCCATCAGAGTCAAGGTCAATTTACTCACTTATATAAATCTTAAAAAATAAAATTAAAAAAAAAGGCAAATGTACATGTAACAGAAGAAATACTGAATTTTTTGTTGTCAAATAGGTAACAAATTATCCTTCAAAGTTGTTTTTTTTTACTGCGAGTTTTGGGGGAAAACGGTACACAGGTAAACAAAATGAGAGTGAAACAGCATCAAATTATGCCATCAGTGTTCAAAAGATGAGATTTTTCAGAGTTGGCACTTGGGTGCACTAGATTTTAATTTGCCTCACACAAGGTGGCAAAAGATGGACAGATAAATACAGCAAGTCTGAATGAAGTATTTTTAAAAGAATCTGGCCTGACGTTCACTGGGTGCAGCAGAACTGACATCGGCATGAGATGACTTAACAGTAAGCAATAAGACATGTTTTTTTGCAAAAGTTTGCTTACCTCACAGAGTACAAGTTGAACGGTTGTAATGACCTTTTAACATTCAACAACCAAAGAAAAGGGGACTTACAGGCCAGTTTCACATGTAAAGCAATCACACACTGAGATGTTGCATGGAAGAGTCATTTGGTTCAAGTTTTCAATCAGTGCAGAAACACCCGTCACTGCCGCAGATACACAGAAGAAACAAAAGCAGCTTCTGTTCGTTCTCTTCTATGTTCTTACAGCCTTCCTTTGAGACCTGTTCCTGCTGCGTTTATGGCAATCTCCTCTCTCCTCATATTAACCTTCTGCTCTTATCCCAGTTGTGGGAAGAAATCATTTGTTTGTGGGATTTAACACAGTTTCAGGTCCTACTGGACACACAACTCACTTTCATTCCTAGAGGAAGTTTAGTAATACTTTTACAATTAATGTCTAATGTCTGTCTTGATCATGTCACTCATACAGATTTTTTTTGGTGTATTTTTGTAATCCTCAAATTGAACTAATTGAACATTTGCCAAAAGGAAAGCAAGCAAACATATCATATGGTCGCTGAAATTGCATCCCCTCATCTTTTAAGTCAACGAAATGAAGTATTTAATTTATTTGGAATGCAGTCAAGTCCCGTGTTTAGGGCTGAACCTTACAACTTTAACCATCATAGATCTCCCGTTTTAACCAACACGAGACAAAATAAGACTGAAGCTGACAGACATGAAATCAAAGTGCATCGACATCTAATCACAGCCTAAAGGTTGGTAATAAAAAAAAAAACAACAAAAAACTTAAGTGGTCTTCATGGTTCAAGGAGTCATTCCATTAATGAATAATGAAGTGAGTGAGGAAGAAGTGTTCAGTCCATCCTATTCGTTGTCTTGGGAACTTCTCCTCATTATCAAACCAAACTCATTAACGTTGTGTATTCCAGTGTGTGTTCCAGTGATTTAATCCACAGAGAAGCCTTCAGAGTAAAAGCGAGGCGTTTTTGTTTTTTTGAAAGACACCTTCTGCCTCTGATCGACACAACTAACAACACTGTGACTCTTCCCTGGGTTAATAACAGAAATAAAAATGTATAAACTGCTCTGAACAAACATGTTTTGGCTCAGCAGCCAGAAAAATCTACACATACACCCAACATACAAAACGTGCAGGCGATCATTCCAGTATCAAATTATACCAGAACTACTTTCACTCTTCATGCACATATTTTTTTTCTTTTTTTGGAGGAGGAGTGTCCATTGCTGTTGGTAGCTCTATTTTGGTTGTGTTTGGTTCTTTCCAAAGAGTCACCGTGTTTGGCCTCTTAACAAAAATCATCAGAGCAGAGTTAACCATTGGTTTTAACATGGCAGTGTTTGGTAGCATCAGGGTTGACCTGGAACAGTGTGAAAACGATGTCTTTGTGTGCGTACATGCGTGTCTACAAGAGGCAAGGTGTGAGCGAGCGTGTCAAGTGGCTGGTTTTTGTGTAAGTGAAGCTTCTTTTCTTTTTTTTAAAATCAAGAAAGTCAAGTGTCACTCAGGCTACTTACTCTCCCACGGTCTCTAAACAACATGTGCCTCAGTAAGAGGGGTAACTACATTCTTTAAGTCACTGTGTTAAATAAAAGGGGTCTACGTTATATTGTTTTACCATTAAAAACACAGTGCTCACTACTAGTTCTCAGCAAACAGTTTTTTTCCCCTCCATATTGGCTCAGTGTGGGAGCAGGGGAATTTCAGTACAGTGGTGTTTTTTCTGTGACCGCATGTTTTTCCTTCTTTCTCTTCCTAAATCCAGGCAACACACAGTCTCTCTTCATAGATGAGAGGTGTGAGGGTTTTTGTGTTGAACAACGACAAAAGAGAAACAGGAAGAGTGAGGAACAGAGGGTTGTGACAGCTGAGATGCGATGTGTGTGTGAGGGCAGCAGCGAGCTCCCCCCTTCCTCCCTTGCTATAGCAGCTCCTCTCTTTGCTTTTTGCCCCTCACCGGCCCCTGCCCGTTCCTCAGGGAGCCATTCTGGGGCCGCAGGAGATGCCCGCGCTCCTGCTCCGTCCACGGGACCCCGCCCTGACCGTCATCGCTGTACAGGTCGGAGTCTGAGTGCATGAGGGCGGAGGAGGTGGGAGCGGGCACCGGCTTCATGCGGGCTGTTAGGCAGGCGGTGGAGGAGAAGAGAAGGAAACAGTTTGATGTCTAGCCCGGACCAAGTGGAATATTTAATTTAATCCTTTACTTAAACAGGTAGTATGTGAACTGTCTTACCAGCTCTAGGTGGTTGTAGCTCCAAACTGTCCTGCTCATCAGCTTCTAGTATTTTATACCTGCTTTTGCTCCTGCGCACTTTGCTCTTACGCCTTTCAGGGGCAAAAAAAAGAAAGAGAAATGATGTACATACTGTATGTAGAAGACATTTAGTAATAATCCTAATAATATTTGACAGTTTAGAAACTGTGATCACCTGTTGCAGCAACACACCATCCCCCAGACAACTGTTGCTATAGCAACCACAATCATAAAGGATGCTATGGTCACATAGAGCACGCTCCACTCTGAAAACAAAATATTTGTTAGACACAAAAGCAAAGTGTGTTATCACTCTGCAATGGACTACGTGGAACATATTAAAAAGCCATTATTAAAGCCCGGGTAGGCCATGCTGGATGAATTAGCAAGAGACAGCTAAGTTTTGAAAGTGTCCCCCTCTGTTCAAGCCTCCCTTTCAAAGCAATTTCCCTAAAAACGCATTTTCATAAGCAATGAGTGCACAGACAGAGGTAGGTAGACAGGCACAAAAGCCAGCCAATCATTTTATTCAGAATGAATGAAATGATTGGTCATTTTTATTTTAGTCCTGCAACAGCTTTTTTAATTTTCATGTCAGAGTATAAATCAGGGTATTTGTTTTAATTACTGCTGTCGGGATGTAAAAAGACATGAGAAAAAAATTCTTCCGAAATAAATTGCCTACTACATGAATATTTCAGAAGATTAAAACCATGAGATCTTTACTGTGGTGTTTGGGGAAAAAATTATCATGTTACATGTGATGCACTGACCGATGAAAATACTCAATTAATGAGATTCATCTCATCTCACCACAATTGCTCTCTGCATCTCCAAGCTGAGCTCGGATGAAGTTCTCCATCCAGAAAGGGTGGCAGACACAGCTCCGTGTGAATGAGTCACATTCGCCGTGACCTGAGCAGTTTAGCTGGCAGACTGAGGGAGAAAAGCAGCAGGGTACCATATGTATATTTATAGAACAAAAACGGGCTCTTTAAATACAAGAACATTGTACAGATTTCATCACAGAGGCAAGACAGAAAGAGTCAAGGGAGGATAAGATATAACGTGTAAATCATAGAGATTTGACCTTTGAGTCCTGTCAATCCCTGTCATAATCTGACCATTATCTTAGAGATCAAGAGGTTAAAGCAGCTGTGTTACTATGACCTGCCTGTAGCATCTGGTTCAAGAGGAACATCAACTTAAATCATGTGGCAACGTGTATAAAACAAATTCACTGAACATTATATGATTTTAACTACTAAGCTTGTTATACTGCTTGTAAACTAATATGTACAGTATAATCCAGCATCATGTACAGCATAGTGCCCTGTGTACAAAGCACATTTCTTTCTCCCTGTGTTGTGTGTGTACCTTACAAACTATATTTGCCATGTACTCACTGACTGTATCCACTTGTCGAGCCTTGTAGATGAGAAAGTCATTCTTCTGCTTGCGCAGTTTGTTGCGTAGGCTAAGTGCAACGCTGTGGCCAGACAGAGGAGGGCGCCCTGGACCACCTGACACCAGGAAGACCAAACGAGTGCTGAGGAGGGAGGAAGAAAGGGGAAAAATGCTTAATTATATAGTAAAATCATCCTTTTTCATGATTATGTTTATATTTCATTACCAGGCTTACAGATGAAAAGTCAAGTTGGAGTTATAATAAAAGTCTAACATTCAGATATACAGGGATTTTAGACCAGAAATAAAACTTGCAAAATAAATAACTCAAAAAGAATAAGTAGAACGACTCACCTGTGCTCATTATACGCACTGATCTCCCGCACTATGATGTCGCTGTCGAGCACACCCAGTAAAACCCCAACCTGGCGCAGCAGCATGTCACGCTGCCGGTGGGAGACCTGGGATACAGAGACCTCCAGCACCAACTCCACTAGGTCACGCTCCCATACGTCTGATAAACAGAAAACAGAAAACTCAGAAGGGACCTGGACAGGGGTGGGAACGGTAGAGAGGAGAGTGCAGTGTACTGGAAAAGAAAAAGTAACAAGTAGAGGGAGAAAGTGACATGAGAAAAACAGGCTGATTGCAGGACCCATCCGATACTCCGTAATCTGGGAAAGAGGCCAGAGCACCAAGTGACGGATTAGTTTCTGGCTGTGTCTGTGTCTGTTCACCGTATGCTGCACGCTGACCTGCTCAACCTTCTGCTGTTGACTGCAGAGTCTCTTGCTGTGTGGAAGCCGTTCGTATGCATGGGCTTTGGTTTTAAAGGAAAAAAACTCCATTACATCGCAAAAGGCATTATGTGATGAAATGCTGTAATTTAAAAAGGTTCTTTTTATGAGATTCTGAACATTAATATAGCAGACAACAACTCTTTGCTGTGGAAAGATATTGTGGAGTAATGGTTCCCTGAGCAGAGAATGACGTCAGACTCCCTCTGCATGTGTTGTTTTCCCAGCCTCTCAGACCGTTGTTTATACAGCCGGTCAGGCCGCGTGTGCATGATAGTGCATGCGAGTCCCTCCGTGTGAAACCGTTCATCTGTGAGGAGAGTGATATAACAGTTGTTTCTTTTTTCATGTAAGGCTACGTACAGACTGCAGACCAATACGATTTTTTTGTTCATGTGTGACTCCATATGTTTCCAGTTCGGAGTTGGGACACTTCCATATGTGGTCCAAATCCGATACAGATCGGATCTTTTTAAATGCAACCCGAGTTTGGACACTCAGGTCGGAATTGATGCGACTTTGACTTCACTCTAGAGCAGGTAGTGTCACAGTTCTGCTGTAGACGGAGCCGAGGTGAAGGAAAAAGCTCCACAAAAATCCATTCTTAAACATGTGGCTCTCTTTCTTCTCTACCTAGCTTTCATTTGCTCACAAATTCCCTTTCTTACATCTGAAATCCATCGGACCGCAAGCTCTCTTCTGAGTTACGTGCATGCTATTTGTCTGAGCGCGGTTGTGGGGCAGTTGCATTGTACAGCGGCAAAAACCGTAATGAGAAGGACAGAAAGTTGTGAACACTTATCATAATTTGGGAGAAATGTGACCCGTGAGAGGACAATAAAAAACGAGAGTCTCCTGTGAGCTAACCGGAGCCAACCTCTGTGGCTCCTTGTTTACTTCTGTATCCTGCAACAGCGTGCTACATGTGACGGCATGTTATTCTTCTGCACATGCGGGTCACTTTTCAGGCTGCGGACAGTTCACACTGGAGTCTGATATGGGCAATAGTGTGAACTGTCAAACAAAAGAAATCGGATCTGGGAAAAAAATCTGAACTGAGTATTAAGGCCTGCAGTCTGAACGTAGCCTATTATTTTGACCAACCCAGAGTTGGTGATTGCTGGAACAGTAGAAAGACTAACAAAGACAGTTTTGGTGAGTTTTTTTGTTTCTGCTGAGTTTGAATGAAGTGTGTTTAACAATGACGTGCAAGATAAAATAATTGTTTTATTCCCCCCAATGGAGTCTGGTGGCAGCAAGAGCGATATAATAGTTAAACAATAAGATCATTTTTGTTAACAAAAAGGTCTCTCTCTGTAGGGATCTTTTCCATAATGTTGTCAGACACAATCTGAGCCTGCCAGTGGCAAAAAAAGCACTTCTAGTGGACATTGTTTGACTAGTGAATTTGTCCCCTGCTGCCATTGAAGCCTGATCTGTGTGTGAATATTTCTGTGAATTAAGGATTTATTGTGACCAAACCAAAGTTGATGATTGTTGAAACAGTTACTGTTTTTCTCAATGAAGTCTGGTGGCCCATTTGTTTTGGTCTGAGATCTCGTGCCCTAATTGCCCCCATTTAGTGACCGCAAATGTCACATACAGCTCCTTTAACTTTTGATTTTTTTTCACTTTTCCTGAACATTGCCCTCAGTGACCCCAAGAAAATGTTCAGTATGTGGCAGTGGAGAGAGCAACACAACAATATAGAAAGAGTAATAAGAATCTTTTTTTTCAGTCAAGGACTCTTTTTCATAAGATATGGTGAAATCACAACAAACTGTCACCTTACTACAATACGAAAGCGTGAAAAGAAGCTGCTGCTCTTTGATTATGAGGGACAAGGAAAAACGAAACAAGAGACATAAAAGCATGGTGCATCGCCAAAAGAGGTTTTATATCAGTGTGAAAGTGTGTATATACCTGGTTTGACCTCCACTGTGCCCCTGTCAGTGCTGGTCTGTCCCTTACTGTCAGTTACAGTTAGGGTGAAGCTGTACTTCCCCTCCACCAGGTTTCCCAGAAACAGCACTGCCTGGTGGTCTGAACTGTTCAGTACATCCTATAAAAAAAACACAAGCGTTAAAATGTTTATAATTTTTGCTCATTTGCTAATACTGTGGATGTCTGATGTTGGCTACAACGTAAATCACAAGCAGCTGTTTTAGCGTGGTTTAAGTGTTTCAGGGAGGAATCAGAGTCAGAGCAAACAACAATCATTTGTAATATTCAGTCCCAGGACTCATTACAACAGCGAGTCTCACCCCAGCGGCAGGGCTGCTGTCATCTCTGGTCCACAGGTAGCTGACGCCACCTTTGTCATCAGTGGAGCGAGATCCATCTAGAGTGGCGGTCCTGGCAGGCAGAGCGATGGGCGGACTCGACACAACATGAGCCACTGGCGGCTGGTCCAGTTCTGGTGGAAAAACACAAGACACTGATTTCAGAAACACATTACACTCAAAAACGCATCATGAAATACTGTATATTCATTCATTGAGGTAGATATCCAGGTACAGTTTAAGCCAGTGTTTCTTGCTTGTTGCCACTGTTACATCTACAACAATTACAAAAGGAGGAGACAGGTTTTTTTTAGTAGCAGGTCCTAAGCTCTGGAACTCTCTTCCTCTCAACATTAGAGCAGCTACCTCTATTGAGAGCTTTAAATCACTTTTTGCACTGGCTTTTAACACATGCTGAGCTGTGACATTTTATCGTTGTTATTGCTTTAAGTATAGTTTTTATCTGTTGTCTGTTTTTGGCATATTTTGTTTTAGAAGGGTTGTTTACAATTTATTATGCTTTTTTATCTTATGCTGTTCTCTGTATCTGTACAGCACTTTGGGGCAGTAGTGACTGTTTGTAAATGTGCTATATGAATAAACTTTGACCTTGACCAAAAGTAATATAAGGAACAGAAGAAGAAAAAATATGGATCATCACTCAACACAACAGATGTCTGTGCGCATATTCCGTGTATGTAACTAGGTATGATCATGTATAGCTGATTGTGTGTGCGTTCACAGGTATTTATAATCATGTGTATATAGGATGAGTATGTGTGCACATATGTGCATTGTACAGTATTTCTGAAAATGTTTTTATTATGGACTCTTGGGAGACTAGCTTTGAGCAAAGGATTTACTGACACTGTGCATAAAACAATGTCAAGTTCAGAAACATGCCCAAAGCATACAAGCTTACCGTTGTAAGCTTGTGAGATAAGAACGACTTCTGCTTTAAACACACACACACACACACACAGAACTGTACTTATAATGCTTGAAAAGTGTAAATGCTTCCTTAATTACAAATTCATATTTCTCAACAACATCCATAATCCTCACCTCTCTGACACCAACCGCTGCCAGCTATTTTGCTGAAGAGAAATGGATTAGTCCACACACACACACACACACACACACACACACACACACACTCCTAACCTTCTCTGACGATGACCGTGACAGTGTCGCTACTCGCCAGCTTCCTCTCATCAGTTACTGTCAGGGTGAACTCGTACGTGCCGACCTCAAGACCTGTCACCGTGGCAACAGCCGTGTCTGCATTCTCAATCTTCACACCATCAGGACCCCTGGTGGAGGGAGACATGTAGACAGAAGCAGAAACACAAAGTGTGAAAAGGAATTTACATAAACTTTGATGACACTGAAAAGGTGCAACAGAGCTTGACGTTTTTAACTTAGGCTGCAGTCAATGCAAAGTGCCTGCATAAGTCTGTGTCTGACTGACTTGGTTTGTTTCCAGTGGTAGGTGGCTATCTTCTGGTCGTCGCTGCTTTTATTGCCATCCAGCGTGGTTCGATCAACCGGCAACGTCAGCTCTTTCTCCGGTCCTGCATCTGCTACTGGTGGCTTGTTGTTTTCTGGAGGACGCAGAGTGAGAGGGACACTGCGATGAAACCCACATGAAAGATATAGTACAAAGTGGGCTGATGTTGTTCTTTGTATTCTTTCAACAACAATTTTCTTAATTGGTTATTAACTAACAACATCCCAGAAAAAACAAAAACAAAAAAAACCCTATATAACTGTATTCAGATCTTCTGATTCTATGATCATTTCTACTGCGCACATAAAGATCACCTGCTCTGGAATTACAGATTCTTTTTTGGCTACTGTTACTGAATGCTTCGCTGACCTCGCAGGCAGATGTGTGTTGACATAAGAAGCCTGTTCAAACATTGCAAAATCTCATAGTTGTGTGTGGTGACACTCTCTACACTAGGCTGAACGTACACACGGACCCACAGACATCTCCTATTCACTGAGACAAAACAATGTTGACCAAATGTTAAGCAAATAGGATTTCATATCAGCAGTTTAAGTACTGACATCAGCTACACACATTATTAAAAGGCCAAGTATAGATACAGCTACATTATATACTGATGCTCAGTAAGCTCTTCACATTTCATGCGTATATTTGAATATAACCTGTGGGAGAGAGTAGGGGCTAACAAGAAGTAGTGTTTAAGTGGTGCACACAGCTGAATAAATAGATGTAAAAAACATGGTTAATAAAAGTAAGGAAAGCATGACAGCTATAAGGAAGCAAGAAGCAAAAACTGCAAATAATACTCTCACCAGCCTATTAATCAAATATGCCTCTCAACGTTTCACTGAAAACACTATTCAAAAAGTGCTCAGGTGACATTAACAGGAGCTTTGTTTTTTACTCTCCAGCTGCTTACCTGGCTGTACAATGACAGTGACCTGCGCAGTGTCTTGCTGTCCAGCAGAGTCTGTCACAGTCAGTTGGAAGGTGTAGTCTCCTTCCTGCATAGCCGACAGCTGCAAGATCGGTGTCCGTACGCCCTGAAAAGCACAAAAAGATGCCATTCTTAGCCATGATTCTCTTATCAAGGACATAATTAAGTAAAACCTTATATGTATGAGCCTCTCACCTGCATCTCCACCACCTTGTCTTTGCTCTCGGGGCTGAGGGACCACTCATAAGACAGGGAATCATGGTCGTCAGTGCTTTGGTTGCCGTACAGAGTGATGGAATTGCGCGGCAACTGGATGACCTGGATGAATTAAGAGGAAAGACCAGCTATCGGTTATCAGGAGTGCATTAGTTTGGTCAAAAAAAACCCCCAATTTTTTTAAGTGATCTACTACTTCCTGTAATTGTATGAATATACAATAACTAAAACAGTGGTGACAGAAAGTACTTCAGACCTGGTTAGGGCCGGCGTTGGCCACAGGCCGGTAATCCTTGGCTTTGTTGACTGAGAGCGTGGCCTGTGTCGAGTTTGTGGCTCCGTCTGAGTCTGTCACTGTCAAACTGAGAAATATAAATAATGTCACCTCTGACTTAAATCAAAACACAGTCCGTAAAATCCTAACTTTGATTTGCATGTAGTAAACAACAATTTCAGTAATTTATATATAGAGAATTGGGGCCCAGTATTCAACAGTTTTTTCATTCCCATTTCTCTCGCTCTTTGTAAATGCTTAAGTCAGATATTTGTAGCATATTTATTGCCAATTTCACTTAAACAATGACACTGATCTCTACAGGATGACAGAGGTCCACCCGTACCTGAACGTGTAGTTCCCATGCACCAGACTGGTGAGGGTCAGGACGGGTGTGTCGGCAGAGACCTTCTCCTCCCTCAGGGGACCTTTAATCTCTTCCCAGTGCCACGCCACCACCTTGTCATCATCGGTGCTCTCTGTAAAGAGGAGGAAGGAACAGGGCATAACGGAAGAGGGGCCCAGGGATAATGACCTGTTAAATGCATCTGACAGCATGAGAGGGAAATGGTACATATTTTGAGGCTTCTTCTCATTAGCTGGTGTTTAAGATGTTTGAGCATGTGTGCATGTGTGTGTCATGTGGGACACTCACGGCTGCCGTCTATGACAGTGGAGCTTGTTGGCAAAGAGATCTCCTGGAACTTTGGGGAAACTACAGCAACAGGAGGCTTGTTTACCCGCGGCTCTGTCAGGTGGAAAACAAGAAATTAACTTGCTTACCGAACTGTACATAAGCTGTTTGCGACTGAGGCAGCATGCACAAGTCAGTGGCTACCTTAACACAAATACAACTGTGTCTGGCAGGATAGCAGCCCCGTCTTCCAGCAATAAGATCTGAGTTTATCTAGTCAACGTGAGGCATAATTGTGGAGTAATTCCTGATTTTTATAATTTACGCTGGCAGTTAGGGAAGACAAACCATCAAACATTAGTCATGGTCTCCTGAAGACCTACTATAGCAGAAGATCCACACCATTACTTAGCTTAATTAGAATTAGCACATGCATTATTAGACACTGTTTATATCAAGCTACAAATTTCGACAGAAGAAAGCACTGTACACACAGGCACTGGTTAAAATATGTTACATTACAACAGCTCTACAACAAAAAAAGCACTTTTTTTTTATAGCTTTTAAAAAAATTTGTGGTAAAAGAACTGTCTTTCAGTCTCAGAGAGTGAGGTGTGACAGTTCTTCTTTGCCTATGTTTGCCATATGTCATCATGATTTTTTAGGTTTTCCACACAGGTGTCTGCCACATGACTTAAGTCAAGTCAATTTTTATTTATTGGTCCAATATCTCAAATTTGCCTCAAGGCGCTTTACAATCTGCACAGCATACGCCTAAACTATTGGATTTCAAATGACTCACTTATGTACTTTCCTTTTTGATTCATTTCCTGTATTTACAGTGTTCGCTGCATGAACTGGTGGTGCAGCAGCTGAAAATATTACCAAGTTCTGTGATGTGGCAAGAGAAAAAGTCTTGGAATATATTATCATTTAAATTCTAACACAGGAAAACTGAATAATGGAGGAGGACGAGGAGTCAAAAGTATGTCCTCAATAACATGTACATTTAACAGGATATTTTCTAAAAAAACTACAGCCTGAAAAATGTCTATTATGTAAAATGAAGCGCTCAGAAATCAAAAATCGAATATTGTGTATCAAATTGATATTTACTTCAAGGCATGTGTATATTGTGTTTTGGTTATTTCATGTCTGCATCAACTGCTTGTTTTGAAAGGGGCACACTCCCTGCACACCACAATGTGAATGAGATTTTACATGGTGCTTAATATACAGCCTCACCTGGTTTGACTGTGACATTGACGTAACCTTCTCCATGGGCCCCCTCCCCGTCCACCGTCACCTCAAACTCATACAGGCCCACAGTCAGCTGAGAGAGAGGAGAGAGCGAGCTAATCAAGCAAGCAGGAAGAGGAAGAGCAGGAAGTGATCTTTTGAAGACAATCCGTGTCCTTTACACACTACTGAAACCTTCTGTGCATGCATTCAATACAGCTCCAGCTGCATGTTTTATTTTTAGCAGAACATGAATATGAAGGCGATGATCAGGTACCTTGCTGAGTTTAAGTGTCGTGCTGTGCTTCCCTTCCATCTCCCCGCTGTAATCTTTGGGATGAGTTATCAGACGCCAGTCAAATGCATAGTTTGTCCCTATAAAGAAATAAGTACAAGTACATTAAACAAAACTGCTCAAGTATTTAATTCAGATCTATCAGATAAGGATCATTTCCATATGAGAGATTTTGGTATGGTTAGAGCATGTCGAGGGGATCAAAGGATTAACAAAGTTATGACATGCATTCCTTTTCCTGACTGTATCGTCTTTTTCCAGTCTGGATTTGAAATTATCTGGCAAGGATTCGTGACGTACAGTATGCAGATGGTGACTCAGGAATAAGGTCAAGCAGGCTGTACTTCATCATCGTTCAATTACTGAACACCAAAAATATTACTACATGCTAAATTGACAGTTGGTCTACAACACACAAAAAGTCAAACTAATTTTCCAGACTGGATAGCTTTGATACTACCAACTGGATACAGGAAAAGCAGATTCTTCACGTCAGAAAACTGCTGAAATTACACGATGTACCGTATGCAACATGTTTCAAGGTAATTTCAAGGTAATAAACTGCAATAGTTTGTCTAATATTTCCATGGTTTTACCGTTTGGAGGAGTTGGGACCACAAAGGCATTGAGTTCGATATCGTTGCGGGGCAGCGTGACCTCCACACTCTCTCCTGCGGACACCACCAGCTCTTTCACTGTCGTCGAAAACAACACATGATCAGAGATGATGACAAAAAAAGTACAGCATGGCAACCAAAAGACAGGAGCTGGTCAAAGAGTTGAGTATTCAGTACTGACTTATATATTTGCACAGGAGTTCCTCTGTCACTTCTGGGTGTGTGGATAAGTTTGTAGATGCTGGCAAGTTATCCATATCTGTCTATTAGAATTATTATTATTATTTATTGGTGATATAACTGGTGGGGTTTGTGGCGTAAGCAGGTAAGAGAGTTTTGGAGATTTGAATGAGGGGTAAGAGGGAAGGTTTTGGGATGAAGCGGGAAAAATTATGTGCAATTTATAGTTATATAGTATAGTACACTACTTTAGCATATTGTTATGTGGTATATTCAAATAAACTTGTTATGCATCTACTTGCAAATACACTCATGCAAAAGAACACAATAGAGAAACAATCACAAATTAAAAGAAATTGATGTAGCAGAATTATTCTAAATGCAATAAAATGTAAACTAAAATAGTGCCATTTCCTATTAGAAGTTATTTCATAGCACCTTCTACATAGAGTAAGTCTACACTGTGCTCTTTGTAATATTATTTACAGAGACTCGTGAGCAAACACCTGGCAACAGTGACTCCCTTGTAAAAGGTAGAAACCTTAAGCAGAACCATCTTTCTCAAACGTTTGGGTTGGGTTGAAGAGGTGTGTATTTAGTTTGGGTAACAAAAAAAAAAAAAACCTGTCCTGGATCATACTATTCCCACAATGCAACTCAATAGTTTATTTTCACTAGACCCTATCGGCCTGAGAAACACCTAAAGTATGTCACCCATTCCACGCCCATTCACATGACTGGTACAGTATACACAATGTATAAAATTGGTTTCTGTTTTAAACAAACTGAATTTGGGAAAGTGGAGACGGCAATGTGAGATGTCCTCTTTCAGAATCACAGGTTCTTGTTGTGAATGCAAGTCTCTTCATAAAATGCAGCTGACCTTCGTACAGCCTCTGTTTTAACCAGCTCATCTTGTTATTGAATGGTCTGGTAAATCTTGCTAATTAAAAGATCTTAAAAATTTTTATCCGTTATGATATGCATTGTTGCCATTTTTAAAGGTAACTCCAGTTAAATGGCAATATCGTCCTTCGGGGAGAAGAAACTACTGATCACACGGGTAATTCCTGTTTGCAGAAGCCCAGCAGGTCTCAGCACATTCCTATTGCTTATACTCATTTGGCTTCACACCCACAGCACATGTTGCTTTCATCTGGAAGAATATCTGAGTAGTCTGCCATAAAATTTGTGGGCAAAGTACATCTTCATTTTTGTCAAACATCAGCTGATGCAAAAACAAAAAAGGAACAATGAAGGCTCTTTGTCAAAGTGTGCGACAGGGAAATGTAAGCTTAAAAAGGACAATGTATTTTAACCAATGATAATAAAGAAAGGACCTGAAACCTTCCTCCAAGGCTACAAAACCACTGTGCTGCTCTATTATACATACTACATACTGTAGTTCATAATTAATAAATGAAGACAAGACATATTACTGAACGAGCTGGAAATAGGTGATCACTGTCTGTGTAAGTGAAATCAGCTGCTGCAGATAGTAGCTTCCTTACCAGCCGGTGTAGGAGTTGTGATGATAGCAGTTGTGGTTGATGTGGGTATGCCAACCTCATTGCTTTTGGAAGACGCAGCAATATTGATGGTGTTGTCCACCGTTGAGATCTGCTGTGATGGAGCTGAAGCAGTGTCTGTGCTCCCATTAGCTAACAGGGTATGGTTCTTTTGGGCGGTTTGAAGAAGTGTGAAGGTGCTGGGTGCTGTTGGAGTTGGGTGAGCTATTTGCAGTGTAAGACTTTCCTGTAGAAACAGTTTAAAATTGTTGGTTTGAATGTTGTGACAAAGTCAGAATAACAAAGAGCAGATTGCAGGCAGAATTTAATAATTCAATTATAGTAATAAGCTGTCCACATTTACTAGGGTTTAGGTCAGAACTGTGAGATTGTTTTGGGCATTTTCTTTCTTGCTGTTCCTCTCCTGTGCTTGAATGCGCATTCAAGGACGATGGACCCCACTTGTAAGTTTACAAGTGGATACATCTCCCATGCCATAACAATAACAAATATTCTGTGAAGTTACCATGCTGGTAAGTTGTCTGTAGCTTCTTGCAGGCTGTGAGTGACGAGCTTTTCTGAGTCTTCTTGTGACGGGACCCTTAAAGTAAAGTCACAGAAAACAAAGAATTTTAGAAAAATATCTTTTAAACTACTATCTCTCTATCTATCCATCCATCCATCTCTGCAGATACCAATTTCCGATCTGATGCCAGTGCTCTTTATTCCCCATATTTAAATGACAATGTTGTGTATGTATTTAATGTGGATCGGTCGAATCTGGTTGATGCCTGGCCTGCTTAATAAGGTAAGTATCAATGCTCTGCGTCCTTAGTCCTTAAACATCCAAATAACAAAGAGTAAACAGAGGTCGATGTTGGACTAATTACACTAATCAATGACAGTGCCATACTGGTCTATCAGGAAAAATGACAATAAAAATGTTCATGGTCAAGTCTAGATGTTGTTTCAGCTGCTTTCTATACCTTTGTGAGAAGCTGAAGGAGACCAAGGGACTCCTGGTGGGGCTGCGGCAGGAAGGAGATTGGGCAGCCACTTTTCAGCGTGCAGCTGAGAAGCACACATCGCCCGCCAAGGCTCCACACAGCATTGCAGCTCGGATTCAAGCAGCAGGACTCCCAACATGTCGCCCCGCCTCTCCCGTCTGCCATAGGGTGCCAACCCATGGTGATGGTGCTACTCCAGTGGATCCCCAGCACCCCGCCGGCCACCCGGCAGAGATTTGCTGACACACCTGGATAGCGCAGAAAGAAGGAGAAATCAACGATACTTTTCGAAATGTGAGATCTATCGAAAAGGATGGAAGATGGTCGTGAAATAGGAATTAAAGAGGCGATAACAGTTCATCATTGCAAACTGATTATCCTGCAGAGAAATTTGAGGAAGAGTTAAGTGTAGCATGTAGTTTCATCAAAAAGAATCTGCCAAAGGCGACATCGTGGATCCGCCACCGGGCAACGAATCCCAGGCTTTTCAAGATTTCACTTGTTTATATCAATCAGGGCATTGTTGGGAACTCTTGGCATTGTCAAAGGCAAAGGGGCAAAGTGAAACCCACAGCGAATTCCGGTCCCAGCTAGTGAGACTTTCACAGATTAGGCTTTGACTCAACATTTCTCAAAAAAGCCGACATGCAGCCGCAGTTTGAGCAGTCAGCCAAGTCAGCAGCAGAAAGAAGAAGGGAGGCTTTTCCCTGACAAAACAAGACACTGATTAAAACCCAAAGCACAGTATGCACAAAACTCCATCCTCTGAGCCAGATCATATCAGGCTCATATCAGCAGTGCAGTGAGCTGGTACAATCAGCTACCCTCGTGTATGCTTCTCATCAAGAGCATCGCTCTGGGTGAGAAAACTATTCTTATTCAAGCTTTTGCAGTATCAGATGAGCTCAGTTCAATCCATTCATTGTTTCAGATGAGACATTCACTGCATAGCCAGGTATAATAAAACACCACAGGCAATAAAATACCACAGACTGTAAAAGGAGGTTATATCTCACCACTACTTAAATTAATGTTCACACAAACACAGAAGCCAAACTAGCTGTGACTAATAGTCCAGGACAAAGGAATACAGCTGAGTCACTTTAGGAAACTACAGACCTGTGCATTTTTGTGTCTTGCACTTCTGAATAGTCAACCCACGGTAGATCAAATCCATAGTTTGTACACACACACACACACACACACACATATACAAACAAGTTATCAGATCCTGCAAATACTGATAATGATCACTTGTGTCATTTATCAGTAGCTCCCTTTGAACAGTATACTATATTCTTTTGAAAGATGCCTGTCAGTGCATACAGCAGATAATTACTAGTTAGTTTACTGGTATTAGTCATAACTGGGTATAATCCCTTGTTTTACAGTGTATATAGAAAATGTGAAGTTACTTTGATACATAAGAACAAGGCTTCATTGATACATTCAAATACACCTTTAAAGTTATGATAATTAAATTGGTGGTAACAGCGGTCCCAGACCTCTGACGACAGCAAACACAGAGGAGCAACTCATGCATCTGTTTATAGTGCAGCTAAACAAATTTCCAATTATCTGACTGAAGAATTCAATCAATAATCAACATCCTCATTCCATCATTCCATTAGCAAACTTTATCCGATATCATGCTGCACACAGCTCAAGTAGTTTCCCCACACAACGGGAGGGAACAATAAAAGAAGGTGGTTACTTTGCTTAGAAATTGGAGCCAGCAATTCTTCTTCATCTGACAGCCCGCTGTGGCTGCGCCTTCTTGTTCCCTGCAATATATAAAACTGATCCACTGTTTTAAATTGCCCAAAATGCCCATGTCTTGATTTGTAGATGCATTTCTGATGAGCAACTGCGATCAGCACTAACCTCAGATACAATGCGTTTCAATTGGCTGCTTCACAATCCAAGCTACCGCGTGCTGAAATCCATGTGAACGAGCAGCAGTAGGAAATGTTGGGTTTGCATAAGCAATAACTAAATGCAGCTCTGGTATGGCTGTAAGGGAGTGAATGGTCAACAGTGAGGCTGATAGAGGAGGGCTTTTCCTGCTGATGGCAAGGTCATCAACAGTTATAATGGATTCAAAACAAAATGTTCAGACTGTCTCAGACAGTGCTACACCTGTAACTGCTACCATAGCAACACAAGAGCTGAGGTTAATCAGTCAGCGTAACTCAAGTCTGGACAAACACAGGTCTTGCCACATACAAAAACACACAAAAGCACTATAGTTTGTTTGAGAAAGGACCTTTTGGCCTCTGTTTAGTCATCCCACCCCTTGTTCACCCTGTCTCCCACCCCTCAACACTCACACACATTCACCATGTCTACTCACAGAGCTCTTATTGTCCTGTTTCACATTGTTACCCACTGAGCAGAGTGGCATCAGAAAGAAGGCACACATATAACAGTGCCAACAGTCTTCTGTCTCTCTGCCTCAGATTAGAAGGACAGTAAAAAGCAGCAAACATCCTAAAACCACCCAAGTATCATAATAAAATTGTAAAAAACAGTTCCACCCTGAGTAATCAAAGGCGTGGAAACCTACTTCACAGATGAGTGCTGGTAGTTTAACAGGCGCAGATGCAAGTTATCAGTTCTGTGTCAGCAAATGTGGTTTTGTCAGTTGAGGTCAGGATGACGGTCGGTTTATTTTACCTGTGGTAGGAGCCAAGAGCCAGAGGAAGGTCAGTGGTAGGAGGAGGAGTTGAGGTAAGCTCCAGGTAAGCAGCTTGTGGTGTGCATAGGACATTTTCCACAAGGACCTAGAAAAAGGAAATTGAACTATGTTAGTGTGCTTTAATATTTCCTCTACAGTCATTCAATGGGAATGGGCCATCAAAGCAAAGTAAAACACCTAAATAATAAAACATTGAAAGGAAAATTTAGACATTTTTGGAAATACGCTTATTTGTTTTTTTTTGCCAAATCTTAGAGGAGAAGGTTGATAACGGTCTCATGTACACTAATTATGTAGCAATAGCCAGTAACCAATTAGCTTAGCGTTGCATAAAAAGTTGAAGCAGCTAGCTCAACTCTGTCCGAAGGCTACCGTGGCCAGCCAAGAAATTGTAGTAAAATAGTAACATCCTAACATAACCTTCTGTAGCGAAGCTTATAGTTTTTGTAAAAACAAGTTAACACATGTTAATTAGAAAGTTTTAAAAGGTGTTAGCACATAGAACCAGGCTAGCTATTTCCCACTGTTTCCAGTCTGTATGCTAAGCGAACTGGCTGCTGACTGTAAGCCTTATATTTACTGTACAGACACCACAACTTTTAGCAATAAAGTAAAAAAGTACATTTTTGTCTTTTCATTCATTTCATTTAACACTGCAAGGTGTAAAAGAACCAATGCTGGGAAGAAATACTTAAAGTTACTTCAAGTTTTTTTTTTTTTTTTCCATTACAGCAGGATGACATTGAGTTTTCAGACCTCAACAACCATTTCTGTCTTGTCTGCCTCACACCTCTCTCATATAAACAATTATCAGTCATACTAACCAAATACCTGTCAAAAAGTAAACAAGGAAAGAAAAACTGCAATAGCCATGTTTACCTTTCTCCCGGCCAGGCGGTGGAAGAAAGCGATGCAGGAAGAGAGAGGGAGCGAAGAGTTAGGTTGGCAGCAAGGTGCTGTGAGGTGACGGGTGAAGACGGATCAACACCAACACTCTGAGGAAAAGATCCAACATGGCCGCCTCCGGGGCCTTCACAGACTCAGCTGCTCAAACAGTACACTAGAGAGTGCAAGAAAAAGAGAGAAAATTATTTTTAACACGGGGACCACTTCATATCATTTATCATCAGGATGAACAAACACATGGCCATATAGGGCTGAGTGATCATTCAGGATTACTAACTTTTAATGGAAATGGATCATGATATGACCATATTGTGTTATAGTTTTACTACTTTATTGTTTTACTGTTGTCAAAATTAGTTATTCCGCTAAATGTAAGTAAAAATGAACAAAATAAGTTCATGTAACACAAGAGTTTTGTCTGATGTAATGTGCAACAGTGAGAAAAAAGAAAGAAAAAATTTGTATTCATATTCTTTACAGTAATTTCAGCCATATCGCCCCCCCAATATGAATTATTCAGGTTTTTCCCTTCTTTTCTACCTTGATTACTGACCGACAACAGTACTTCAGCTCCTTAGAGAAGCACTCGATAGAATTTGAACAACCAATAACACATCAACTTGATAACAAAATGTTATGCAAATAAGATTCAACCAGTACAACTGGAGATGCTCTGCAGAGAGAGTAGTGACATAAACAAAAGTGCTCTGATGCTAGCAAGGCTATTTTACTAACCTGAATCTTATTTATTGCAATCGGCTGTATTGTTAATGATTATTAAATTAAATCCACTTTTGCTGAGGTGGCATGAACCACTGCTTTACAATAACATGTAACCAATGTATTAGATCCAAGCAATAATAGTATATATAAAAGTACACTATATCATCAAAAACAGAGGAAGAAGGAACAAATAAATGATAATTAGTTTAGTGGTCTGCTGGAAACAAAGACTTCACATCTTCGTAAGAACTCAGACTACTGTCTTCTATTGTAATTATGACAGAAAGCAATATCCTCTGTTTTAGAAAATACAAGTCTGTGTCATTATGCAATAATTTGGATAATATCCTGTTGACAGTTAAAATGACTCCCAATCATGTGAGTTCACTCCTTTCACAATTAGTGATAGCTATCACAGCACTGAAAATGGGAAGCGAACAAGACAGGTATTTATTTAATTTTTTTTACATATATTTCTATGACAGTCCACGTCTTAGCCAAAAGCACATTAACACATAACTATCCAATCTGTCTGTCAGTGGCATCTGGTCTTGAAGCATTACAACAACCTATTACCCAGTCTGTAGTGGTTAATATCTGGGAATACTACACTTTGGAGAGTTGCTGTGTGCAAAAAATAAATGTTTCCTAAGCTCTTATCTCTCTCCTGTGCAACTATCACAGCAATCACTCAATACATAGCAGTTTTATAACACAATTGTATCCCTCACTGGTCCTCCATACTAATATATTGTAATGTATTGTTGTAAGTCACTCTGGGTAAAAGGATTGTACTCGGGTCATACATAGGATACAAACATGAATTGTTGATGTGAAAGGGATAAAAGTGAATCACAAAGTTACTTCATCCAATCTGACAGCATAGCAGAAAATGTAACTTAAGTTTAAAAAATGTGGCACAGTCAGATGCCACCCAGACGCCCGAGTTTACTTCCTAATGCTTAATTTCCTTTCCTCCAGGAAGTGTGATGAGGAAGATTATTATTTCAAAGTAATCAGCAGCTATTATAAAATCACGGTCGAAAACATCTAACTCGCTGAATGAGTCACAAAAAAGGAGCAAGATGCAGACTGTTGTACTGCACTCATGAGAATGGTTGATATTATCTACTTCCGCTTATGTGAATCTATTGTCTTAAGGTACAAAGTAAAAATTCAGTAAGGCAGACTTTGATGAGAAACACATGCACTCTGAGTAAGACAGCTTTACCCCTCACTCAAATTTTCAAAAAAGTTTTGCCAAATGGGGGGGGGGGGGGGGGGCTGAACAGAACAGGTCATGGGACATTTTGTTCAAGACGCAGCAGGCCTCTTCTTCACAGTGTCTCACCAGGTAGACTACTATGGGGAAATATGGTAATAAATCAAAAAACTTTCACAAGCATCTGCTAGTGAGTGTTAGCTAGATGCTATATGTGAAGGAATTTTCAGAAGGGGGGTTCAATGTGGGAAAAAGGTGAGGTACAGGACATACACATGCCACGTTCAGGTCACAAACGCAATAACGACTGTTTCTCCTGTTTGGCTGACTAGACTGACGCAGTTGCCTTTATAAGGTTGAACGTTGTGGTCCATCGCAAAAGGTCAACATCAGCTTTATTTTGTTTCATACAGACAGACTGACTAGGGATCTCTTTAGAAAGTGCTGCATGTGACTTGGATGACAAACAACATGACTTAGGTTAACTTAGGTAAGTAAGTTAGTGTCACATAGTGTCTTGTTTAGGATCCAATATCTGATAGAATAATGTATAGAGGGGTAAAGTATAACCTTATTTGGTAGTGAATCTCAGTAGGTCAAGGAAGGATAAATGTCCCCTATCAGGAAGTATCCTTCAGATTTGGTTTTGGTGCTACACTGGCGCTGTTGCCATTTTCTCCTCGGCTGAGTTTCAGTAAATATTTCTGTGTAAGACATCCTGAGTTTCCTGAAACCTTCTTCATCAATAAGGGTTGACCAGCTCACAAGAATTTCCTTCACACGATATATACCTATGTCTGGAAATAATGTTACTCTAGCTCCACTGGTCAGAATTTACAACATGCAGATGTGTTACTCTTTGCAGAATTACTACTTTGCAGTAAAGAGTTCAAGCGGATGAGGATGACAGCGGATAATTAGATTGTAATTCATCATAGTATTTTGTCTAAGATGAAAACACATCTATTATATATCTGTTAAATCTGTAATGCTGGTATAAAACATTTTACAAACATGCGGTTAAAAAAAAACACAGCAAAGTTGTGATGATAAATCACACATCACCAGTTCTCTCACACAACACAAACCTGCATGGTGTGCCTCTATATGTGACTCTGCATTCCTGCACACAGATGATGCAGAGTCCCAGCAGCCTTGTTCTGTGCTATAATCAACAGCTCAGTAAGTTCCAAATCCACAAACAGTCATTTGCCCTTCTGCGCTTCTTTTTCTCTCACAGGTAAGCCACTAAAACAGGGGGGAAAAAGCTAAAGATAAAAATAATCCAGACAAACATAGGAGGGATACAGTAATGTTTTTTTCCCCCCACGCTGAAGTCACCGTAGATTTGCCTTTTAACTGCACAGCAAATGCCCACAGGCTGATGGTGATTTTGAGTGCGTAACGCTCAGGTACACTCGGTCACCTGGGCTGATGAAAGCTCAGTCATTACAGACATTTCAATAGCTCCTTTTCCCATGAGAAGCTTCTGCAAAACAATGATCTCTGTGTCCAAAAGTTCCCTTATATGCAGAAAGGACAAGTTCTCGCTCTCTCTCTTTGGCTATGTTTTCCTCCTCTTCCTCTCTCTCAGTTGCAGCATTCAATAGCGCACTTGTCAGCTCTGTATTGGCTTCTAGGCAGACAGGTTGGTGGAGCTTTCTCTGTAATGACACCAAGTCCCACGCACAGCTTCTTCTCACTGCTACAGGGGAGGAAAATTTAGTTGTTTTTATTTCTCTCCAAGGCTGAGTCCTTGAAAAAAATAATAACACTCCCATTTTGTTGTGACTACTACAGAAGCATCCTTACAGAAACTACTATTCTAATCCGAGGATGATATTTAAATGGCTGCAATAGAACTATCACAGCAATACCATAAATCCCTGTGTATAGGAATATCCTACACAATGAGGCCAACAAACTTTCGACTTTCTGCTTCATCTGATTCTTTGAGTTTATTTTGTCTTGGCAAAACACGTTAACAATTTTATGCCTTTTTGTGATATTTTGTTTAACAACAAACTGCTTTTAACTTTGTTCTTCTTTCTTGGTTTTACATTTTCCTTTTAGTTATTACCATCACTTACTGTTTTTACTGTTAATGGATGTTTCTAATTGATGGTTTTCATTCTGTTGGTTTATTGATGGATGAGTCAGTTTTTGTCATGCTGCAAGTCTGATTTTCCACATGGCACAATAAAGACCTAACTGAACTGTCAACAATTTGATAAGTGGATCAATACAAAATATAAGCCATTCATTAAATACCAAATGTGCTGGTTAAAGCCTCACCATAACAAAAAAAGAACCATTTTAATATTAAAAGATAAAAACTGATAAAAACTCTTTTAACTTTATCAAGTAAATGATTAATTGACAAAACAAATACACAATAATGCCAGAAAAATCATGTAAATCATTGTTTGTTAAGCACTACTATATAAGAATGATTGGTTTATGCAAAGTACGGATTAACTGACAGATTAAAGTGCAAATAGGTGCATGATTGAATGTATAGTCTGTCAATCAAATGAATCGATGAGTAAAAGCACTGGGATAATATCTCTGAGACATTTCATTCAAAATGGTGGGCTCTTGCATTATGTATTTTACCAAACTGAAAGCAACAGCCAGGGTTCATTCAAAACAGGATTACTCTAGCTGTCAGGTAATTTAATAAAAGGCCAAAAGCTATCGCCTGCGTAGTCAACTGCACTATCATCTAATATTACAAACGAGAGCTGCTTGAATCAATAACGAGACACTTCGTATGTAGTAACTGTTCTTATTTCGTCTTTACAAGGCATACAGACGTCCCAGTACTGAGACATGAAGATTGAGGATGGGCACCATAAGGTATGCCACCTGTATAATACGGGATCACCCTCGTTTAAGGAACCTTGAGGCTAACAGCTGCTGGCAATCGCTTTCACTACACACCGTGCAAGACCGCGGATTAATTGTCTGCGTTTTAATGGCAACTGTCACGACACCATTAAAGACAGAAAATGTAAAAGGACTTACAGTTAGAGAAAATGGTACTTCGGTCGGTCGCAGTGATGTGTCGTCGCTGTTGTCCCGCGTACAGTTAATTGGGTCAGTATTCCCCTCGCTTGTACAGCTGATGTGCCTGTGTGACCACTGTCAAGCAAGATATAATGATAAATAATACTTCCGGTGGCTGGATTTTCAAAATACAGAAATCAGTTACACAGCCGTTGGAGCTGTTTGTGACGGATAAAAGCAAAATAGTTCAAGTTAACTGTACTTCTGCCAGGAATATGTAGTAGATCTAATTCGTCTTCAAGTTATATCACACAGACACCTACTCCAATTCTACTTTCGCATGTGCTGCACCTTAAATTAAACTGACGACGCTAACGTTAACATTAATCTGAAAACATCCGCCCTCCGCAATGCGCCACCTGCCGACCGGCTGTCCATCGCGAATAGGTTCGGTTCAACACAAACAGTTAACCTGCTGAACTTTCGTAATTTATTAGGTACACTAACTGCTAGAAGCGAAAAGAAGAATAAAAATATATTCCATGACCTCAAAAAACAACGCTATTTCGCTGGTCCGACGTTTGAACAGACCAAAATGGCGTCTTCGCCTTTCAACAATCCCTCTTGCGATTGGTTCTTTGATATTGTTGCGCCGTTTTCATTGGTTTCTTGATGAGTTGTTTTCACAGTTCACTTCCGAAGAGAGCTGAAGAGTTGCTGTCGCGTGTGGTGAGAGCGCTGTCATTCAACAAAGTAAGTTATTTTATGTACGTTTGCTAATTAAACAGTTTAAGCTCAAATTCTTGCCAACCGTTAGTTAGAATGACTCAGCAAACCAATTGAAAATCATTAAATGAGGCCTCTCTCGTTGTACCCTTAACAACATGGAGCTAACGTTAATGGCATGATTATCAGTTTGATTCAGTTCAGTTCCTCTTTAACGTTTTCTTACTTTTGTTTATTCCTCCTCCCTTGGTTACCAAGATTATAATGGCTGACAGTGCCGACGTTAACGTTACACCTGTCGTGAGCAGCCAGCCTCCTGGAAAAGAGGAGCAGGGAGGAGGAGAAGGTGGAGAGGGCGCAGAGAAGGATGCAGGAGGTGGTCTGACTGACGCCCAGACAGAGAAGGATGCAGGAGGTGGTCTGACTGATGCCCAGACAGAGAAGGATGCAGGAGGTGGTCTGACTGATGCCCAGACAGAGAAGGATGCAGGAGGTGGTCTGACTGATGCCCAGACAGAGAAGGATGCAGGAGGTGGTCTGACTGATGCCCAGACAGAGAAGGATGCAGGAGGTGGTCTGACTGATGCCCAGACAGAGAAGGATGCAGGAGGTGGTCTGACTGATGCCCAGACAGAGAAGGATGCAGGAGGTGGTCTGACTGATGCCCAGACAGAGAAGGATGCAGGAGGTGGTCTGACTGATGCCCAGTCAGAGCTGTTGGAGAGGTGTCTTCATTCACTCAAGCATGCTAAAAATGACAGTCACACATTGGCTGCTCTTCTGCTGGTGAGTGGCGTAAACATTACGCTGAATTAAGAATACACAGTACACGCTATCTTCACTGATCCTCAGCATTAATATTTTTTATTATACCACTTGTTTGCCTGTAAAACTAACACATAAGTAAGTACTGGCATCTAAAAAAATGTTTGTAATTTAGAAATCCTCCAAAACAGTGGAAGGAGAGAAGGGTTTAAAAAGCAGAAAAATTAGGATATTGAATCGACTCAATATTTGCACAAATGCAGGCACTTAAGAGCACAAAAAAGGCCTGGACTGGTAGCTACTCAAGAGTGACTTCCTTTTTGTTAAGTTTAACAGAGTGCCGAAATGATAAGCCAGTTAACTGATCAGTGGATAGAAATTAATTAATTTCATTAATTAAATGTGGGATTGTTTCTCAGAGCCTTAGGATGTGATGTTTTTCACTAGTATCTAATATTTTCTAGAATAAATAATTGATCATTTATTTTATAACAAAATCAACATATTACTCAACATGAGGTGTTAGTTGTTGCCCTAAACATAACCATGGCTTGCATTTACATAAACATTCAATATTTAATAATAAACACAAATAGTCTTTAGTCCACCTTTTTATTAATGTGTTTTGGCAAAATAATTAACAAAAAACTGAACATAAACTATGTAGCAGAGGTGCATTAATTTTACTGTAGCTAGGTCTAGCTAATAAAATGGCAATTGAGTGTGTGTGTGTGTGTGTGTGTGTGTGTGTGTGTGTGTGTGTATATGTATATAATATAGAAACCAAGTATTGAAGGGTTCAGATCTCGACACTGACCAATTCTCTTGTTTTCCTCTCTTTCCTCTTCAGATAACTCGCATGTGCCCAGCAAGCCAGCTAGACAAACCCACCTTGAGGCGCATCTTCGAGGCCGTGGGGCTGAACCTTCCAGCTCGGCTTTTGGTGACAGCGGTCAGAGAGGGTGAGAACTCCAGTTTACCGCCACACGAACTGCTCTCCCTGGGCACAGCTCTGCTGGCTGCCCTGAGTACAGACCCAGATATGGCCTCCCATCCCCAGCTCCTCGCCACCATCCCGCTCCTGCTGGGCATTTTAGCCAACGGTCCTGTGAACCAGCAGAAACAGGCAGCCCAAGTTGGAGAGATGGGGCAAAATCCAGACTGGAAAGTCCAGTCAGCAGCGAGTTCAACCACAGAAAGCAATCCTGCAAATGTGGCAAAATCAGCAGGAGAGGGTAAGACCAGCAAGCAAAAAGGTGATGACTGCAGTGAGGGAAACAGAGTATCAGCATCTCAAGAAACCTCACCCTCCTCCAAGCTCGATGAGGCCATGGCTGCTGACTGCTACCAGGTCCTCACAGCCGTGTGTGCTTTACCCAAAGGTCCAGACCAGTTGCTCAGCAGGGGTGCCGTCCCTTCTCTGTGTCAAGCAGTGGAACAAAACCAGACTTTCAGCCACAAGAGAGGGCTTGCCTTGCTTGGTTGCCTCCTCTCCGGTAAAAACAAGGACAAAGTGTGGAGCAAACACCCTGCAGAACTTCTCACTCTGCTGGCCAGGCTCTCCAAAGACTTCTGCAAAGCCAGAGACCAGACCAGGCTGGACATGTGTGCCCAGTTGGTGCAGTTTCTCCCACCAGTAGGAGTGGCAGTAGAGAGTGAGGAGCTGAAGGGAGTCGTGGCCCATGTATGGGGTGCATTGAGACCCATGCTGCAGGCCAAGTTGACACCGAGACAGATCGGTCCGATCCTGGTCCTCAGTGCTTGTCTGCTGGATTTGTACGGGTGGGAGCTGGTGGGGCCGCCAAAGTTCTGCTGCTTACTAGTGAACCGGGCCTGCGTGGAGGTCAGAATGGGTTTGGAGGAACCGCCTGGTAACGATCTGAGCCCAGAGCTGCAACAGACTCTCACAGGTAGCTTGCTAATTACAACATCTGCATTTTACATGCAAAGCTGAAGCCACTTTAGCCTTTATGTTTATTGTTTGATTTCATAAAAACATAGCATGTGAATCTGATGTTGTTTAGATGATGTTGGAAGTTTTTAGACAAAACTGTGTACAACTTTATTAGATATTTTAAAACACAGGTGGGTAAAAATACAAGCTCTTTCCACCTTCTTTTGAATAAAACTGTTTAACTGTGACAAATAAAATGTCCCTACAATGCTTCCTAAGCCATTTTCCTAATTAAAATTAATAGGTTTATGTTTATTAATGTGTTTTTTCACAGCTGTAGCCATGATTTTCCACATTTTATAAATCAATTTAACATACACACACACAGTCAAAGCTTTTCCAATAATGCCAGGAATAAATCTTATATCACTTTAAATCAACTTATTTTTTGGCTAAAACAGTCAGTTTTTTTGACTTTTGACTCTAATAAAAATATATATATATATATATATATATATCAGGCTTAAAAACTTGCTATGTGTAAACTGGGTAAATTGTAGAGTATAAACTCTTCTCGGGAGGAAACAATACAGAGGACATGTCCTTTTCTGTCCTCACAGATAGCCACAACCCCGTGTTTAATATCTTCTTGTTCTTTTGAAGCAACTGCTGTTAGTCAAGAACATGCCTTGAGCCTTTTATGTTATGTTTGATAAATGATTTGGCTCTCATGGCTTGTGCCTGTCTTTCTCACTGACCACTTCTGTGTTATAAAATAGGTGGTAAGCTTGTGTTGTGAGATTTGATTTAACGTGATTAACCTCCTTTTGTTACTTAAACTCTCTCTTCTTATTCTCAGGCTGTTACCGAATCATGGAGGCTGCCATAGAGCAGGCCTGCTGTCTGGGAGTGTCACAGACCACGGCACTTCCTCAGAGCTCCGTGTCTTCACTCAGCCTGCAGCAGAGCAGGCAGGTCCTCGGGGTGTTGGAGGAGGCCTTCTCTGCTTTAATGTACCACCTGCAGCAGGTGAGAGGATGACATTTAGGCTTCTGTTGATTGGCGCTCTGCTCTTTGTTCTTTATATTCTTTTTTTATACCTAACATGTTACTTGTTGCTGGTTCTGGAAATGAAATATCTCATTGTATACCACATGATTCTTCCAAATGCTGTGCCAAAAATATACATCCCCTAGGAATAGGAATGTCACAAGAACTGATACTTAGGTACCAAGTCCATACCAAAATTCTGAAAACGTGTTGATAATGGGTTTGCTAGGTACAGAAGGTATTGGAGATCCAACACATGAAAGATAGCAATAAGTGCAGTTGCAGCAACAGCTCGGCCTTGATTTGTCAAAATGAAAAGAGTCGTGTATGGAAACCAGGTGAAGGTATTTTAATGGCTGTTACCTTCAACAGCTCCTTGTCAAAGCCTGGATTACTCCCAGTTCTGGTATATGTTGGAGAGCTAATTTGGGCAGATGTTTCACAGTTTGGATCAACTCAAAATCACCAAAGATCACGATGCAGTTTGCAGCCCTAAGAACTGAATGTCTACCCAACATGTAGGCGGAGTAAGGGACTGTCTGATAAGTGCAATCAGATCCATTTCGATCATCAATAGCTGTTTAGTTTTTCAATATAAAAATCTGCCAGTATAGAAAGTGACCACCCTTAAACATTTCACACCTGAGAGTTTGTAAAGAAACTTTAAGAAATGAAGTCATTAATTTAATAATTAATTATGCACAGTGCATGGTTGTAATTTCAACAGCTTGCTCATTTATGAATATATTGTCATCAAACCACCTCTCATCTTTCCTGGACATCCTCTCACAGCTTTCACAGCTGTTGTTTCCTATTTACAACCTCTCAAATTTAAGGATTTGCTGCTTTTTTTTGTGTTATTCAATAGTAAACTGAAAATGTTATGTTTTGGACTGTTGATTGGGGATGTTACAACATTGTCACGGACGTTTGTCGCTGTTCTCTGATGTTTTATAGAGTAGACAAATAACTGATTAATTGACAGTAATCTGGAGATTAATTGATAAAGAGAATAACTATTCTTCTTTTCAGTCTTATTATATTGTGATCTTATTGTATTTTACTAATTTTATTTATTCCTTTTTTTCACTGTTTGAGAGTGTAGCAGTACGAAGGCAATATTGTTTTGTGGCTTGTTTTTCCCACAACAAGAAAATAACAACCGAAATGTAGGGATGAAATTTTTTGCAAGACTAGGAAGGTTTTTAAAAGAATAGCAAGTATATGTTAAAATTAGTTTGTATTATAACTGTCAGGAAAGAGTATAAATCTTTATTCACATAAAAATATTAATTGCTTCAATACTGTGAGGTCCTGTCATGGTTCTTTGTAAAAACATGATTTTTCCACAGAGCTCAGTCCATGCACTTTTCCAAAACACTCTCCCTCGTCTCTTCCTGTTCTTGTAGGTGGATCCAAGTCGCTATGATGATCCTTTTATTTTCGCCACATTCCGCTCTCTGTGCTCATGGCTGGCCGAGGAGACTTCCTGTCTGAAGGAGGAAGTGACTGGACTGTTGCCGTTCTTGATCGGCTACTCCCGGAGCCACTTGCAGGCTGAGAGCCCAGAGCAGGGCCTCTCTGGCTGGATGGCCGAGATGTCGGTCAGGGAGGAGAGGGAAGGGTGGACGGGCAGAGAAGCTCTCAGGTAAACATGACAATACATATCAGAGGGAATCGAGCATGTTGATACCAAAAAAACATTATTCCATTGATTCTGCAGTCACCTGACAGTACTTCCTTCCTTTCTCTTCTTCCCTTTCCATCCTCCTCCCTCCCTTCAGGTATCTCCTCCCAGCTTTGTGCCACCTGTCAGCAGAGGAAGGTCCCAGAAAGGTGCTTCTCACCCTCGACACCCCGGCCCTGCTGGTGGACTTCCTGTCGCAGTGCTGGACTTCGCTCAAGGGGAAAAGTGGGGTGGCGTCAGCCAGGGATCCCAGCATGGAGACAGCCTGCTCAGCCCTCCTTAACTTCACTGTCACAGAGCCGGAGAGAGTCAGGTAGCTGGTTTACAAGTGGAATGCTCATCTGTGCCCTTTAAATGAATAATCTCTTGTTTTTAAGTCAGTACCAAATAAGTTTCATTTATATCCATTACAGTTACAGTTTATGATGGCATATATTTACACCTTTTGTTTTTTATTGTCTAGGAAGGACCCATGTTTCAGAACGCTGGAGGCCCTTTTGAGTGAAGCACTTCCTGTTTTGGTGCATAAGCCCCGTCTGGTGGTCCTAGCAGCAAATTACTGCACACTGGGACTAATGATTGGCAGACTCAAATCCGCTCCCTCAGGTGAAAATGTTTTCTTTTGTTTCTCACACACACAAAATTCTGCTGTGAGACACTGCAAGTACTAAAATGTTGTTATAGTGCTTGTATTTGTATTTTTGTTAGTATAGTATAGTTTCAAGTTCCAGTGCTTGTAAGTAAACCTTGTTTCTCAGCAGGTATTTTAACATGTCATAGTAGGAGATTCACAGGCATCACTAATAACATTAACAATGACTCTGTTCTAGGCTCAGTGTATGAATGTGTGTGGATGGGTAAATGCTTTTTAGTGTAAAAAGCACTTTGAGTGGTCGCAAAGACTAGAAAGCCTCTATACAAATACAGAGCATTTAGATTTACATGTAGAAATGTCTTCTACAATGGAAAAGGTCTGGGCTGTGAAACTGGCAAACTTAAATGGAATGCAGCCTTTATTAATGTAATTTGTTACCCTTGTGCGTTTCTTTCTGTCTGTGTTTGGGGAATGCAGATCATGTGGGCTCGAGTAGCGTAAACATTACTGTTACTCTTAAAACCTTCATTATTGTCGATTGGGTCTCAGAGAATATCTTTTCCGACTAATGCTGTAGTTCTGCAGGGGTTAGGGCCCGCAGAAGTACAGCATTGCATGCTTGGTAGTGGTCTGAGCTGCTCTCATCAACCCTAGTAGGCAGCAGTTTGATGATGGGCAGAAAAACTTACAGAGCGACTTGTATCATTGTTGAGCGCTAGAAAGACCACTATATTTATCAGAGTGCTTTTAGCGTGTTCAAAATGGAGCTAAAAGAGAGTGAATAAATTTAGCATTGATCTGGTGGTCAGTAACACAAATCATAAGGATGTAATGTTTGCTGTGTGTTTGCTAAAATGTTAATCAGAACTTCTTTCGATGATACTCGTCATGTTGTTTTGTTTTATCACGTTAAATTTAGGCACAAAATCTATGTTATTGGTATCTTTGGTTCAAAAATATAAGACTCTACTAACAGTGTATACTTTATCATTTTAAGGCTCAGTTGAAGCCGGCCAGAAGCGGTTCTTCTCTACAGCGCTCCGGTTCCTCCTCAGCGCCCTGGAGTCTGGCTCCAGCCACGGTCCAGTCAGGGTGAGCCCCAGCTGGGAGGAGAGTTGGGACGAGGCCGCGGAGCTCTGGAGGTTGTGTCTGCAGGCTCTGGGAGGCTGCGTCCGCGCTCAGCCCTGGATCACCACGCTGGTCCGAGACGAAGGTTGGCTCAAACACACACTCACCATGCTGAGTCAGTGTAACGCACTACCTGACCAGCACACACAGGAGGCGCTAGAGGAAGCTCTGTGTGCCATGGCAGGCCAGTGCCCGGTCTGTGAACTGGAGATTGGAGACATGATGAGAAACGATAAAGGGGCTTTGAGCTGTATGAGGAACCTGAAGAAGTCTGTGGTAGTGAAGTGAAACCAAGCTGCTGCCGACAGACAATGTGCTCTTTAATGGAGTATTTTTAACTTGCAGAGTTGAAAAGGAAGTAATAAAGGAGGGCTGTTACTGAAGCCAAGCTTGTGTGTTGATTACTTGTACCAATCTGACATGAATAATGTGTTACCTTTTGTCCCAGACTTAAAGAAATAATGAAAGGCCCCAGATACTACAGGTCTAGTGATATTTGCAAATGAGCTTACATTGAAAAGAGGGCACTGAAAATTATGTTCCACAAATCAAATTTTCAGTGTAATGTGATATAAATGTTTAGTCAGCTGTGCTCTGAAAAGACACAGTTTCTTACATGTCAATTGTGAAATGTTAATGTCTTTAATAAAGAGCTATTTTGTTAGAAAACCACCTTTTGTAATACTCATGTTACTTTTCATGTAACTTCTTTTTTTCTTGTAGCTTTGAACAACATTTATTTTGTTCAACCTAAAGCTCAGAGTCAAGTCTCAAGTCCGCAAGAGTGAGTCTCAAGTGTTTTGTCTTTTAAAGATTTAAAACGTCTTCAGTAGGAACAAATGGACTCTGGGCTAAGAGCCACAGAGAGGATAGGGAGGTCAAAAAGTATTAAGAGACAGATTAAGGAATTACTGGTTTTGTTCTTTCTAGATGGAATTTGGTGAAAATATCAAACAGTGGTTAGCACTGTCGCCTCACAGCAAGAAAGTCCTGGGTTCAAACCCCGGTTGACATGGCCTTTCTGTGTGGAGTTTGCATGTTCTCCCGTGGTTGAGTGGTTGTTTGTCTATGTGTGGCCCTGCGATGGACTGGCGACCTGTCCAGGGTGTACCCCGCCTTTGCCCGATGTCAGCTGGGATTGGCTCCAGCCCCCTGCGACCCTGTACGCAGGATAAGCGGTTAACGTGTTGGATGGATCAAAAACATTGAATATTGCCAGGCGTGTCCTTTAACTCGCAAGAAAATTGTAAATTGAGATGCGAGTCTTTCAGTGCTGACCAGTAACATGTCATTTCCTATCAAAGATGTTGAGAGCGTTTTTACATCGCTGAGGTTTATTGTTATTATTATTATTATATTTTATTGTTCTGGAATTTTATCATGTCAAAAACGGCCAACAGCTCCCCTAAACTTTGCTACTGTTTTGTTTAAATGTGTTATTTTTTCCCCACTTTTTTATTACTAGTACCGTAAAGGGAACTACAAAAGTCATGTCATTATACAACCCTGTGTTGTAAAATGACAAATGCATACCTTGTAACTTGTAAAAATCTTACAAACCAGGATGTCTCCGCAGACTTATTGCAGAACTGTGAAGGTGTATTACTGTTCCTGCAGATAATCCAAAAATCCCCGTTTCTATGAACTACCACAAGATGGCGCACTGAGACTTGTTTCATAAAGTTACTTGTATCTATAGGTTATATCTGTACATTTGCAGATGGAAAACTTAGTGCAAAACTTTTGTAACTAAGAACTGTTATTCTTGTTTGATTTCTTCCTCCCGAAGTTCTGATTCCTAAAAATAACCAAGTTGATAATTTTATGCAATAAAATGTTGGAGAAAGTAGATAATTAAATAGTAATAAAAAAAAATGTAGATTGATCACAATAGGCCTACCTTTTAAAGTTATGAATGGCCTACAGAGTTTTCATTCAAGAGCAACAAGACCTTATAAAAAAAGTGAGTGATTCATCTCAATAAAATATTAAATGTAAGTTCATATTTATTGCCCTGCAGATATTTTGCTACATTTATTATTTAGAATATTGTTATGATGACATCAATTTACAAATAAAAGCGCTGTAAAAATGCTACATTGTTCTTTCACAGGAAGAAAACCCGCGTTTTTGTGTGATCCATTGAGCCATTTGTTTGTTTTATTCCTCACTTCATCCTTGATCCTGTAGTCCATGAAAAAAGTTTTTAGCTATCCACTCCATGACTCCTGTCACCTCCCGCCCTCTTTCTTTTTTTTCCTACCCCCCTTCCCCCCTCCCCCCTCCCCAACATCCATCCGTACAAACTCCTACATCATCTCTCAAACTAACTCACTCCTCTCTGTACCTTCAGCCCGTCTACTCTTCATCCACCGCGTCACATTAACCCCTCAGCTGCAGACTGGGCACCAGCACCACTATGCTCTGGAAATCCCGAACCAAGACTGACGGTTTGCAGGTAAAAGAAACCCCACAGAGTTTTCCGTTTGCATGGGTAACTTCTTTCCTTTCAGCGGCTTTAGGCATTTTGTGTAGAAATGCATCATCATTGCGTAAATGGCTGCACATGGTGGGCCTGTTGGCTTGCTTTTAAGATAAACTGAATCCAGAAATTTCACTTGCCGATTGTTAAACGTCTCAACGATTCAGCTAAGGACATGTTCGGAGAAAGGTACAATATTGGAAATTTGAAATAGAAGATGTAAGATTTTTGACTTGGATATCAGTGCCAAAGGCATCTGTTTAGATGTTAAAAATCTGAGAATATGATTTTTATTGAGGTGCTTCTTAAGTAAATAATAAAACTCTGATCTTTTATAATCTCTCTCGGGTGCGTAAAATCTAGAAAATGACTCGGTGCCATTTTTAATCTTAACAAACCAAACAATAAATTGCACAAAAGTACAGCTTGTAAATGAGTTAACGGCCGGTAATGAATGAATATATCTCTTTAAGAGAAGTGGACCCTATCGACCCCTCCCCTCATTCTGCCGGGTGCGCGCAAAACCTATAAGTAGTGCGCTCATGGAGAGACTGGAGGACTCACTGTGTGTGTTGTGCGCGTGTGTGTGTGTGTGTATCTATCTGGCAGCAGCTTTTCATCTGTGCATAGAGTTCAGTCAAACAGAGAGAGAAGGAAAAGTAAATAACACCTTTGAATTTAATGGACCGTTAAAAAAGCTTGGATTACATCTCGGAGCATTTGGCGACATCTTTTTCAGTCGTTGGAAGCCTGCGCATCCTGTTGAGTTTTAAATTTGGGGGTATCCACAGCGGTCCAGATGTTAATCCACACCTATTCGGCTATGGTGAGTTTGATACAGACTGGTGTTTTGAGCTTTTCGGACTGCTAATGTCTGTTTTCTTAACTAATGTAACTCAGTTTCATGAAAGAGTTCATTTTCTATAGGCTACCGGGTGTCAGACTAAACCTGAATGTGATGCGTACAATACGCTATCATCACTTAAAACAGCCAGCTCAGAGTAAATTTAAGGAGTAGAAAAAATACTTGACTACTGTGATTAATGTGTTGCTGTGTGACTGTCAGCTTGCAGAGTGGCATACAGTGGTTCTTAATGATTTTTTGTCTGACAATTAAATAGCCTACATACATTTGGCTTGTTGTTTGCTCACCAATAGAATCATGAGTGTCAAGTATCCACACTTCCCAATGAGCCTTTCTGACAGTGAGTTTAGTGTTGCGGCGCCGCGCATCTGTCCGCGGAGATGGTCTTTGTCTGCACTGTGTCACAGCAAGTGAGACCGGCTGACAGTTAAGTGTCCACTCACTGCAAAAACTGTGACATGCCGAGACAAAGGACGGTCCGTCCGTCCGAAGTGTTACTGCGTTTTACAACTTCAAATAAAAACTTTGTTATAGACTGAAATGATGAACGCACGCTCCTGCACAGTGTGGCTGAGTTATAAAGAGAGACATATGTATGTGCTTTTAACCTGGCAGCGGGCCGCTCCGGCTGGCAGATAATGGACATTGTTCCACCACAACAGCATTGATCTGAGTGACCCAGCTTTGGAAAAATCCAATTTTACCAGGATGTGTGTGAGCAGAGATGTAGGCTAGTGGACTAGATGTTTTTACACATACTGACGCATACTGGCATGTCTTTTACTTGAGGGGTTAAACTTGTAAAGGCAAAATAAAATCAGATTTAGTTATCTGCGCCTTGTCAGTCTGAATTAACCTTTTTTTCCACAAAATTTTCAATGAAAGAATGGTTATAATGGTTTCGTTGATACTGACAGATTATTTACAGATATACCCATCCTCCCGGAGCAACGTGTTGTTGTTGTCCGTTACCTTTTGTGCAGCTTCTCGGTGGCCGTGACCTTTCTGACACTGTTCAGCAGGGATGCCAACGGCGTCTTCTGCCAGTGCGCATCACTTCAAACGCTGCTGCTATTTCCAACCATCTCATAAAAATGGAAATACATGTATCCATGTTACTCCTGTTTTGTGTTATACTAGGCTAACCCGTTTTAAAGTAATTTAAGTACATTTATTTTTAAGTTTGCGTTTTGGGACTTTGTAGACGAATGCAGCCTTTGCGATTTATGATTAAGTTTAAAATAAATAATACATTTCCCGGAGCTCAGAACTTTTGGAATCTATCTGACATTTGATGAAATAGTCAGTCCCGTTTTGCACCTCTGGGAGAACAGTGTGATAAGGTGTTTGAGCTCCTGACATGAAGCAAACTTTTACATTTTCTGCAGGACCGCGCAGACGGACTAAGCGGCTCTTCGCCGAGTGGGCGCCTCTCCCAGCTGTCCTCACTGAACCAGGCCGCCTACTCCTCTGCTCCCCCGCTCTGCCACACTCCGGCCTCTGACTTCCAGCCTCCGTACTTCCCTCCCCCCTATCCCCAGTCCTCCCTGCCATACTCCCAGAGCCAGGACTCGTATTCCCACCTGTCAGATCCATACACCTCCATCAACTCCATCCATCAGCATCAGCAAGCGGCATGGCACTCCCAGAGGTCGCGTTCCGAGGAGGGGGGGCTCCTGTCACAGTCGCACCGGGCTCTGAGCCTCGACCCCCGACGGGAGTATCCAGCTGTCCCTCGGCTGCTGCACGGTCTAGGGGAAGGGGCTGCCGCTCTCGGGGACGGTCCTCTCGGGATGCACCTAGGACATCACGGCCTGGAGGATCTTCAGGTGAGTCTATTTGACTATTTATTTTGGTTTCCGTCCTTTGATTGCGTTGGCGTTGTCACTGCGCACTGGGAAGAACGTGTGTAAAAGTCACCTCAAAGATCAGTGCGCACAAACATGAACTATTTATGAACAAAATCTTTTCTGTGCCTCTTTTGATTCTTTATTTATTTCTATTCCAATATATATTATAATAATCAAATATAGAAAAGAAATGAAAAAATCTCTCTCATACTTCAAAATTCATGGATGTTAGCAAGAAGGCCTTAAGGCAATTTATCTTCCATTTCTTTCCTTCCTTCAAACGACACAATTTATGTCAAAATACAGATTTAACACACCATTAATTAACAACTACGACATTTTATTAATCACAGTAATTTATTAACCGAATATTTTCACCGGTTATTTTATTTTAATTTTAGGAAAAACCTCCTGCAGACCTGTAGCTTTAGTTCAAATCCACACGAGCAGTTTTGGTGTCTGATATCAAAACAATGAGGAAAAAGTAGTGCGTCACTCAATCCAGACTATAATAATAATAACGATAATAGTAATAATTAATAATAATAATAATACAGGCTTCTGTAGCCGACTGTTGATAGAGATGTCAGGTCTGAAGTATTATTTTCTACAAGAATATTAGCAGAAATGGTCTCTTTAAAACTCGTTCATAAATTCATAAACAAAAATATATTATATAACTATCCTCAATTTTGACAAGTGAGAAATTTTAGGTGTCCTGTTGAATACGTTTTTTCTAACACAGTAGCCTATGTCATTTTTAAGAGTTTCTGATCCAGAGATGCGTTTCGAGTTCATCAAAAATGTTTAGCTGAGCTTAATTACTGGAATTCATATTACATTAGAAGCCTCGAGGGAAAGTGTTTTGGATTATACAGACTTTTAGAAAACCTTTAATATTTTTCTGAAATGTTGAAATTTCAGTTATGTTTTGGGGGGGTTTGGTGACATTTGTCCGTCTTATTATTCGTCACCACATTCATGCGGTAGGCCTATTATCCAATGAGTCGCACAAAGACAAAGTGATTCTGCTCATACTGCAGTCCTTTTGCCTTCTGCAGGTTTTTTTTTTTTGAGTCGGGGGGGGGATAGTTTCTATGGTTTATTGAGCAGTCAGCTTCCCTGCAGCAGGTGCAGCTGCAGACGCTGTTTGTTGCCTCCTCTCAGAAAAACACACCGCGACCAATTGATCTGCACGGTCATTAATAGAAAAGAAATGTCTGAGAGGAGCGCGAGGGAAGGAGTCAACCCGGGCATGTTACTGTTAAACGCTCCCACTTGACAGGGACCTTTCATTTGATTAATGGATTATATCCTTCGTTTGAATCCTCTTATAAATTCAACACAAAGAAGACATCCGAGAATCGCCCTGCAAGACAATTTTATCCTCAGTGAATGAAAAGATCAAATAAATGGCAAAGTCTTTCATTTATTCTTTCAATTGGTGAGCTATACTGCTGTCTGTTTTTGATTTTATTGAATCATATTTTCTCTTTCGCATATTATTTTTTCCTAAATATGCCCGTAGTGAAAGAAATATAGCCTACATATGTTTTGATGTTCACATATTGGAAATTATTACATTTGTAGCAACAACAAAAAATAATATATAAATAAACTGCTCTTTAGTTATTTGAAACTTTGTAAATTATGACAATATTTTTCATTTAGTTCGATTTTTAGTAAATAATAACATTTGTTGCATTGAAAAATTAAAAGAGGTAACTTTTCTTGTCCAGGCAAACATTTTCACCACGTGAAGCTCAGAAATAACATCCACATGTGAATCCACATTCATTTGATTCTACAAATCTTAAACAAATATTTCCTTTTGCCTAGTGTGTTAACAGTTGAAAATGTTAAATCATCTGCCATAACTTCCATCATGTGCTTTCCATTTTGTACATTGTACATTTTGTGGCATTAACCAAAAAAGAGCTACAGATTTTGTTATTTATTTGAATGTGCTGTGAGGGAAAACCTAATGTTGGACCTTCTATCTTGCTTTGGCCTGAGAGAGACAATAGTGTGTGTGTGTGTGTGTGTGTGTGTGTGTGTGTGTGTGTGTGTGTGTATGTAAGTGTGTGTTAGCTGTGAGGCCGGTGGATAAATGATAGTGACTGTCTGTCTATCTGACACAGGGAATGGAGGAAGGATCAGCCTTGGGCATCCTCGACCACTCTGTCATTAAAAAAGGTAAGAGGTGGGAGAGCTCTGTGTGTGTGTGTGTGACAGAGAGAGAGAGAGAAGAGAAAGATTGTGTGTATGTGTGCATTTGTGTCTAAGTGTGCACCTATATAATTGTGCTATACATGCTGAAGGGGGTTTTGTGTTTAGGGGCACTCCAACACTCTCGCTGTCTCTCTCTCAATCACACACACACACACACACACACACACACACACACACACACACACACACACACACACTATAAATAATTCTGTTTTGCTATTTCATTTGAAGTCAAGAAGTCCTCTAATACTCAGCTGCAGACTTCACCCCAAAGGCACACATTCTTAATGAACTGTTCATGGTCATATGAGAGAGGGAGAGAGAGAGAGAGAGTGTGTGTGTGTGAGAGAGAGAGAGGGGGGGGGATTAGAGTGAAGAGAAGAGGAGAGAGAAGTGGGGCAAAGAAGAAAAGGGAGGGGAACATGATACAAGAGGAGTTGTGGGGAAATTTGAGTGTGATCACTCTAATATTACGACTCTTGAGTTGCAGGAGACACACAGGCACAATTAGAAAATTCAAGTTCTGTTTTTTATATAGGCCTATGTATGGCTGAGTGTGATACAGCGAAAACTTCTCTCCAAACCCCCCCCCCCCTCCCAAAAAAAAAAAAAGAAGAAAAAAAACCCTGATCAACCTGTTTGGATGTGTAGTGAAAGCTAAAGACACCTACTGTGCAATAAAACGACAGAAAATTAAATGTACTTCTGCCAATGTTATACAATGCTTCTGTTGATAATTATCAATAGTTCTTTCTCCATTTTTTTCAGTTTTTTTTATTTTCTGATTGCATAAATGTTGTAATTTAAACTCCATGTGAATAATGTGTATTCACATTTTGAATATATTTTGGCCTCCTAATTCTAAATATCCAAACCCCTCACAGGCCTGAACCTCTCATTGCCATGAAGTTTTCACAAAAACAAGGATGCAATTCTCCAAATCCCTGAAGAGGAGGAGGCTCACACTGTAAATTCCTAGCTTGAGTCAAACTGCTCGAGTATCGCTCCTGCAAACCAGCAGTCATTTGCTGAAGTGACAGTGATTCCACCTGTTTGCCGAACGCTTAATATTGATCAATTACCTCAGTGAGCCTCTCTCCCTGGCAAGCACTTACAGCAGATAGCGGAGCAAACCTAAAACCCCAATGAATAAGAAAATCCAATGGGGAGAGAACAGAATGAGACAGAATGTAGAAAAAAAGATAAGGAAAGGAAAGATAAAGAGTGGAGGCGCATGAAGGAGTCGAGCAAGAGAGTGAAAGATGATAAGAGAAAGAGAGAAGGGCGGCCAGATATGAAAAGGAAAGAGAGGGCTTTAGAGGAAACTTTGCTGCTTTGTGGCCTCGCCGGCTGGCTCATCAGGCTGGCTGTGAATGAGGGGATTTTTAGAGATTTTTTCAGTTCTGGGAATCTGTGCTGCACAGCAGGGCATCGTAAAGAGGCCACCCGGCGCCCAGAGTGTGAGGGGAGAGTACAGTGGTAGAAATTATGTTTTGAGAGAGAGAGAAAGAAAATTGCAGAGCCATCAGGATTGGAGAGATGACAGGAAGAGGGAGGGATGCGGTTTAAAATTTAGGCACGTAAATGCATTGTTTACTGTAACTGCAAAAAGCACCTTTATTGGCTTCATTCATTTTCTATCCCACTTTAAAGGGCTGGTTCATGTTTTCAGGAGGACCTTTGTTGCATGTCCTTCCCCATCATCCTGTTAATTCTCTGCTATGGACTTACAATTAGCAACGGCAACACATTATGGCATGTATATCCCCAAACTTGGGTAAATAAATATACCAAATATATCTGCATGGCCACCTCTAACCAGACGTAAATGAAAAATGGTTTGGGGGACTATAAACTCAAAATGAAGTCCAAAAACAGAAGCACCTTAAATTATCTTTGTATCCTTGTGAGAAAACATGGTCTACACAAACACAGAGAGGTTGATTCATCTTCATTATCTCAATTCAAAAGATTTATGCCCACAAAACTGCAGATTTAATGAGTGTAAGATGAAAAGCTAATTTCATCAACACCAATTAACACCTTAAAAGATCACATAACAATGATTGAGAATGATCACAATGCCAACAGAAATCAATATTTGGATTCAAGTGGCAGTTTAAACATCTGTGAAGAACCTTGCCAATGTCAGTGCTGCAACAGGCTTCGAGGACAACTACCAAATCGAGGAGATGCCCATTAAAAAAGGCCATGTTACTCCCAAATATAAGCCCCTAATGAAATTGACGAAGGCTTAAGATTATTGGCTTTGACGCCCCCCCCCATCATACCTCCTCACCCCAAAACAAGACAGACAGAAAAGCTCAGGTTACAAAAAGAGAGTCTGAAAAGTTTACCGCGGTGCAGAAAAGTGAGTGTGAATTGAGCTCCTCAAGGTGTGAAATAAAGCTATTTGAGAATGCGCAGTTAAAATGTAACCAGCTGCAGTTGAAACAACAGAATCAACAAGCAGCACTCCAGAATTAGAGCTGTCGACGCAGGGGAGAACATTACACTGAATAGATTCATCAGGAGTCATTCACACCACACTACTGTCACTGCATGATGATCTTTATTCATCCTTTATCTCGTTTTTTCCCTCCTGTTTTTGTTGCTGTTAAACTTTTTGTAACATACACATTTTTAAAAAACAATTTTGTCTGATCTGACACTTCTCACCCAATACACAAATAATGCAAACAGCCTAAAAGTGTGTAAAGTTTCTCTTTTCCACCTCCTTTTTTTCCTTCATCAGTCCTTCATTTCTCCCCAGTTCCTATCCCGTCCAAGCTGAACGGGTCCTCCCTGTCGGCCTTGTCCATCTGTAAGGAGGGTCTCGGCATGGGAGCCGTGTCCAACCCAGCCGAGGTTTTCTGTTCGGTCCCGGGTCGCCTCTCGCTGCTCAGCTCCACCTCCAAGTACAAGGTGACGGTCGGGGAGGTGCAGCGACGCCTCTCCCCGCCTGAGTGCCTCAACGCTTCTCTGCTGGGTGGAGTCCTCCGCAGGTGAGAGGGAGATGGGGAATGACTGTTGAGATGTAGTTGTGGCGTTGTTCTTTTGGGACTCCAAGCCTATACTTAAAGACAAAAATACTCCTTAAATAATTCCCCTCCCAGCCTTGTTTGACTTCTCAAATCTTTGCTTTTATAGCTGGAGATTTTTACCTCACTAGGCCTCTAAAATTGTTAAAACGCAACAGTGTGAGAATTGTCTCAACTTATAGACATATGCAGGATATGTTCATCAGCTACAAAGGGTCACAAGCCTAAAAGGTTGAGAACCATAAATAAATTGAATACAGCTGTTTGTGATTTTGTTACTTAGGGTTTATATCTACAGTACACAAACACTGTTTGGCACCAGTGTTCAACAAAAGTAAAATGAAAAAAAAAACGTCACAGAAGAGGAAAAGAACAGCTTCTCCATCAGTAGATTCCTAAATAATCAGCAAAGCTGTAATGACTAAAAACATACCTGCAGTGTGAGTAAAGAAAACCACAGAGATAATTTTCCAATGTCACCAACCTGGCACATCTACACAATACACAAACAATAAATTCACAACACGCTTGTTGAAGGTCTCTGGGAAATGTAGGACATCAGGAACTGTCACAAAATAACAGCTGGAATCGACTGAGCCTCATAAGTTCACATTTATACTGTAAAAGAAGACTCACTGACCTAGAGCGATCGTGACTCCAAACCTGGTAACATAATCATCAAAAACGAGGCCATCAAAGAGGATTCTGGGAGCTTCCACCAGCCTTTACATTGGATTTTAAATTGTTTGCTACCAAGTCCAACTTCACAGCTTCACACAGAGCACAACACAGGAAAGCAGTGCTGTTCTTCCAGGGAAAAAGAAGCTAAAGCGTTTAGGATCTTTCTGTTACTGGTGGATGAAGTTCAGGGGAAAATGAGTCTCCAACATTTTTATCCATTTTAATGAAAGAGAAAAACTAAGATTCAGGGAAAATAGTCTTAACTCTGAGCGATGGTCACATTAACAACACTTCAGGGGAGAGAAGCTACCAGAACTTCTTATTTTTTTGTTAGATGTAATTTTATAAATGCAATAATTGTAATATTACAGTAATAAACTGACTACACATTGCACCTTTAACCATGGGACACAGGCTACAACCGTCTTTTGGATTTATGAGTATGGATTGTATTAATTACGCAGATACAAAATGCTTTTAACCACAACAAGGGCTCTTGGTGTAAACGTCGTTATCAACCATGTACTCCATTTTCCTAAAGCTTCATTTTTCAGTATAACTCAACGCTTTAACTTAACTGTGGGACCGCGGCTGAGGATCCAAAATGGGTCATGGGACTAAATCACAAGAGAAGCAATGTGTTTTAATGAACCACAGCCTCGGGGCAAGAGAACAACTTTATGATTTGGGTTACAGGCTGAAATACTTTAAAAGGACATAATTAAAAGATCTAAAGGGTAGTAAATATTGTAACCCGAGTTTCCCCTCAACAGAAAGACACAGCTACCATGCTGATAACAATACATGTTCTTGTACTTACCGTAACTTGATATTACTATTTTACTTTGTATTTCTACTCTACTACATTTCAGCGGAAATATTTTACTTTTTAGTCCGCTACATTTCATCCGCTACATTTCATTAAACAGCTATAGTTACTGGTTACTTTGGAAATTACAGTTTTCCATAATGAAATAAGTGATCAGTTTATAAAATACAATGCATTGTTGTAGATAAACCATCCAACATTATATAAAGTAGTTCAAATTAGCTCCACCTCCACTAACTACAAAATGTAATAAGTGCTGCTTTTGATAATTAAAGTAAAATTTTATAATAATAATTCTTTTACTTCAGTAAGACTTTGAAAGCTGGATCTATTTTCACACTATAGTAATGCTACTTTTACTTAAAGGATTTGAATACTTTTTCTGCCATTGCTTCCAATCATATAAATACCTAAATGATACCTCTGTGTAAAATATTGAAATGTTCCTAAATTTATATATTTAAGAATAAAGAAAGGGTCAAGAACAGGCAAAGGAAAGTAAAGCAATAACTAAAGGATGAAAGGCAAAAAAAAAATCTGAAAAACACAAGACACTAGCAGTGTTGACAGGGAACATACTGTAGGGAGATTTCAGCTTCACATTCACTTACATAAACGCACACAATACACAAATGCATACACACATACCCGGCCATAGACACAATACAGAGACACAGGCACACACCACAACAAAACTCATAAAGACAAACACGCACACAAACACACACACACACACACGGACCAGCTCCTAAAAACTGCTCTCTCCTTGTCCCCCCTTAGGGCAAAGTCAAAGAATGGTGGTCGCTGTCTGAGAGAGCGTCTGGAGAAGATTGGCCTCAACCTGCCCGCCGGGCGACGCAAGGCAGCCAACGTCACTCTCCTAACATCTCTAGTGGAGGGTAGGGAAAACACACAAACACACACATACATACGCACATACGGTGACCTGCATATATCCTAACAGATAGAGACACATATTCACATAGAAATATCCTTGCATGAGCAGACATGAATAAACAGTGGTAGCATGGGTGGCTGCATGCGCGAGGGTCCACACACAAGTGGAGGGTGTCATTTGAAAAGCTAAAGCTGTGGCTGCCTCACAAAGCCAAAGAGCAGTGAACTGTTTGAGTAGTGAAAGTGAGAAAAACAGCTGCAGAGTTTGCCTCATGCCCTGACCTGACCCGAGCAGTTACAGCAGTCAATAGTGCATCATTTAAAAGCATTTATATGGATAATTATTTGATAGGAAATCTAAACTGAAGCACTGACCTTTGAGAGACAGAAGTAGCAGCTGCATGTTTCCCCAACTAATGCAGAAGATTTACTTTTTGTACTGTACTAGTGTGACTTGGTTTTCCTGTTTTAATAGACACTCACTCTCCTCCTCCTCTTCCTCCTCCTCCTCCTCCAGGTGAGGCCGTCCATCTGGCGCGGGACTTTGGTTATGTGTGTGAGACAGAGTTTCCAGCCAGAGCTACAGCTGAGTATCTGTGCAGGCAGAGTGAGCCAGACCAGCTCCCAACACGGCGCAGCATGCTGCTCGCTACCAAGTGAGTGTTTCATCCCCACCTCTGCAGGTTTTAGACATTTAGTTGTTTTTTTTTTTAAAGGAGCACTCCACTAATTTTACATGTCAAAGTCAATTTCCTTTTTGAGGGTTAACCCTAACACTTTAACAGTAGTAAAATATCTTGTGTTGCTCTAAAGAGTTTTGTCAAGTCTGCGTCAAATAACATTTTTATTGTAGTGTGGGCTCGGGAGGGTCTAACAAAATGGGAAGTGTAGGATCCAGTGTGTTTGGAGGTTTAACCATAGTAAAAGTCAGGATATTTCGTTCTTTGCTGCTTCAACTTTGATCATTCAACTGAAAGGAAGTTCAATATTAAACAACCGATTTGCCTCTTTGGGAGTTTTTATCTAGATACCAGGTCTACCAGTCTGATGTTAAATGCTGACAAAATTAACTAAGATAAAAATACCAATGGTCACATTATAGGGAAAACTACATTTTAACAAACTGTTTTATAAGAACGTGATATAAAGATTTACGTAAACAAACAGTACCTAATTTTCACAAAACACAACTGAAAATACATAGTTTGCTAGTTTGTTTTTAGTTTACCAGCAACTGATAGGCTACATGAACAAAATATACTGACTTTTTGGCCACCTTCCCAACGCAGCAGCTTTGAATTTAAATGTCTCCCGTCTTTTCTCATAGGCGCACTTTCAATGTAAAATGTTAGATTTTTCAAAGCAGAGTAGGTTACAGTATGCACTTAAATATTAATCCTAGTGCAATGGCCAAAAGACAATAATACAAAACAATACCAAGAAAAAAAGCACCTGCACACCAAATAAATACTCCCAAAAGATGTCTTCAGTACAGCCACATTCATCCACATTATGTGTATACCTAACATCAAAATACATTGTTCTTTTTTCTTGATATCACCACCGTTAAAAGGAAAATACACATATTCCATATATATATATTTCATTTTATAAGTATATACCCCTTTTTTTAGTTGGCCTTCTCTGATCTCCCCAAATTCCAGCGGCCCTTCTGTTGAGGGTGTAAAAATCTGACAATTTTACTTTGGCACCTATTTATTTATTCCATTTAAGGGTGTGTTGGTGCTGGGGGTATGGGTTGATCAACAAAGGGGTCACTACAATAATTAAAGAGACTAACTTGGACAAATTTTTGACAACACATGCCATAATAACAAACCAATGCATCATCTTTTTTCTCTCAGGGAGATCTGTAAGGAGTTTGTGGACCTGATGTCCCAGGACCGCTCTCCACTGGGCGGCAGTCGACCCACCCCCTGCCTGGAACCCGGCGTCCAGGGAAGCCTCACCCACTTCAGCCTGCTCACCCACGGCTTCGGTACTCCCGCCATCTGTGCGGCGCTCTCCGCCTTCCAGAGCTACCTGATGGAGGCGATCAAAATGCTAGACAAGGGAGAGGGGGGAGGGAAGAGCCACCACGACAAGGAGATGAAGCACCGCAAATAGAGGAAGGACAGACAGATGTGTTGGTGGATGGATGGATGAGAGGCAGAAAGTAAGAGAAAAGAGGGGAAAAGACTGACTGGTGCCCCTCTGCGTCTTTACCTTCGCCCTCAGGATAGAAACTGAGACTTTTACCTCCCAGAAACCCCTGCGTTTCCTCTCGTTGAGGAGACGGGGTTTATGATGATATCTGTACTGTAATGTGTGTCCACAACCACCTCACTCAAAATGACGCATGGACCTCTCTTCTCAGTAGCTGGTTTGTGTCATGATGGCATCTACAAAACTCTTCAGGATGAGTTCTTACATGGCTGTATGCTTTTATTTACCCCCCCCCCCCAACTTTAAACATTTTGGTAGACCTGTCACCTTTATCTGTGTTTTAGAAAACCCTGCCTTCATCAGAAACTCTCTCTTTCGCACACACTTGTACACATTTTTGGACTGAACTCATCTGGGAAGTGTCGTAAGCCATATCTGAGACAGCAACCTGCTCTTTGCTCCTTTGGAACTTTGGGAGACTTTTAACTCAACATGATTGGACAAGCACAGCTTCCTCATGTAGTTCTTCTTAATTGGTGGTCATGGGAAATTGAGTTCTGGGTTCTCTAGCAGCGGGGTAAGGAGGAGTCAAAGGCAGCTAAAGGAGATTTGTTTTCTTTTATTTTGAAGTATTACGTGTTGGTAACTTAAGAAAATAACACAAATCATTTTGTACTTTCTGTGTATGTTTATTATTAATGTTATTACTGTTGTTATTATTATTGTATTACGGCATAAATGTAATATATTATTAAACAATTAAGAACTGATCGGTTGAGTTTCATGAGTGTGTTTTTATGTTTTGATCTGAGATGTCAGAAGTATAAAAAGCAATTGCACCTTCAGGTAACTTTAAATGCAACTGCCCACTTCAACTTAATTTTCTATTCACAAGTGGCAGTGCACTTTTATTGTGCTTATAGTAAATGCTTCGTCTTTCCCTTTGTCGCGATAATTATGTTTTTTATTGATACCTGTAGGCTCTTTTGTGACTTTAACAGGAAGGTCATAGAGAGGGCTGCAACTTCATTTCAGTTTTGGTTGATCTGTCGATTTTCGGTTAATTGCTTAGGCTATAAATGTCAGAAAATAAAGTGATGTCTTCCTAAACCAAAAGATATTCAATTTACAATTATATTAAACAGAGAAAACATCAGCTAAAAAACAGGAAATGTGGACTTTTAACAACTATTAGACTGATTTTGTACAGACATTCATCGTCCCCAGAGGATGAATCCTACTGACTTTAATGGTCCCTGGATTTTTTTTCGAGCACCACCAGCCAGTCCAAGTTTTTACTTATCTAGTGAAATTTCTCAACATCTGTTTGATGAATTGTGACAAAATCCTTATCCAACAGACATTCATGATTCCCAGACGATGTACTCTATTAACGTTTTTTGACTTTTCCTCCAAAATCACCATGATGTTGACATTGTAGTTTTGAAAGAAACTATAGAAAGCACACGTCCCTCCCTTCCGGTGGACCTTCTAATAAAATATGTACAGTAGTCAATGCGTGTGAGACAACTAATCTTTTGATCCAATTTGAATTGTGCCCTGAATTACACATAAGATGTTTGTCAATTTAAAACATAATTTTGTCAGTTTGTTGTAAAACTGTTTACGACCAAAAACACAAAAGTCACATATTCGACATAGTAACTTTTTCTCTCAATGACTAACGCTAACGTAACTGAAGCTACCTTACATGTGTCGATGATGTGATGAAAGGACCAAGAGCACAAACTGTATATACGAAGTGGACGTAGTCATCGTTACGTCACCCGTTGGTTTGTGGACTGCTGTTTTGAAGCCTGGAGTTGCCCGATAGGCCGCCGCCATGTTGTTTTTTTGCAATCAGTGGCACCAGACGTAACCGTATTTTGACGAGACGGTGGAGCTTTCGGCCGTGTGTGGCGCTAGCTAGCTTGCTTAGCTAGGTGCATCTGTAATTCACTTTAACTGTCATTTAGACCGGGCTGAGAATTTTGTCTAGGAAATAGGCTTAAAACTAAATGTACTCACCAGAGAATAATAAGCTTTTGACTGATTGACAGGTCGCCATGGTAACGACTTGTCAATCATAGATAATCCCGTCCTGAAGCATACTCTGCTTTATGGTCTATTTTCCTCTAAATGTTGTATTGAAGAAGACATGAAACTAGCGATTGAGACCATAAACTCATTTTGGAAAGTGTTTTCTGAGGTAAGAAATGAGCTGAGAAGTAGGGTCATTTTACCATTATTTCTAATGGAGCCGGGCTTCTTTTTGCAACCAAAAGAGTCGCCCCCTGCTGGCCGTTCGGTAGAATGCAGGTTTAATGGACTTCCGCTTTCGCATCAGTTTTCTGACCGGAAGCTTCCCACATGACCAAGAGACATTGGATTAAACCATCAGGTGAGCTACATTTATTTATTAGGTGAGATACCTAGCTAGTAGCAAGCAAGCAATAAATGTTAGCTAGCATTACAGCGTTAACATGTTGGTGACGTCTATGAAGATTCTCAGTCATCCAGGTCATAGTTATCCAACGAAGGTTAAAATCAAGGGCAACTGGACTTGGTTGAAGATACTGGAAGACGTTTCGTCCCTCATCCAAAGGACTTCTTCAGTTCTGACTGACTGGCAGGTGTTGGTGACATATATTGTGCAAAACGAGAGATGTTCATTGAACGGTTCCACACAAAACTAAATCTTACTTTACTGTTTTATGACAAACTGCAACTTTCTTGACGGACACAATTATATTAAATTTACATCATCATCATTTGTGTAATTCAGGACATAATCCAAACTGGATAAAAAAAATAAATTGTCTCTCGCAGTAGTTGACTACCGTACATATTTGTTTCGGAAATAAGATCCCATGTGACAGAAGTGGAAGCGAGAAACTTAGCATCTCTATTAGATAAATTGCCATGAAATTCATGTCCCCCTGAGGATGGTCAAGGTCAGGTCAAACCTTTAATTTGCCAAATAACTGCAAAACAAATACAAATCCCATCAGCCTCAGCTGTTCTTTGAGGTTTGTGCTAATTAGCAAATGTTAGCATGCTAACACGCTACCCTAAGATGGTGAACATGGTAAACATTAGCATGTTAGCAACAACATTGTGCGCATATTAGCATGCTGAGCTCAAAGCCTAATACAGCTTTACAGAGCCACTAGCATGGCTGTAGATTCTTGTTGCTTGATAAATCATTTTAAATATTGATCTAATACTGAAATAATTTCTGACAATCTACTAAACAATGAATCAACTAGCTTAAAGCAGGGCTGAAGCTTGCCAACACAGGAGCCTGAATTATTGGCCACACACATATCATGCTTGGGAAACATTTTCTGTGTGCTCCCCAAGGGGCCTCTCAAAAATCACAGCCCCCTCTGTGCATGCAGGGCTCCAGCAGGGGCCCAGGGAGACGGCAGCATCACAGCTGCAGCCCTGAACACCTTACCTGGGAGAACCAAGGCAGAGGCGCGACCCCCAGCTCCCAACAAGCCACACACCTCGGCTCCCCCTCAACCCATCTGTTCTGCATTTCTCCCACCGACCACCTCTCACCTCTGATGCACAGCCCTTCACTTTATTTAACCAGGATGAGACACTCAAAGCAATTACAGCTTTCCAGGGACTGCACACATACACGTGTCGCCTGCTCGTACACTCTCAAACATCACTCATTTCTACCTGCCGTATGTCCCTTTCTCTCCTCCCATCTCATTACCCTCCTGTGTCAATCCCCCCCCATCCCTTCATCTCCCTCTCTGTACACCCACCCTCATCTCCCCTCCTTTTCCTCTCCACCCTCTCCCCTATTCTCTCCCTCAATCTGACACTCAGCGGGTCCGCTCTCCATCTCTCTCTGTGCCTCCAGGCAAACATATGCTGCTCTTCCCGTCAGATTCCGGTGTGTTTGAGAGAGGAGGGATTGTTTAATGTTTATTAATCACCTGTCTGTGGTGGAGAGAGGAGACGATGATAGAGCCACACACACACTCTCTCTCACTTGTACACATGCACATGGGCTGTCTCACTTACACACACACATTTAGCTGTGATGTTACCAACTTGGCCTGGTTTTTCTCTTCACAGCTGTACATAAGTGTGTTCATCTACTGTAACACTCCCTGTATGCAGTCAAAATATATTTATTTCAGCAGCTACGTTTGAGCAAATAATTAAGGTTGATGTTTTTCCCCCTGCAAACCCACCTACAGGTCCATACTTGATCATACAAAACCACATTTAGTAAAAAATAAATTTGAAAATAGTGTTAAATTGTGTCTAGCATTAAGAAGTTAATTTAATTACTGACAAAGGTTTATCATCCAGGAATTCAATGCTCTTTCAAATGATTTCATTTTCATATGCACCTGTCCACCAGATGTAAACATTAGGCAATATTTAGCATTTTGATACGAACTTCATCCTGATGGTGAGCAGCTACAGTGAGGAAAATAAGTATTTGAACACCCTGCTATTTTGCAAGTTCTCCCACTTAGAAATCATGGAGGGGTCTGAAATTGTCATCGTAGGTGCATGTCCACTGTGAGAGACATAATCTAAAAAAAAATCCAGAAATCACAATGTATGATTTTTTTGAACTATTTCTTTGTATGATACAGCTGCAAATAAGTATTTGAACACCTGAGAAAATCATGTTAATATTTGGTACAGTAGCCTTTGTTTGCAATTACAGAGGTCAAACGTTTCCTGTAGTTTTTCACCAGGTTTGCACACACTGCAGGAGGGATTTTGGCCCACTCCTCCACACAGATCTTCTCTAGATCAGTCAGGTTTCTGGACTGTTGCTGAGAAACACGGAGTTTGAGCTCCCTCCAAAGATTCTCTATTGGGTTTAGGTCTGGAGACTGGCTAGGCCACGCCAGAACCTTGAAATGCTTCTTACAGAGCCGCTCCTTGGTTATCCTGGCTGTGTGCTTCGGGTCATTGTCATGTTGGAAGACCCGGCCTCGACACATCTTCAATGCTCTAACTGAGGGAAGGAGGTTGTTCCCCAAAATCTCGCAATACATGGCCCCGGTCATCCTCTCCTCTCCTTAATACAGTGCAGTCGCCCTGTCCCATGTGCAGAAAAACACCCCCCAAAGCATGATGCTACCACCCCCATGCTTCACAGTAGGGATGGTGTTCTTGGGATGGTACTCATCATTCTTCTTCCTCCAAACACGGTTAGTGGAATTATGACCAAAAAGTTCTATTTTGGTCTCATCTGACCACATGACTTTCTCCCATGACTCCTCTGGATCATCCAAATGGTCATTGGCAAACTGAAGACGGGCCTTGACATGTGCTGGTCTAAGCAGGGGAACCTTCTGTGCCATGCATGATTTCAAACCATGACGTCTTAGTGTATTACCAACAGTAACCTTGGTAACGGTGGTCCCAGCTCTCTTCAGGTCATTGACCAGCTCCTCCCGTGTAGTTCTGGGCTGATTTCTCACCTTTCTTAGGATCATTGAGACCCCACGAGGTGAGATCTTGCATGGAGCCCCAGTCCGAGGGAGATTGACAGTCATGTTTAGCTTCTTCCATTTTCTAATGATTGCTCCAACAGTGGACCTTTTTTCACCAAGCTGCTTGGCAATTTCCCCGTAGCCCTTTCCAGCCTTGTGGAGGTGTACAATTTTGTCTCTAGTGTCTTTGGACAGCTCTTTGGTCTTGGCCATGTTAGTAGTTGGATTCTTACTGATTGTATGGGGTGGACAGGTGTCTTTATGCAGCTAACGACCTCAAACAGGTGCATCTAACGTCCACTTAGTAGGTTTTTTCCCAGAACTTTCAGCTCAGTTTTCTCATTTGACATGAAATCGGTGTGGCTCTTCAGCACCATAACACGTGATAATGTAAATGTCAAATTAACCATACTTTATTATAAAGATATAAGCTAAGCGGTTTGCTTGACAACTGAGCAAACTCCTTATGCTGATAAAGATCGTAGGATGACCTTAGAATCCCGGGACCCAGAGTTAGAATAATTTACAGTAGTAAAAGAGTATTTGTGTTTATCTGTATCTTCAGCTTGTTGGCCTTCACAGAATTCAATGGCCTTCCTGTTCAGGGAAGGGATATCTGATGATATGCCTGCCTGAACAAAACTGACTTTAGTACATACAGTATTTTAACTTTCCAAAGTTGGAGTTAGGGTTAGTGATGGTATTGGCTCAAATGTATTTAAATTCAGGGTGTGTTGTGTATACACACTTACACAAATTTCTTGAAGCTGATCTGATCTTTTCAATAACCCTGGTCAGGTACACAGAATGAATCACAATCAGAACACCTGCACAGTGTAACCTGACCAGTGTAACCTGATATGTTAGTTCTGCAGTTGATGGCAACTTTGTGCAGGAGAGGTTTATTTATTTACCGTCATGTCAATCATGTTTTAATGGACTACATGCATATGTTGCTATTATTAACTTCAGGGTCCAATGTCAAATGATTTTTGCTCGTTTTAAGTGAGAAGACTATTACCTTGTTTTAAACATCCAGCATTTAGCTTGGATAATTTCAGGGTACTTAATAAAATGTGTATATCACACAGTTTTTGTGAGCTGTATTTTTTTAATATAAAATAACAGTAAATACTACCAATATTTCTATGTAGTACGTAACAAATTTTCCTGTTTTTAACCACCATATGTGCATGCATGTTTTATTACACGTGTACAAGCATGAGCAAGTGTACATTACCCACATGCACACTCACTGAGTCCAAGTGCAAAAGTACACAGCCAGAAGGCTGTTCTCTTTCTATGTGCAGATGAGTAGACTAGAGAGCAATGAGAAAGCACCACAGGGACAAAGAGCTTGTATCTCAACTGTGTGTCACTTTTTATTGGAACAGAAAGAGCAAGGAGGTCAACGGTACAAAAAAAAAAAAAGAAAGCGAAACGAGGGCGTGAGGGTTGATAGTTAAGCAGTGAGCGGTCACTTGGCGCTAGAGGTGAGCTTCTCCAGGTCATGGATGCCCGTCTTGTCAATCAAACGAACGCTGAAGGAGGGAAGGTTCATGATGAAGCGCTTGTTCAGCTGGAAGAGAGAGAACGAGAGAAGACAGAGGAAGAAATATTAAGATCAAGGCACAAATTGCAGAAATATTTATGTGCAATCAAGAAAAGTGAACAAAAACAGAAAACAAAGCAGAGCAAGTAAAGTGGGATACGGACTATTAAGGCTAAAGTGTTTTTGACTCCCATTACTTGCCCGACCCATGAAACAGATACGCTTCCTTTTATCAAAATGCATCAATCCACAACGACTTCGAGACACCCCAGCACTCTGTCTTTTTATTTTTTTATATGTAAATGTATGGTCTGTATTTGTATAGCGCCTTTCTAGTCTTTTCTACCACTCAAAGCGCTTTTACGCTACATCTGCATTCACCATTCACTCACATTCACTGGTGGAACAGCCACCAGGGGCAATTTGGGGTTCAGTATCTTGCCCAAGGACACTTCGACATGCAGCCTGGAGGAGCCGGGGATTGAACCACCGACCTTCCGATTAACGGGCAACCCGCTCTACCTCCCGAGTCACAGCCACCCCTCTCTTAAAGCTCTGAGTACATTTTTTCCCCCCACTGGCTTGTATAGTCAAGCGTAATCGTCACAGACAGACGTTTAAAAATCACAAAAATCTCCAACTGTTTTGATTGGTCAATTTTCTATAACATCAATGACTCAAATAAAACACTGCTGCTTTCTTCCGGTGGGGCCTACATGAAAACTTTTGTTCAGAACAGTTTTATTAACACACATTACTCTAAAATAGTGCTTTTGTGCTGCTCACATCTTAGTTTTTATTTGGAATCCCAGTAAAAAGAGTAAATCCAGCACTGTGCCACTAAGCACACTGAGAAATGTTTACAGAGCTAAGATGCTATCTGAGAGCCTGCGCAACATAGCAAAGAATTCAAATAAGATGCTTGTTATTCTTCTAAGGGATATGCAAAACTTCCTGAACTCACTTCCTCGATGCACTTCTTCAACAGATCCACTGCCTCATCTCGGGTCAGATCTAGAACAGAAAAACAGGAGACAAATGAGAATGCTAAATGACAGAAAAAAGGTAACGACAGAGACGTAAATTACATTAAAATTAAGAGGGAAAACATTTTTATTTCGAGAGAAATTCAGTGTGGTATTGGTTAGAAAGCGCTCATGGGGAGCATGATGGCATGTGAAGAAGAAGAACAAGAAGAGCTAACCTTAGCTAACAAAACTCAAACTGCTAACAAAAAAATTGTATGCTTGTACATCCGATTTATCAGGGATATTTTTACTGCAGCCCACAACAGAATTAACATTAAAATTGTTTCTACTGTAATCATTTAATTTAACAGAACCTCTGACAGTGACATGAGTCTGTACTGTGACCCAAGTGTAAATCAACTCCATAACCTCTGAAAGCTCTACAGCCTCGGATCATTTTCTGTATTTCTCGGTCATGAACAGTAACAAAAAAAAAAAAAAAAACATGCATGAGGCATTTCTCTGCACTGACCTGGTCTGTAGTGCCGGTCAAGAATGGAGAGAGTGAGGTAGGCTCCGTAGCCGTGTGCAGCGAAGGGGGCCTTGGCCAGGGAAGACAGGTAGTCCATGTAGTAGAGACCCGGGCCGTCTGTGTCATCGTAGCCCGCCAGCAGCAGGTTCACATGATATGGAGTCTGGATACAGAGGAGGGAGGGAGGATTAATATTCAGATAGAATAAGGGAAGAAGGGTTTCTACAAGGGATGCACACTTATTATTTTGTTGTCTTGGTATTGAAATGTGCTGTACAATACACTTGCCTTGCCTAATTTAATTCAATGTCACTGTTGGACACCGTTTGTTAAATCACCAGGAATGGGCTTATGATCACTTTTTTGATTGGAACCAATTGAGAAAAACACATTAGCCTACTATTGGTTTCAGCTGTTATCCAAATAGCCTCTTTTTTATTTTTAAACTCACATTATTTGCTTTTTGGTATATTTGGTGGTCTTCTTTTCAAGGCATTGGTCATTAAATGCAATGCTTTCAGTAAGTCATTGAACACTGTGTTGCATTCAACCAATACGTGTGAGGAAAAAGCTAGCAAAATGCCCTTTGAGAAATGTTTGCTATCATTTGGTGGGTGTGTGTTTGAGGTGTAATTTACAAAACAGGAACACATACGAGCATCATGGTATTCTAAAACAGCCATCAGCACACCATGGAGCACCACCAGACATGATGTTCTTTGAGAGGTTCTCAGCAAAAACACAGAAAAGCCTTTTAGCCTCTACAGCGGCAACTGGTACTAACTCTCGACAAATCGTTCAAAACACCACCATTCCTGTACATAAAACTTTTTTTTCTGCCTATTGGTCAGCAACAAGTACAACCATGGTTTCGGGCAGGAAAGGACCTTCTTCCATGTTAAGTAACAAGTCCTAACTCCAGAGTGAAATACAATGTTTTTCTGAAAGGCCTACTCCAGTAATATGCTGTAATAATGGAATAGAAGAATCCAAATCGATCAATCCATTACTCCAACTAGACTTGGATCATATTTTATTGTCTCACCGGTTATCTTAAACACGCCTGTTCAAACGCACGGCTGGTCTTGGTCTGTATCCCTGCTAAAGCCTTGTTATTTTTGGAGCTACAACGATTAATTGCCAAATACTTTGATAATTGAATAATTGGGCTGAGTCATTTTTTAATATTAAAAAAAAAAAAGTAAAAATTATCTGATTCCAGCTTCTTAAAAGAGATGTTTTTCTATTTTCTTTACTCCTCAATCACCGTAAACTGAATATATTTGGGTTGTGGACAAAACAAGACATTCAAATAGTGCTCAAATAGTGATCTTGGGCTTTGGGAAACACTGATAAATTTTTCCCCATTTTTCTTGTATTTTAGAAGAAGATGATATATTTAATCCCACGAGGGATCCTCACTCTGTTATTATGTTAGTATTTTTACACACAGGTCTGAACTGGCATCTCTCCAGCTACTAGTCCACGCTCCGCAACTCTGGTCCGAGCAGGTTTCGAACCGCCGCCCCATATGGACCAAACAACTACTCGATTAATCTGGAAAATAATCGACAGATTCATTGACAATGAAAATATTCATTAGTTGCAGCTCTGGTTATTTTTTCAGACTTTGGCAAGCTACTCCAGAACCACAGAAGACATTATCCAGCTGTTTTAACTGGTATTCTGCATGAAACAATACCAATTGGTGAAGTGCACCTTTACTAGCCGCAGAATCTGAAGAAATCTAGACTCACCCAGCCTTGCAGACTGGATTTGTGCTAAGAGTAGTTTAATTGTCAGGCGGGCTGATCTCTGAAATAGAACAGTTATTTCCTCTCTCTAATTAGAGGTGCCAACATTGCCATCAGTATATGTATGATTACAATAGTGAACCTTATCTCATAAGGTCAAAAGTCATTTCACAAGAGCAAAGTCATCTTACCACTTGAAAAGTACAAATTCTTATTCTCAATTTATTCCAGATATACTGCTCCTAATTATTGGACGTTGATGGTTGAACTTGGCAGAGATGTGGAGCGACGCACGCGGCGGCAACATTAACACAGAGTAAACAGCGGAGAGAGAGAGAGAGAGAGAGGGAGAACAGGGAGGGGTAGCTGCTGGAGAGTGATGGAGGCAGAGGAAAGGTGAAAGGGCGTCACAGGACAGAGGAGGCGAGTGTGTTTGTGTACGTGTGTGTGTGGGGGGATCAGGGTGTCACTGGCAGTGTGACATCTGCTGGGAGTCAGCACCCCTGTTGCTCCCTCCCTCGCTCCCTCCCTCTTCATCCCTTCTTTAACTCCCTCACTCCTCCCCTCCCCTCCTCGCCTTCACCCTGTGCCCTGGAGTAGCGCCAGGGCTCATTAAAAACTTCTAAAGTCGTTTCTCTTGCCCCTTCCACCCCCCCCCCCCCCTTTTTTTAAATTACATCTTTTACGCTTCCAGCCTATTCTCCCTTCTCTTCCTCCAAAACACTAATTTTCTCTCTTCGTTGTTGCGAGCCACTGTTCCCCCATTTAAAAAAAATCCCTTTAAAGCCAGACAATTTTGGGGATTTCAAAACAACTTATGGCCTAAATCCGTGTGGAGGTAGAAGCAGTGCAGTGTTTTTGATTAAAATGCAACAAGAAAATATAATATTGCATTCTCTGTCGTGCAGCGAGGCAAATATAATTCACATGACGCCAGGCGAGTTGTGATCCACACACCTGCCCTCTCATTTCAATTTCTCTCTCAGCCGACCTGCTTATTTCTGTGACTTGTGTGTTAGCACTACGTTTGCCACAAGGGCAATGATGATCATTATGCTCCCTGTGGAGTAGGCTTTAGTCTGTGTGTTAACGATGGTTTTTAAAATGCATACACACACATGTGAGAAAGACAAAGCATGTTTGTGAGTGTGCACAATGGGCGTGAATCTCAGGATGCATTGTGTGTGTGTGTGCGCTTTAACTCCTCCGTGGGCCTGCGAACGCCCCAGTGGCGTCACCCCACCCACCAGACACCTGTCTCACTGGTTACAATGTAACAATAATATGGACTTGGCATCAAAATAACCTTCCCATCTCATGTCACCTTGGAGAGAACCAGGCACCTTGTTAACCCAGCCACCTGAACTCACACTCAGGTTCACATGCAATCAACACACACACATTTTTTCATGTTTTATCCCCCCACTGCGACTCGTGCTCTCAGCCAAACAAGGCGACCGTTGTGCCAGCTTCACCTGTACGTTGCTACCATTGCCTTCAGCACACAAAAACCATCTCCACTAGGAATATTTGACATTGAAAAATATACTTATTTCAATTCTTGCTTAGAGTTAAACGACAAGATCGATGCCACTGTTGTGTCTGTACGGTAAAATGGGAGCCAGTGCACCAAAAATAATGATTAATCTGGCAATTATTTTCTCAATTAACCACTTCCAGTCTGAAACATGCCAGTTACATTTTCCTACAGCCCAAGTGACATTTTTAAATTTACTATAATTTTCTCAACTTCTCACATTTAAGGAGCTGGAACCATCAAATGTTTGACATCTTTGCTTGAAAACTGAATTAATAATCAAACTAGTTGCAAATGATCTTTCTCTCAATTGACTACTCGATTTAACTCTTGTGTTTTTCGCTGAGCTTTAGAAGTGCTGGTAGGTTTTGTTACCATTGGATAGAGTCAGGCTAGCTGTTTCCCCGTTTCCACTCTTTGTGCTAAGCTAAGCTAACCGGCTGCAGCTTCATAGTTAGTGTACAGACATGAGAGTGGTTATCGATCCTCTCATTGAACTCTTGACCAAAAAAAAAAAAAAAGAGAATATGCGTGTTTCCCAAAATGTCACACTATTCCTTTAAGATTTCAGCAGTGAAAGATTCAGAGCAAAAACAGCTACAGTTGTGACAAATTCATCACAAACTCATCCCCAAATTCTCTTCTTCCACGTTCCAGCACTCCCTGCTTCCTTTCCTTCCTCCCACCACCTCCCTCCCTCCCCCTATTTTTGCACCCTGCCCCGGGGCATGTTCTCTTTATTGGCATTTCTCCTCAATCTGCTGTATTAATTGTTCATCTGTGCAGGAGCAGGGGAGCCGTGTGCAATATGGCGCCAGTAATTATTTGTGCCCATTGTGTGCCCGTGCTAAAAAATATCTTACAAACCCATATGGGACCAGCTGTAGATCACCACAGCACAGAGGCTAACTGTTGCTGTGGCCACCTGAAACTGAAAATAAACAGCTCAAACTTTACAGACAGACAAGATTTGACTTCACTATACTGCAGAGCAAACTTCCACGTATATACAAAAACTGACGACTTTAAGGCTTCTACAGTCTCCCCCCCCAAAAATCAAATATGATATTTATAAACCATCTGCCTGCCTAGAGTTTGGCTGTATCAATTTAACCTCATGTTTCTGCTTCCTACACGTACAAATCCTGCTAAACCTTTTTGACTACCACACCCATCAATTAAATATCAACTTTATCTATATTTATCTTCAATACACAATTTTTGCTAATATTACAGTCCATTAGACAGGAAGCTAAAGCAAATAGAAGCAGAGCAGATGCTGTGTTTCAATGCCCCTTAAACTTTGCAGTTGTTGTTTTGCTTTGTGGTGAATTTCATGTGTATCATTACTGATATGCATGCAGCAGAGTCGAGGCCTCAGGTGATTATGCTTACCGCTAGTTTTTTTTTTTTTTTCTTTGTCTCCTCTCTAAAGCTTGAGTGAATGCAGTACTCCAGAGGTTAGCAGAGTTGTTTTTCTGGACGGCGGTGCTAGTAAGTACAAAGTCGTATGCGAACAGGGTTTCACTTACTCTGCGCTGACATGCTCTGCTGACTTTAGCTAACTACACCTCCCGGAGGTCTACAGCCACTGGAGTATGACATCTTTCAGACTAAAGGACTCGTCTGTAATTTATCCTGCAGGAATCAGAATTAACAATATACCACTGATTAATTTATCAGCCAGTGGATTTTAACCTAAGGGTCTGGACATGCCAGTGGAATCACATGATGATTTTGTTTGAGGGGGGGGGGGGGGGGTTCAGAGGCTGATTTAAGGATGGTAGGGGGGAAAAAAGAGAGAGAGATATGATATACAAAAGCAGATCATTATCTTGCCTTTCTGTCTGGGCTTAACTTTAATCTGCAATGATTTAATCAGATTAATTAAAAATAAATTCCAACATATGCAGCCAGTTCCCCAGACAAGTACTGAGCAGAGTCTTGGACTACAGGCAGTTTTTCAACAAATCTACATTAAATTTTGTTTTAGTCAACAAATGGGCTTAATCTCTCTCTCAAAACAAAACAGCTTTTGGTGTCAAATTTAGTCTATGCTGCATATGGAAAAGTTTTGCTTTTAGAAGTTGTGGACCCTAACCCCTAACTGCACAACTGTTAAACCACTATCTGGAATGGTCAGGATTATTAAAGTTGTGTAGCGCTGAAATGATTAGCCGAATCAATTGGCAGAAAATGTATCTCAAACTATTTTGATGACCTATTTTCTGTTTCAGTAATTTTTTAAAGCCAAAATTCACAGATTCCAGATTCTCAAGTGTGAGTATTTGCTGCTTTTCTCTGTTCTCTTTGGGGGTTTTAAGTCTTCGGTCAGACAAAACACAGACTTAAAAAAGGCGTGGAATTTAGATTTATTTAAAAAATGACACTAGGTAGATTAAAATGTAGACTGATCGATTATTAAAACCATTGATCGCAGCCATAAAGTAGTAATAGAGTAATTGTACTAAATGGGTTAAACACTCACACTTTTGACACTTCTTCAAAGAGAATTACCGACCCAAATAAAACAAAGACTCAAAATGCTTCCATCTCCTCCATAATTGTTTAAAAGTAGTAGTTAAACAATTTAAGACTTTAGCACATTCAAATGGACAACACACATTACATATTCTACATACTCGAGATGTTCTGGGGAAAAACACCATAAAAAAAAAAACCTGTTTATACAACATAATTTGCAAATGTCCATGTACTCTGGAGGCTGATGAAGAGCATAGCTGGAGGAAGGTGTGGGATGCAGAGGAGAAACTGCTACTGCTTCAGTTTTCTGAGCACTCCTGAGAACGCAGCATTAGTAAATCCAGCACTCATAAAACCAAATTCATAACCGTGAGGCACAAAAATAACGATACACCAGCTTATGGCAAGACATGAATATAAATGTTATCCTCCACAACATGTACAACCTTGACAGAATAAAACGATCCTGATCCTATAGGCCCCGCTGTGTGCATGCATATTGTATCTGTGTGTATGCTGACTCCTACTCGTTCTCACACTCCAGTCTGTGGAGTGTTGTCTACTGGGCCTGGTAGTTCCCCCCTGGGACCCCCCCAACTCCTCCTCATCCTCCTGCTCTACCCCTATCCCCCGTTCGATGTGTCCCACATTCCCTTCCCTGCCACACTAATTGTTTTTTGTAATTATTTTCACCCTTCTGCTATTGTGACAGGCAGCGGCTGCACTACTCTTAACAAATTAGTGCAAGAGACACGATGCACGGATACGAGAATCAGAACTGACTTTAGCAGCGAGCGTTATGTTCAAAAACACATACGCCACCGTGTACTACAAGTTAAAACAAATGTAAAATATATAGGGTGGAAATAATTAGCCGATTGACTGATCAGTCTATAAAGAGAACATTTATTGGTAACTATTGGATTATAGATTTATGGTTTGAATCCATTTTTAAGCAAAAAATATCTTCTTCTAGCTTCTCAAATGTGATGATTTGCTGCTTTTCTGGTCCTTCTGTGATATCAAATTGAATATCTTTGGATTGTGGACTGCTGGTCAAGCTATTTGAGGACGTAATCTTTGGCTGCGGGGAACTATGATCGCATGAAAAGGAGAAAGAATGGTGTGGTGAGGGGTTCTTGAAATTAATTGAAAACTGAATCTAAAAATTAACATGAAACAGGAAATTCCCCGAGCACAGCAACAACAATCATGTGCTGGTAGATAGCAGGATCTATGAAAAATCAAAAAACAAACTACTGCACACTGACGATTCTATCACTCTGACTTGCATTCAACTTAATATTATAGTCTTGTCCTTATGAGTGAACATATTAGTTGTATTATTAATTGTAATCCTTACAACAATCTAAGCCACTCTATTTCAATGGGACTCTACAAGCTCCTGAGAAGGCATTGCACAGCGTGACGCATAGCGACAGTGCTATCAAATGCTAAAAACATAGCATAGCGAGCTGTAGGCTACAAGCCGGATGGAAATGTGTGAGGGCTGTGGAGCATATCGCGAGATATCGCAGAAAGACAAGAACAGCAAATCTAATCATTTCTAAATGTGAATCCTTATCCTATCCTTCAAAAGGTCCAAATGAGGAAAAATCAGCTACTCACGCTTTTCTCAGTTGGAAACCGTAGTCTTGTAGACCTAATTGTATGCAAGTCCAAGCACAACTCTTAAAGCTACAAAGAATATCCAGTGCGCCCATCTTCCAAACTTTTCACCACTCGTTCTGAACAGCGTATGCTGCATACTAATGACACACTTTTGTTAAATTAGTTGCTTAAAACTTATAAAATGCCTAAACAAGTACTTAACTCAGAGAGCAAGTCTCCAAGCTTGATGTGTTATACTGTATAAATGCACCCAAATCTAGTTCTTCTTGTGTACCTTCCACTGTACTGCCTGGTATAAACCATAGACTGTATATAAAAAGGTATAAACGTGTATTTTGCTTCTGTGGGGCTCTCAGGTCTCTGCAAGGCCTCAAGGACTCACATAATAACGGCAATGACCTTTCAAGTGGTGTTCAGCATAAAAAAAGCTAGCCAACTAAAACAATAAATTAGACAATAAATTAGCTGGTTAACTTGCCTGGTTGTAAATCCAAGCTTAAACACGTAATGAGGAAAATCTCTGCACTGTTCATGGTTTGCTTGAGGTGAAATTTTGGTATTGAAGGTCAAAACCACAGTATTTAGATAATATGCCGAGAGCAACTGTGCAGGTAGGGTGGGGGACAGTCCTGCAGGCTCAGCTGTTGTCATGAAGTCTCATGGGAGAAACCCCCGTCATCATTCACAACAAGCTGACAAATGTACCTGGCTCTGTCAAAACGCATAAGCTTACATCTCTCAAGCTGCTAATGCCACAAACACAGGTATAATTACAAGTGAGACTTAATTCCCACCTCAGTTTTAGAGTAATACTACATCTCTAATACCACACAGCAATGTCACGTGTTAATATACTGTTTTAGCCAAGAAATGAATAATTCCAAGAAGCAATTAAAACACATTTTTGACATGAATGAGTAAACCCACCACATATGGTTACTGTCCCTGCCACTTGAAGTGAGTATTACTTGAACTTATGGGAATTAATTTGTGATTATATCATTGGTTCCCTAAAGCTAAACGAGATTGCAAATGCTAACAGAGGAATGTAATTAAGTTAAAATAGAAATTAAAATATTTATAGGTATGTTCACTCATTACGCCAAGACGAATATGCTTAATTCAGAGGGGTGACCACTGGTATGGGGGGATTAATTAGCTACTGAAAAACATCCAAAGATACTGGTGTTGAAAGTCTTTTGTTTAAGCACACAGTGAAAAATAAAAGTACACTAGAAGCATAAAAAGATGGAGCAAGTCAGAGAATACATGGCAACACAAAATTACACCAATGATGCGCCTTTGCAAATTGAATTTAGATTTAGAGACAACACAAGGCTGTATGGTCTTACTTGTTCAGTTTCACACAATCATATTTGACCATTTAGTACAGTAATTGTAGCAATTAAAAACAGAAATCCCAGTGGGTGGGTTGATCTGTGGCCGCTTGTGCAGCACATTATACAAAAACATGAGCGCGATCAGTGTTTTAAAAGCTGTTTACAATGCATCAAATTTTCAAATAAATCTGTTTCAAGATTTTAAAAAGCTCTGACAATATTTTGGTCCCATGCTGAGTGGAGAAGGAGCACATACATGTAAATATGATTATAATAGTTTGTCGATAAACATTTTTTATTATGTAGGAAAATACATCATATTGGGAATCCTAATTGGCAGACACACAATATTAAATAAATCGCGATCGGGACATCCTTGGACTGTACACCAAAGAGTTAATTTTCTTAATCAGAAACTCTATAATGTTATTGGGTAGCTGCTGTGAGGACCCCGAGTGGAGAACACTTTACAAAGTTGGCCCACAAAAACACTCTGTACATGTCTTTTACGTTATATAAAATGAAAATGTGCCCCTCAACTCAAACAATTATTTTGATTATTATAGTCACATCTCTCATCAAACCGTCCACTAAAACTGACACCATTTCCTGCAGGTATGAGAAAGCAATTCTCAAAAAATAAAGGTTACTACCACTGCTTTATGGGAAGCTGAGGGCCCTTTAATATTATGAAAGTAAAAGACCAGTGCCAACAGGGACAAATGACTTCAAACAACAATTTCAAAACAAACACACAAATAAAAACTGAACACATTTATAATGGTTGAGTCAAATAATGTACGCTAAAAGCATAAAAAGCTCCCTACACTTTGTTATGTGGTCTCTTTATGCTTTGGCTATGCAAGCTTTGATGTTTACTCGTTTTAAAGCCACTGTTTATTTCATAAGCCAAAATGTAACATTACTGAGTAGGGGTATGAACCTCACAAAACAATAGAGTCTAGAGGGTGTTTAAGTGTGTCTTTATAAGACACTGATCTGTATTTGTCAACTCATGGCTTGAGCTGCCCATAGTGCTGGTTTGCCAGTCAGACATTTCCAGGACATTTCTCTTGGTAAAACTAGACAGACAGCTTAGAGCTCCTCTAGTTTAACAGGCCACTTAAAGGTTGATAAGTATAACATCAATTATCTTGCATACTGTGTTGATTGATGTAAATGGATTAGTATTTGTGTGTATCATGATAGTTACCCTGCTCCGAAGGTAGTCTGCAAGATTCTTTCGTGTGAAGTTTGCTGCTGCTGCAGGACTGAGTTCGTAACCTAATGAAATAAGAAGCGCAAAAAATGTCACACAGATACACAAAGTTTTAGGTATGTGCTTCTTCAGCAAATACAGTTTACTTTCAAATATGAGATCACTGTCAGTGACTTAACAGTTTTGAGTTAACTGGAGACTTCTGGGAGAAAAAAATGAGAGTTAAACAACACAATAATCATCTTAGAGGTCCTTACCGTTCCTCATTTTGTAGAGCTGAACATTCTTCTGGATGTACTCTGCAAATTGTACAGTGTCTCCCGCTTCTCCGACACACAGCATCAAAATCTTCTCACTTAGTTTGAACATCTTGTCATAGTCTGAAAAACAGACAGTTTATTATCATTGTGTTCATAAATGATTCAAGTGAACGTGAGTGAGCAACGTTAGATCAGTTTCACTTTCACTGTCAGACGCCTGCCTGAGCAGCTTATGCTAACCTTGCTAGCTTTAGTTTGACTTTCAAAAACGTAGAATAGTTCTGATTAACTCAAAGCAGTACTTGACAATGATGTAATACATGCCGTTAGCGGTTATATAGAGAAGATTTTCCAAACTATTCAAAAACAGAATGAGAAAGATGTTTCCGCTACTTTAACTTATCGTAGCTACGTTTAGCTTTGCTAGCTTAAGTAACGTTAACAATCACAATATGTGGTTAAATTGTCGTAACAGGGGAGGTTAAACACTACACATCAATATACCGTCAGATGAAAATACTTCAAACATTACTTATCAGTAGCACAAGCCGGTTTTAATGTGAAAAATAACTATGAAAACAGGTCGGTTAGCAGGTCAAGTTAAAATCAACCGGCTGAATGGCTAACGCTAAGCTAACGCGTTGTCATACCATGTTTCATCTGAATGATGCTGCTGGCTGCAATGTTATCTGCGGCGACGAGGACGAAATCAGGTCCCTGTATCCCGATTAAATATTCCATTTTGTGTATAACAGGTATGAGCTGAAAGATTTATATAATAATCTGAAATAGCAGACGTCTCGTAGCCTTGACTGTGCAGATTACACAGCAAAAGTTGAGATAAGTGGCGCAGACTGTTGTCGTCACCGGAAAACGCCGCTGTGGTGATTTCTACGCGACGCGGGCGGGCAATTTGAACGGGCTGCTGCTGTTGTTGTGAGTCTAATCTGCCGATTGTAAAGTAAACCCGGGTGAGAACGGGTTGTTTCGCCTGGATACGGTCAGCATGAACGACGGGAAGCTTCAAAACATCATGGCGGAGTCTAATAACCTTAACGGCTCGCAGCGAAGACGGTCAGCACGGTTGAGTTCTCCTCCTCAGGCTAACGTAAAGACTGACAACAAAATGGCGCGGCCCTCGGTCGCTGTTAAACGCTCCATCACTGTGAGGAAAATTGCACCCAGAAAAACAGTCGCACCGTCGGCGCACAACAAGGAGAACACGCCGAAGCGGGCGGTGTCTGAAGGCAACCAGAAGAATAAGCTTAAGGTCTCCACCCCGGGTCATGTCCCGGGCCCCGGTGGCTCCTCCTCGGCCAAGAAGAAGAAGGCCGCTATGCCCTCACCGATCCTCCCCTCCTCACCGCCGCCCCCTACTAATCCTCAGCAGCCGGCAGCGGACCCAGAGGACGCGGTGTGGTCGCAGAAAGTGCGCCGGTCCTACAGCCGGCTGAGCGACAAGTCCGACTCGCGAGAGACCTTTTTCGGCTTCGAGAAGCTGAAGACCCCCGAGGTGTTCCGGAGAGTCGAGCAATCCAAGACAGGACTGGATTTGTCTGCTGTATCCTTGTCTGGTCTGAACTCATTCACATCTTTGCTTGAGGCGGAAGAGCGCGGTCCAGCTTTCCCCGAGCCGGACCTAAACATCCCTGGTGTGGCTGTCGTGAAAGAGAAGAGGAGGAGGAAGAAGGTCCAGCACATTGACGCCACAGAGCTGGACGCAATGGCTGCCAAGATGAACGCTGAGTTTGAGGAGGCAGAGGTGTTTGAGCTGGTCGTGGAGTGAATATTGTGACTGAAAGACTGAAGGAATTGCTTATAGCATGTTATTTTTTCATCACTGACATGCTGAAAAACACTGACTCTGCGAGGACAACACTTACCTGTGTGTTTCATACTCAAAACATTCAAGTTTTGTATATTCCCAGCTCTATGTATTGTGTACTTTGTTTCTTTGGAGTTTCCTATGTTTGGCTGTTCATTTGAATGCTCTTAATATGGTTGTTCAGGTCATTATGTGGTGGTGTAATGGCATAGTATAGTCACATGTGAGTTTCAAAATAACCAGTATGTTAGTTAGACAAGTAAAACCTAAAGCATGTTCTTTGTTTTGGTTATTATGGAAACAATTTTTGAATCAAACAGATTGTGTTTCCTGTGATCAGATACCTTATATTTGTTATGTTAAAGGTCCAACTTGGAATGGCAAAACTGCATTTTGAACTTTATTAATAGACTTTTCGGTCACAAACTTGTTGTTTGTGCACATGATGCATAGAAGGAAAATATGTGACAGATTAATATGTATGTAATTACATGTGGAAGCTGAGTAGATTGTAAACTTTGAAACATTATTTTCAGTAATGGTAGGATCTGAAAGCTATAAAGGGGTTGAATCAGGAAAAAATTGACTACTAGGCGGAAGTGACATTTTGTTTTTCTTCATTTACAATATTTGAATCTGTGACAAACATCAGAAACATGGGCAGCAGTTCAGAGATCTATAGCCAGGATACTACCATTAAATAATGTTTTACATCCACATTTAATTGAAATAAAAGTTCAGAATAAGACTGTAAAACAGCACCTATCGATGTTGTTCTTGGGCTATAAAGTTCATTCTGCATATGTCCTTTCTTAAACATAAAAGAAAATACATTTTTATTTTTGCTTTCTTGTAAATGTAAATAAATACTTTAACCAATTAAATCACCAGAATAGCCAGATGACTTGAGGTTCTTTCAGTCACAATATTGTCTGTTTTAAAGAAAGCCTTTATTCAGCCAAGACAGCACATTTTGAGATTTTGTCTGTGTTTGTTAGTGATAGTTTTAATAATGTCAGCTTGAATGATAGCACAAATGGCGTTCATTCATTTGAAAATTCCACGCAGTGTTTGTAAAAAGGGGCCCAAAATAGCCAAATGTCTGCTCAGTCAGGGCTCAGCAATATTACCATCTAAGTGGAAGGTCAATCTTGTTAAAGCATTGTGTGTGTGTGTGTGTGTGTGTGTGTGTGTGTGTGTGTTTTGATATTTAAGCAAAATCTCAGGTTATATCCAAGTTTACACCATGACACACCAGCTGCCATTAAAAATCAGATTATGTAATCAGCAAACACTATTTAGAGCTATAAAAATGGGACTGCACCGGCAATTTTTGCAGGCTGATGGCATGTGTTGCTAATCATATTAACCTGCACGGCCTAAAAAGGTTAGGTATGTAGGTAATAATGTTGGCTAACAACAATCCTACACACAGCATTGGTCCCCAGTGATTATGACGAGACAGACAGAATGAGCGGGCGATCTGTCTGGATTTAATGAGAGTGGTGGACAGGTAAAGTGTTTTATCCCCTAGCGTCCTTTAAAGGTGTAAATGGATATGTTGCATAATGTGTACTAACAAGGGGGGGGGGGGTGTTATCAACCTGCATGCCTGCCTCTAACTGTGCAGCCTTCTATCGTAGATAAACTGAATGGATTGATGATCTGTTTGGCTTTAGATGACTGAGCATTTAAATGTTTTTACAGCTGATACAGACAGAAAAATCTGAATAATTGACCGAGAAAAACACCACAAATGCAGATGTTTCTATAAAGGCCAGAAGAGGTCATTGAGTCATTTCATGAACATGGAAAATGATGTGAAGCATGTGTTATTATGGCCCACATAATCGCCAGATTCAACCCGACTGAAAATGGCAGATTTTGAACCAGCGTGACCGACAGCCTTCTCCACCAGGATCATCAAAACACCAAATTGAGGACATCTTTAGGAGAATCATGTTAATCCCTAAAGAGACCCAGAAAATGTTTGTTAAGGAGCACTATCAGCTGATTTGGAGACTTGTGGCCCGACACTGACACTGCCTGTAAGTTGATTATTCCTTTAATCAGCTTGCAAAGTTTCGAGAACCAGCAGCATAGGTCAGAGCACTCTCTTCTAACCAGCCAAATTCCTGCTTACAGGTCCGACTTGCCACTCCGGTAGTTTCACTGACTGATTATTCAAAATGAATCATAAAACAAAAATGGTCACATCAACATTTTACCATTACAGAACAAAAATACATGATTTGTATATAAGAGTAGAGTTTCTTAAGATGTTATAATGCAGTGGGTCCAATCTTTCTCATGTCAAGGATCCCTAAAATGGCACAAATTAGACTACGGGCCCCCATTTTAAAAGATTTTGGCCCAGGATTGCCCGTCTGATAGGATTTGGTCTTTTAGATGTTTTATTACAGAAAGTGTAAGTGTTCTGTCACTGTGTAACATTTGGATGGAATTATAGTGAAAATAAATTATTCTCCTTTCTGCTGGGACCCCTCTGGAACCCCCTCAAGGACCCCCCTTTGAGAACCACTGTTATAGTGTAATCCAAACATTACACTATAAACATTATACACTACTACTTTTGGTTGAAAAGACCAAATGCTTGGATTTGTACTCTTCTTTAGACTAATTTAACAAAGAAATATAGGGCTAGTTGGTTTTAGACAACATTTTACATTTGACAAGTTTGGCTTCTGTTGTGAAATAAAAAATACAGATATTCCACAAAGAAAGCTATCAAAAAAGTATTGTTTTGGTATCTGATAATACTCGACAGTAGTACTAAACATTTCAACCCATGCCCAGCCCTATAGGAGCAACATAATTGCTCTTCTAGAGAGGAAATTCTCTTTCTCACTTCTCTATTCTCTTGCTACCATTCAAAGAGTCAAGTCTGTCTTGCTACAAGATTTGGGAGACGCTTGGTTCCTGCTGGTGTTGAAGTATTCAGTAAATCACTTATCATGATACTGTATAAGCCAAGATGCTCTTTACCCGAGCCCTTAAAATAATTGCTGTTGTTATAGTGCCCGATTAAAACACAGACAGACCTGCCACAGCTTTCACAGCAATACAGCATTAGGTGGAATCATGATAAATAAACCCTGAAGATCTTTATTTAAATTTAAAAGAAGGGATCCACAGCACTGCAGAGGATGCTGACAAGTATGTCTTCACCTGTTATACCAACCTTGGAAAAACACATCTCTGAATGAGCTATGAAGCCGGTTATGTACATCTGCTGAGAGCACGTACACGAGCTGATAGCATTTGTGAGTGTGTCTGAGAAAGAGACACATAGAGAGATAATGAGTGTGTGTGTGTGTGTGTTTGAGTGTGCAGCAGCGAACGAGTAAATCCACAATTTGCTCACGCATTTTAGGGTGTGCAAAGCGTGCTCTGTTTTCTTCCTCAGGTGCCATTTCATGTTCATACCCTTCATTTGGCATTTCAGCTCCCTGGGAGAGGAGACTTTTTTTTTTTTTTTTGCAGAGCACAACACATGATGGCTTTGTATATTTTTAACAAGGTATTCATGTCTGCTTGTCACTACAACTGAAAGTTACAAACAGAGTGAAGTAGGAGGGTGTTTTGTGAGCTGTCACTGCCAGAAACAGTTATTGATTTACAACGCTGCTGCTGCTGCTGCTGCTTCTGCTGACTTTTTTGCTTTTGAGTCTGTTCATGCTGATTTTTGGGAGGTTGGATATTTTACACTCATATTCATGTGTTTTTTTTCCCCCCTTCTTTCCTCTCCTCTGTTACTCCCACCCTCACACACACACATTTCACTCACGGCAGTTGTCGCTGGTTCAGCTTGACTGCTTCGTTAGGGCTCATCATTTGCATTCAGATTAATTATCTAATTACCGACAAATGTCCGGCGGCCACCCCACACTCCGGCTCGTCAGCTCTCAGCCTGTAATTATTTTAATCATTTACTTTCATCTGGAGCGTTCCTGCCATACTCCTGTGTTTAGAGGCCATTCTTAATTACCCTGCCAAGACACTCTTTTCATGAGAGGGAGGTAGGGAGGAGAGGGGTTGGTTTGAGGGAGAAGAGAGCAATTGGGTGAGGGAACATGTGTGTGTGTGTGTGTGTGTGTGTGTGTGTGTGTGTGTGTGTGAAAGACCAATGGGGACATGATCCAGAGGCTTTGACAGCACAGAGGAAGCTCCCTTCTCTGCTGGATGCTCTTTCCTCTCTCTTCTTTTCTGTCTCTCTCTCCATCTCTCTCTCTCTCTCTCTCTCTCTCTACGTACACACACCCACACTCCCCCACCCCCCCAACCAACTTCCTCATCTCTCCTCTCACCCACCCCTTCACCCCCTCCTCCACGCCCCACTTCCCCCCGTTATACTTCCTCCCTTTTTCCCTTTATCGCAAGCACACACAGGAATCGCCCGTGGGCTTCAGTGCTCTGACTGCTAATACACTGACACACACTTACACACACTACACAACTCACACACACACACACACACAACACACATAGAAACAGGCAGACAACAGAGTCATGCGCCCTGTTTGTGGCACTCATCAGGATGCACACATCTTTCCACTATCTGCCTGGAAAATCTATACTCCTCTCTCAGCTCGTCTGTCTGTTTCTGTCTCTTTCTCTGTCTCCCACCATCCCTCCATCCGTCAGACCTGCATGGCTGCACACTCCACATGTCTATCCGTTGCCTTTCCATCCCTATTCCTTCTCTCCTCATCCCAGTATTTGGACAGCCTCACGTCAGGCCCGCTGCTCCCTGTCCTCGGTGAGGGACAACGGGGTCATCTCTCTTTCTCCCCCCGTGTGACCGCTCCATAATGATGCTCTCACTCAACCCCTTAAGCCACTCACCCCTCTCTCCCTGACTGCTCTTGTGAAGAAAAGCGAGAGTGAGGGAGAATGAGAGAGAGAGATACAAGCTCTGTAATTGGGCTCTTGAATATTTAAGTGACTGGGGATGAAAGTTTAATGAAAAGATGATTATCTACCAGTTTATCACACCACTGTTTCATATTTCATTTTCATATTTTTGTTCCGAGCTGCATTGTCCGTTTTGGCAGCTGTGGATACAGAGTTTATGATCCAGTGTGTGCTGGAAACTACTGAGCAAGAAGGAGGAGAAGATGTGAAGAAGCAGAAATGTTAAAACCATGATACACAGGAGACACTTTAAGGAGAGGAAGATGGGACATTCTGTCAACACTTAGGAGTGTTCTTTATGCCTCTCTTTTCATGGGATTTCGTCACAATGACCGTCGTTCTTTTTGCTAAAAGCATTGAACTCTAATTTGCATTATCAAACCATTATCCATGTTGGCAGTACTGAGATTTGACCCAGTGTGTGTTGGAAAATACTGGGCAGATAGAGGAAAATATGCAAAGAAGGTTTTTGTCAACACCTTGGAACTTTTTTTGACTTTGTTGATTTGCTCATATTAATAATTAGGGTTTTTTTCTTCTACTAAGAGCAATGTTGTTAACATATTTGTCACATGAACTGATGTCATGAGGCCATTCCTGTTGCTGGGAGCAGCGTCAATTTTGGCAGCAGTGGACACAGTTATGATCCAGTAAATGTTATAGTGAGCAAAATGAGGATAAGATACAAGGAAGAGCAATGTTAAGCCATGATACAGAGGAGACACTTTTGTCAACACTTATTGTCAAACTGTGTCTTTGATTTCTTGTATTGTGCCATTAATAACTTTCATGGGGCCAAATTCTTGCTCCTGCATTGTACATTTTGGTTATTATTTGTTTAGTTATAATCTAGTGC